TCATGCGGCTCGGTGCCCACTCCCACCCAAGCAGGGCTCAGACCCCAGCTGACTCCATGCCCTCGCCCTCGCGGACACGGCGGATGCATCGACGGCGTCAGCTTTCCCGATGCCCTCCCCAACTCAACCACTCTACCACTCGCCAGCTGACCCGAGGGACTTCAATGACTGATGGTGGCCGGACGTCCGCTCACTCGATGACCAACCTCAGATTGCCATCCGCCATCTCTATTACTTCTGATAACTATATTGTAAGCCGTACGCGCACATTATATAAGTCGCGGATGGCCATTTTCAACCCCGTCAGGTCACCCGAAGCACATCGCACCATCACCTGATGATCCGGTGGCCCGACGTACCTCCAGGTAGCAACCGTCCGGTGGACCGACGCCCGCGAGCGCGAGTCTACTGCATGGGCTGTAAGACGTAGCCCGAGTATTGAATTGCCATTGCGGAGAAGATCATGCGGAGAAGATCATCGACCAATATAATTTGGAGGTGGCTGAGCGTCCAGAACGTTCGTTACAGGGGGGAGCGGAGGGCAAATGACAACATCACCTTGGAGGACTAACTAAAAGCCAGCAAAACAAACCGTCCCTGCGGAACTCACGGGGACCTTGTGCGTTCGTGTTTCATCCCAGTCGATACAATTAGAGTCAGAATGAACGCAGTGGCGTCCTCTTCAGTAAACACTAGGTACTAGGCAAGAACACACGCATTATAGTAAAGGCACAGGGTGGACGCCACAACTCATGGAATGGTGTGTTAACTTGATCAGCGCTATCCTAGGTGGTGGCCATCAGTAAAAGCGCCAATTTCTTGCTGGCCTTGCCAAGCTTGTGAGCTTGCCGACAAGCCGACAAGACACTGTTTGCATAAAGGTCTATAGGCTGGTTGCAAAAACATTCTAGAACATACGCTGATGGTGTTTGCGTCTCAACACTGATTTCCGAAGTCATTCGGAACACGGCCTGTGGATATCTTAAACAGCTAAACTGAGGCGACTTGTTTGACTTGCAGGCGCTTGTCCGCGTAAGCTCCACGTTGCCGAAGATCGTCTTGTCGCAAAAATAGACTTACATTTGGCGTCTTGGGCATATTATTACCTTGCCGTCGCTTGTGCAGGGTTGCACAAGGTTGTACAAGCCCCGACAAGATTTTTTCATAGTTATGTACTGATGTATTGAATTGCCATCGCGGAGAAGATCATCGACCAATATAATTTGGAGGTGGCCGAGCGCTAAGAACGTTCATTACAGGGGTATCAGAGGGTGGCAAACAACAAACGTCACCTTGGAGGACTAATTGAAAACCAGCAAAACAACTCATCCCTACTAATTCACGGGGACCTTGTGTCGAAAAACCAAAAGGGGCGCTCTTACACAAATGCGAAAACCCCGCTGCCAATTTGTCGAGGCGCAACAGCATTTGGATGTTAAAGCTAGGCAGTGTCGGACTCTCTCCCGCTCGTGGTACAAGCGAATTGTATTCTACCTAGGCAGTGTCAGACCTAGGTACATGTGTGAGTATCATTCGTATGATATGAGGCGACGACGACGGCTCTCCCTCTCTCGCTCGTGGTACAAGCGAATGAGGGTAAATCCGTGGCTGGGTCGCCTGTGTAGTTGTGTGCTTCTTTCTTATTCTCGATCTCGTCCCGACTTCGCCACACGCTCGCCACATCCGTGTCTTGCGGTGCCATCGGAACTCTCCGACTTCCGACATTGGATCCTGTCAGAATGCCGTAAAAATGGCGTATAAGTCCATTGCGATTAGTTAGCCGCTAGTATGGACGCATCAAAACAGCGCCGAGACTCGAGACGGGGTTGAGATGGTGTTTGTGCTTCATACCCTTCCCGTAGTTGCCGGCATGTCAAGATGGGTAGTGGATTGTAACCATGCATCAAGACGGGTTGTAGGTTTTCCCAATTGCATTTTATTGTGTATTCGCGTTTCATCCGAGCCAACAGAATCAAAATTAGAGCGAACGCAGTGGGGCCCTCTTCACTAGACACCGCGTCTTAGGCATCAACACACGCATGAAAGCAAAGGCACAAGGGGACGCCGCAACTCATAGAATAGTGTTTTAATTGGATGAGTGCTGTCCTAAATGATGTTGTATCACGGGGACTCGGAGATGTGAATGTAAGCTTGTGGCGACCCAACGGCGACCTTTCAAAAAGTCAACGACCTTACTTGTTGTTGAAAGCTAAATGGTATCTCAGCCGGCCGTAAATAAGGGGAGTTCCCGAAGTGTAAGAGAATGGAACAGCATGGTTTCAGACCGGCTAGGAAGATGAGAAGTCCCCCAACCACTGTGATGCCTCGTGATGCATCACGCATGAAGGGAGATGAGGGGCGATGCGGAAAATGAGACGAATGCAACGAGGAGGCACAACCGGGATGCACCATCTGGCTTGGCGTTGCAGTCAAGTTGCAGTTTGACAATCTTATCTCACTTTGAGGTCGCGCTCACCGCCGACTTTTTGGCCCTCTTTTACCCCGTCCCTGCCGGTGCCCCTCCATGTCTCCGAGACACTCATCGATCACCCCTGTCGGCAGCGGATTCTCAGCCTACATGAAATCTCCGCCGAATTCGCCTCTCGCCACACCTGTACGTCCGCCTCCATTAACTTTCTTGCGGGCTCACTCCCCCAGTCCCACTTCCTATCTCCTACACGGCTGACAGAACGCACGGTCAGTCAGCCTGCTCTCCCCTGACCTTCTCCTGGCATCATACACAAGAAGTAGCCTAACCTGAGTAATACATGCCCCCCTCATCCTATTTGAGCTGAGTAGCAAAGTAGATATTTGACTTCAGCGCCGTATGAAAGGGAGCCTGTCGTTTGGAGTATTTATACATCTTCGAAATAAAGCAGAACTAGAAAATGAAAGCAACATAATTCCTTTTATCCAATGTACGTATCGTAACGTAGTCGCGTAGATTGGGTGCGACTAGAGGTTAGTGCCGTAGCGGCCGGTACCTCTGAAGGTCGGGAGAACGCGCCCGCCGGAAGGACCAGTGAAGTGCAACCTGGGCCCGGGCGGGATACCGGGTGTGGTCACGGTGAGCGATATCCCATATTCATGAGGCGGAGGATCGATCTCCAGGAGTGCGGGACCTTTTTCGTTCGACACGGCGCCGCCATTGAACTCGGCCTGAGTAATAGCTTAGAGTCAAGCATTAGCCTATTCATTTGCATCATGCCATAGTCACTGCTGTCAGCGCGCTGGCGTATGGACCCAGTCATTGATGATGACCGTGTTAGCTCGGTCAGAAGTACATCAGTTTCCCTTGCCGCTGAGTCGCAGCCCGCCCGTTGCGTGCGGCGGTGATTCTCCATCCAAAGGCTTCGGTGCTTGCGCGTCGAAGCGCCGCTTGGATCGTCATCATTAACCTAGTTCAACACGGTTATCCACACTTCAATAAGCTTTAATTATAGTGGGTACCACAGAGGCATACCCGGTTATATAGCGTCTCCCGTAAAACTACACAGACAAATGTGAAACGAAAGGCAGAGATCCAGAGATAATCACATATACGTACCAGTTCCACAGGAATCAGTATCGTATTCCCAGAAGCGAAACTTGCAAGATTAGCATGATAATATTGCGCACACACCATGCATAACACTGTAGGGTTTGAACGACGTGAATTTTGCACTACTCATTTGCACTGTTTATGCGTGAAATTTGCGTACTTTCAGTGCAATTTTTGCTTACAGTAATGCAATTTTTGCTATAAACCGAGTTGCAAATTTTGCCGGGAAAAGTTAAGATTTTGCTTATCGATTTTGGGTACTCAAAGTGCAAAAGTTGCCACATTTTAGTGCAAATTAGCTCACATAGACCCCTTACCCTTATGTATTGATCAACTGGTATTCACACATTCACGCGGCATAAATCAAGCACACAACGATATATTGAGACATTTACTACAATACAGGGATGGCATGGTTCTATTTACAATACACTATGGAATGGGTAACGCATAATGGCCAGGGAAGGGGAAAGTGGGAACGGGGAGAGGTGAGAGGTAGGATAGACCAGGAGGGATGGGTAAGGCACCAACAGCACATTGGTAGTAACGACGGGGCAGGGCGCATATGACAAGTAAAGTATGGGGTGCTTACTTTAGCGCGGCAATGGTGATATGTTCTAACACTGGGAGAGTGCAGCGTCAGCACATGCATCAGGCGGGCAGCGAGAGCAGAGCACTTACCATTATGGTTTGAAGAGCGCTCCGGCACGATGTACAGGCACGGGAAGCGATGGTGACCGATGGAACGGGAAGGGGATGGAAAGGGAACGATGGAGGTGGGATGCAGAAGAAGGGAGAACTCGAGTGCGTCATAAGTGTCCACGCTTAGTCATTGATTCCCATCGGCACAGCCGATGCCACAATCGCGCTCCACTTTGCGAAGTCACAAAATTCGCATTGCTCTACCGGGTATCCAAATCTAATTTGCACCATTTTGCTGCAAATCGATCAATTTGGGTACCGGTAGTGCAAATTTTGCATCAATCACTTTTCATAGTGTAAGCATAACTCACAGCAAGCAGAAGTGAAGTAAAGTACATTGTGCTGGATAAGCGTCTGCAGCAGCTTTGAGCCAGTCTCTCTTTGGACCTTGAGCGCGCGGACGAGCCTCAGCAAGACGAGGACTGTGGAACCTACGAAGTGAGCGATACGAAGATTCAAGGCTGCGCGTAATCCGCATAACCACGACGGACACCGGACGGCAAGCCACTGGAGAAAAGATGCCATACCGAGCTGAAAAAGCAGTCCAGACGGCATATGGAACGACGAGGAGGTTGTCCCCTTTCCAGTCCGAGCATCCTACGACAGCAGATTGTGCAGTTGCGACATGCTTGTTCAATATCTACAAGACACGACGTCGCGTAAACGCTCCGTCTCCCACGTTGTACAGGTGTAGTCACACGTCGAAGAAGTAGTTTTTCATGCAGGCTGTTTCACGATATAACACATGGACAATAATACTGTACATTTGACAACGACAAATTACATCAAGTTTAATGATCTGAGAGAGAAAGTGACATGAGATTGCACGAAAAATAGCATAGTCATACCTGGCCGCGAGAAGCGCTCTCATAATAGCCGGTTCAAGTTCAACATGAGTGGACCGACTGAGACCGTCGTTGACAGTTACGTTCTCTTGCATGTGGCAAAAATGCTCTGCTTAAATGTCCAACGAACATTCAATAGCTACGGACTCGAATTGGTCTTCGAAGCTTTTGGTGCAAACGGTAGTCCCGGTGGAGTATGAAGCTCCGTCGCGGGTGACGAACACACCAAACACGTTAGCAGAAGGCATGAACCGAGTTTGAGTGTGATGGCAATGGGGGCGTAAGTGTTGAGTGGAAAAGTGATAAGATAATGCAGCTAGTCGGTTCGCAAGATCATACCCTCCCATGACATAAAAATTAATGCAGTAATCGCCTTGTCTGTTGTATCGCATGTGGTGAGGATGCCCTTGCCCAGACGAGAAGTATCTTGAAACCATGCGCAATGTCATCTGTCTCAGTGGAGAGGCGCTGTTCAATGGCGAGCAAAAAGCAGCAAAGCGATACAGACAAAATGCACACCTCGGAAAACAGCATTTTCTGAATACATCTGGCTACACGTTGAGCCGACTCGAGGTCGTCGCCGAGATAATCCAAACACCTTGCAGTATAACGGGCTAAGGTGAAATATACCGGTAACTCATTTGCAGCGTTGCGCTCCCTCAAAGAAAAAAAGTCTAGGAAAGACTACCAACATAAGGTGCGTTAAATTTGATCGCTAGAACCCAAAGTTAATTAACGACGTACGACGGTGTCCAGGAGCAGCAAACAGCAAGTCCGACGTTACAGTCGCTTGAGACATGAGGCCGTGAAATTGAGGGTGTCGCAATAGGAAGGCTTATAGGTAGGCTTATAAGGTACGCGATCTGTAGGGGCAACATGAAACAGCTCGCATCCATATAGGAACTACTTACGTGGACTTCGAAGAGAAGGTAAAATAAGCAAAAAAAAATAGTGGGAGAGAAAAATGAGATCAGGGAGACGACAACAACATGGCATTTTGAGGAGATGGGTGGCATTGTTTTATACTTGAAGACGGGTGTAAGGGGTTTAACCCGTTAAAATAGTAGCTAGGAAGGAGTAGTGTCTGAGGGACATCAATGCACAACTGAATATACACTGATTCTTAACCCATCGAATGGCGGATAACTGCGGATCAAGAAATTAAGCACAGCTCAGTCGAGCATTGTGACAGGGGGAAATGCCACAGACCAAGGCAGTAATGTACAGTTCAGGGATAGAGCTACTGTGCACGACGTGGCGGTGCGATTCCCGAGAGGGGCGGCGCCACAAAGCCAAAGATAGCGTCAGGGAAACAATCTCTTCGAGACAAATGAGATGAGTTAGAATTCCACCCAGGTCAGCAACTCTCGCTTGAGAGTTTTAAACTCCTCCGGTTAACCTGCTCAAATGCTCATGCGTACGCCAACGCTTCTATTTACGGTAAGAGTCGGCGTGGTAGCCCATCATGAGGCCTTGAGGTTGAACTATTGAATACCATTTGAAAAAAGGCAGTACATGCTTATGGTGCGAACCGTATTGAAGGACGGACTCTGGCTTGCTGTGCTCTACCATATCTCTTACTTATTCTGACATAGAGATATCAAAGTGTTGCAGTGGACGAAGTAGTGCATCAATTACGAAAAGAAGAGGGATGTGAAGTTCAGGAATGTAGTCGTAGTACGCATCGTCAGGTTCACATGGAGAACTTGGAAGAACTGTTGGGGCTGAGCCTCTACGAGGATCGGGCCCTTGCAATCAAAGGTAACTTTTGCCGCAACGAAAGAGTGTGTCGTCGTGTAGGTTAACCTCACTCAAATGGATATAAACTCGAATGTAATCGGGAGAGGCGTCGAAGCACATCTAGCTGCTCCCTAGGACGCTCCGCACGCTAATCGCGAGGCTGAAAAAACAATGGGCATGATGCGTGAGCGGCAGAAACAACGAGACGAATGGATATGATGCAATTGTGGGAGACGAGAATGAGGAAATCATGCCTTGCAGCCGCCGTTATAAACTAAGATAGGGTCGATAGCTTCCACACGGCAATATTCACAGAGAGGGAGATCGAGCAATGGATGTATGGTGACAGAAAAGTATGGAATACAAAGGCGGGTAATGTATGACAAAGGAGAGAATAACTATTGAACGGCAAGGACCATAGGGCGAACCTCATTCAAAATAAAAGGGTCAACGCGTACGCAGCAGCTGCGCCACAAAGGGACTCGCGTTGAAGAATAGAACCACTACCGACCTACATTCTGAAAACAGGGGAGACATTCAAAAGCGGGCAACGTGCGGGCCGACAGGAGCCGCAACCAAACACAACCACACCGTTCGTGTCATAAGTTTGAAGATACGATTAGACTAGTCCCGTCTTCCTTGGTAACCTCGATTATGCGACTTACATGTATTTTTATTATTTTAAAAAAATCCATTTATTGTCCGCTGAGGGCTCCGCTGAGGGCTCCGCCCTGTGTGAGACAAGGTACTAAACTAGGTGGTGCTACTTGTAAGGAGGTCTACGTGGAGGTGGGAGACTGACAGTGGCCCCGGGGGGCAGGACTTACATGTGATGTCGCCGTTGCTCACGAAGATGGCCATGAATGTCGCGGCCAATAGTATCTAAAAGGTCATGCGTACACGGACTGGTATGAGAACAACTACTCTGCTGCTAAAGAAGCGGGAAACTGAAAATGAACGAAGCGATGAGCAGTGCGAGGACTCGACGGCTTCTGTTCCACATCGCATATACTCGCACAGAGAACAGCGCTGCAGCTTGTAGTGAGGTCAAACCTCGTACTTACCAAGGCGAAACATGCGTTGACTCAAACGTACCGTCAGCGTTTAGCCCTGTCAAGGCACCACAAACTGGTGACCTTGAATTAACAACACAACAAAGCGACATGTCCCCGATCCTGGACATCTGAAGCCTCATGACGCACCACTGTAAACATATATCATGCCGTATAAGCAGTTTTACAGCGCAAGTTATCATGCAGCAGTTTAATATGTCAGCTCAAGTGGGCCCGATGGGTTACCTGAGATGTGTCCGCTGAGAACTCCTCGACTTAGAAATCGTGCTCAGCCTCGTGCACCAGAAATGGGGTGCCAAAGACTCACATAAGAGAGAGGCAATAAGCAAGAAGGGGAATACCCGCGCCGCGATATAAAGGGTTTTGATTCTATAGCGTTTACACTTGCGGTAGAAGGTGATCTAAGGAAGCGTGGGCTACTGTACAAGAAAGCTCTGGGATAGGCTCACCTCGTCATCCAATGTGATGATGTAATCGTAAATCCAGAACGTGGCGATAGACACTTGGAGAAAGCGCAACGAGCGTCAACATAAGATTTAAATTTGTCGTAAAGAGTGACACACCATTAATATACTAACGGCGGGACGGCCAGAGTTCAGCGATTACCCAAAGGATTGGCGGGGACAAAACACTTACACTGTATACTAAGGAGCTCTTCTCAGCTTTCAACAACGCTGGCCCACTGACGAGTTCGGTTGGCATGGGTGCAAGAGGACAAACTTAACCGAGATGCATGCAGACCCGCGAGCGTCGCGCTTGATATACCCTACGCTTGGTCCAAAACCAGTTTGAAATGCGGGAATCATAGGCAAGGACTGTCAGCAACATACAACGACTCGGATACGGTGAGTAAAAAGCGGAAAACCCACGGCCCGTTATGGAGCTGATCCTCCGGTGCTCTGATCTCAATGATGAATGTTGCACATGTTCAAAATGATCGCTGGTTTGGAACTGAGACAGGACTGTGGGGGTTGGGGTCAAATACTGAAAACTCAGCCTGAGGCCGTGGAGGCTGCATGCGTTCAGGTCGCCGATGGACGCAGGCTCCCCCGGCGCACTAGACGACTGTGCCCAGATGTGAGTTAAACGTTAAACCGAGGTCTGGGCGAATAGAACTGCCCCAGCCATCGCGCGATTGCAAATGGTTGCAAATGGCATCTGCGAATAGAGGGCTTGTAGGTTGTTTGCGATAAGTCCGGTACACTGCGAAAAGCCTAGTCATTGCCTCGGGGGTAGAGTCACAGTATGTTGCAAAACCCGGGAATTTTTTGCGCAGATGATTGAGCCCACATATGTTTAAACGAGATTATGCTCGTCTGGGAACCCGGTGGGGCTGCTTACTGCATGAATACCGTGCGGTGCAGAACATAGAGTCCGCTGACGTCATGCCTAGCTTCATGGAGAGCCAAGGTTCATGCACATGCATCATGGGAGAGCACCCTTGGGCACCGCTTCGGCGAGTTAGATTGCCAGGCATCCCGACGGAGGTGAGAGACATGTGCATGTAGGACAGCTGGTTGCCAGTTCCGATCAACGCGATGAGCACGAGGCATATGGATGATTGACTGTGCTGCCACGGGAGGCGGACTTTGACCACAAGCTGAGCAATTTACGGATGTGTCCACAAGACTGGGGGCAGAGGAGGCCGAGTGAGAGGAGCACATGGTCGAGGGTGTAAGAAAAGGACGAGGCTAAAGATGTGCGACGAGGGATAGGTGTCCAAAAATGGATGCGGGAGATTTGAGTTTGTGAGTTGTCGGGTCACTGACATCAAGTCAACACCAGCACAAGCATCCCCTTCCTCCTCCTTCTCCTCCTCCTCCCTCCTCCCTCCTCCTCTCCTTCCCGCTCTCCCTCAGCTGCCGTCTCAGCTCGACGCTCTGCTCGCACACGCTGCTTTTCTCCTAATGAGCAGCTCAGAGCAGAGCCAGGCATCGACTCCCACCCAAGCCTGGCTGAGGGAAGACAACCACGTGTTCCTCATCACCCTCTCCCTCGCTCTCGCCCTCGGCTCCATCGTCGTCTGGCGCGCCCGTCTCGCTAACATATTGGACAAGGATGCTGCGCGTCCCCGCCCCGACCCTCGCTCCTCCAAGCGTGATACCACCCTCCTCGCGTCCGCTCTTGCAGCCCTCCACGTAGCCCGCTCACAACCTCCGCCCAACTCGGACGATCTTTCTTCGGAAAAACTCGATCCCGATGCTACCCAGGACGGCGACGAAAAGCACAAGGGAATAGCTCGGCCCAAGGAACGGCGGAAAAGAGGAAAGGATCCCTACAAGGTGCTCCTCAAAGGCGGGAAGAAGAGCAAGGTGCTCCTAAAGGCCATTCAACTCTCCGCTGATGATGCCAAAACTGAGGACGGAAGTAGCACGAGGAGTGCCTCACCCGTACCCGACGCGGACGAGGAGACAGCGAGCTCGACGACGGCAACTGCACCCTCGACCGAAAACTCGACACGTTCCGCGGGCGACTCAGAGGTCAGGACCGCTTCTTCGACCACACGCTCATCCCGCGTGCCTTCCATCGAGCACGTTGAGTCGCTCGCTTTTGACGGTCAATTTTCATTTCACTTGCTCCCCGGAATACTAGCTGACATGTCCGACGTTTCCCCCCGCCAGTTCTCCCCTCTAGTTCAGCGCCTCCCCAACAAGACTTCGATGACGATGACCACTCTTCCAGAGACGCGCGACACCCCATGGATCCGAGTGATCTTGCCCACACTAATGACGCTCCCTCGTCTTCACCTTCTCGTCTATACTCGCCCGAGCAAAATACGCCTTCACCACTCGCCTCTCCTCCGCCTCTCCCTTCCCAAGACGTCTCTGATCCCGCACCTGTTTCACGTCCTCGTCCCAACGTCACTTCACCATTCCCATCCCCTAATGCTCCCTCATGCTCCACATCCACAGCTGCTGCCACATCCACGCCCACACTCGCCCGCAGTCCACAGTCCGACTCTACACCGACGCACGCCTCACCACATGATACACACGCACGCCAGCCGTCATGGGATTGGGACAGCCAGGCACCCCTCTATTCTACCGCTACCCCTGAGCCCTCCGCTCCGTCTACGTCCTCGGGCGCTCCGTCCACGTCTGCCTCCGTCTTCGGCTCCCCTCCGTTCCCATCGACGTCGACTTCGTCTCCCCCAGCATCGCCGCCTACGCCCTCATCCGCCCAGTCCGGCTCGGGGTCGCCTTATGGGGCACTGCAGTTCCAGCCCCAAAACCACAAGCCCCCGCGCTTCCGCTCGCGCCAGCCCTCGGGCTCGATGCCACTATACGCAACGGCGCTGCCGTTCGCCGCGTTGTCTGCTTCCTCGTCTTCAACCGCTAATGGCAATGGCAATGGCGCCGCGAGCGCGAGTACAAATTCGGGCACGGACGCAGATCCGGACTCGGACGAGATGCCCCCGCTCACATTCCCGACGCTCAACGCGCTTCCGTCGCCCATCGCACCGCACCCATCGCCGTTGCCGCTGTCGTTGTCCTCCGGTGTATATTCGGAGATGAGCGAGCCGCACGCACGGTCCGGGTCTGGGCAGGGGCATGTGCATCAACATCACAGGCCGCGGAGTCAGAGTAAGAATAGCGTTGGTCTGGGCCTGGGGAAGGACAGGGACAGGGACAGGGACAGGGGAGGGGGAGGGGATATGGACAGGAAACGAGAACGGGAACGGGAAAGAGAAAAGGGCAAGGAAAGAGACGCAGGCGAACGCGGGCAGAGTCCAGCGCCCGCCACGGGTGCTGGCGCACCGCGTTCGCCGGCGCCACCACCGCCGCGGACAACGTCGCCCTCTACGCCGCTGAGCGCGCAGACGCAGCTCGCGTCGATGCGCGGGGCGCTCGAGGCGGCGCGTCTGAGGGAGGAGAAGACACGCGCGGAGGCGGAGCGGCAGGGGCGGGAGATCGAGGAGCTCAGGTGGCGGTGGAGTGAAAGTAGGCGGAGGGAGGGCGAGTTGCAGGTCCAGGTCGGGCAGTTGGTGAGAGAGCTGGGGGTCTATGCTGGGATGCTTGGGTCGGCGGCGGCGGGCTCGGGTTCGGGTTCGGGTGCCGCGTCGCCTAGCGCGAATGGAGTTGGCGGTAGTGCAAATGGGAACGGAGGGCAGCAGTTCGCATTTCCGCGGCCTGTGCATCCCCTGTCGGTGTCTAGCCCGCTGGCGGTCCATTCGCGCGCGAACAGCGGCCAGGCTCAGGCAACGCTGTCAGCACTGGTACTGGGATACTCTCCCGCTGCCTCACCGGCGCCCTCGTCACCAGCGCTTGCACCAGTACCAGCACCGTCGTCCCGCCCGCACTCGCGCCTCCGGGGCTCGCAGTCGGCACGGGCAAGCCCAGCACCCCCACGCGCACCGAGCGCGAACGCGTTTTCGTCCCCTGCGAGCCCGTCGCCGCCGAGTTCGGGCGCAATGCCACCGCCGCCGATGTACTACGCCTACCCCGCCCCAGCTGCTTCCGCGCACGCGCCGGGCGGGGCGTTCGGCCCGGGTGCACAGCCGTACCTCGTCGCGCCCCACCCGCACCATCCGCACCCGCACCCACATCTTCAGCTGCACCCCCTGGCCATGGGTATGGGGATGGGTGTGGGAAGTCCGGGTGCCGGATACCCATCCCCATACGCCGTGTCGCCGGGCATGCTGCCCAGCCCGTACACGCAGTATTCTAACGCTGTGCCAGGAGTGGGCGGGAACGTGAACAGGAGCACGGCGAGCACGCCGGGGCTGTCGCCTGCTGGTGCACTGCCAGATCCGTTCGCGATGCCGGTGTCGATGTTTTCCACCCACGGGCCGGGACGCGGACGTACGCGCTATCGCGGTGCTGGTGCGGGGAGCGCTGGCGGGAGCAGTGCTGGCGGGGATGGTGCTGATGGGCTTTTGCTCGAGGAGGACGAGGCGCTCGGCGGAGGCGTTCAGATTAGGGAAGGCCGGAGAGATGGCGTAGATGAGGGAGAGGAGGAGGAGGGAGAGGACGACGACGACGTGTTCAACAATCCGCTTGCGGCTGCGATTCTCAAGCGGCCCGAGCGCATGCGCGCGCACTCGAGTCGGGGGAGCGTGCGTTCTGGGTTTACCTCGAATTCGAACTCGAATTCGGCGTCTGCGAGTGCGAGCGAGAGCGGGCGGGATGTTGGTGTGATCGTGGAGGAGGAGAGCCGCGATGGTGGGGTGAACGGAGGTGGGGATGCGGGTGTCAATGGATACGAGGCGGCGACGACAGGAAAGGGCGGGGTGTCCACGCTGGGCAGTGGGGGCTAGGCTTTCCTGGTCTCCGGAAAATCCGCGTGCCAGGGCCCTTCGCTCCCGGCGAGGCCAGAGTAATATTGCTGGTTGACTCTCAAAACCTCTGAACGGACCGCCGCTCGATGTTCAGCTGGGACCACGGATTAATCTCGACCGGCCAGGGCAGCGTAACTTTATTTTGGCCGGCTTGAATATTAGGATGTCCGCCAGAGGCCGACGCGTATGAGGACTTTCCTGGACAAGTATACATACCCAAGCTATCGTTATCTATATAGACGATTAGACGATCACCGACTGGTCGCTGCCAGTATCGAGGGAGCGTCACTCCCGGTTACTGTCCTTGTTGCACTGCTTGCTGTATCTACTGCGTGCGCTCCGGTCGTCGCTGGCAGTACACGTGTAGGGACTCTTGCAGTAGCTCAGCGACGAACATGACAATGTAGCTCTCACCCAATGCCCCACGCAAAACATACCTAGTTGTAGAACTTAGACGAAGAGAGGGAGACGCGACGCGCCGACGCCACGTGCCCGGAAATATCTCGCACCGCGCCGTCATCCGAGGCCTGCGCTGGCCGTGTCAACGTCTCCTCGCCCACCTCCTCTCCTTCACCTCACCACCATCCCCGTCCACCGCTGCCCTCTACTACAATGTCAAACGCAAGGCTCTCCGCGCTCGCTACCCAAACACTAACACTCCTCTTCGAGCGCTCCCGGATGCAGTCCCTCTCCCCAGAGCCCTCGCAGCTCCACCTCCCACAAATTACCGCCAACCTCGAGACGCTGCGCACCGCCGTACTCGCGTCGCCCCCGTACGCCGCAGAGACGGAGGACCTTCGCGTGCAATACGAGCGGCTGCTGGATATGCTGGGCGAGGCCGAGGCGCAGAAGGCCGGGCTCGAGCGGTGAGTGCGCTAGTGTCCTGTGTTTGGATGTCGTGTGCGAGCCGAGCGTTGTGACTGATGTTTACCTATTGTTTTGGTTGGGTGTACGTAGGATACCACCGCCCCGCGAGCCGACACCGCCACCCCAGCCGCTGTCGCCGTCGCCAACGCCGAGCTCGGATACGCCGTACGAGCCGTACACGGACGACCCTGGCGTCTCGGACCACGGTATCCTCCTCCAGCAGCACGAGATGATGTCTGGTGCGCTCTTCCCCCGATCCCACTTTTGCATCAGCGGCTCAGACCAATTGTCTGTGTAGACCAAGACACGCGCCTCGACGTACTCTCGTCCTCGATAGGTCGGCAGCACCACCTCTCACTACAGATCAACGACGAACTCGATACGCACTCGGGCCTGCTCGACACGCTCGATACGGACCTCGACTCGACGCATGACCGCATGACGTCCGCCCGGAGACGGCTCGACAGGGTCGCGCGGGGCGCCAAGGCCAACGGTGCGTGTTCACGTCTTCGATCCTACATGCTGTGGGTTTAGCTGAGCACCGGGTGAATATGAACAGGCTCGTCTGTGACGATTGCGCTTCTCATCGTCGTTCTCCTCATACTGATCGTCGTATTCAAAACATGATGACGACCACGCATCCTTGGGTCTGCGCTGCTGTCAATGCGCATGTACGCGCTTGATGCAAGACTGCGGTTCATAGGACTATCTCTATTATATACGTGTACCGGATATTTACCCCACCACCTCGAGTTACGATCGGCTAGACCGTACTTAATTCTAAACGTCCGCTGTGGCCTCCTTAGAGCGCTGGTTATGGCGTTGATTATAAAGGTCGCAAGACCGATGACAACTTTGTTACTCTGCTTATAACACTCAGCTACTCAAGGCGAGTATTGGTGCCGAAACTCGTCGCTTAACCATGTCTATAGCATGGCGACGGCGAGTACGTACAAACTATCGAGTCTTCACTGCCCAATCCATTCCGGTTCATTGCTGAGATAGCCTTTTTGCGCATTAGCGTCGCCACTTCTCTCTACCATGACCTCTAGCACTGGCAAAACTACTCGCAGCCGCCGCAAGACAGCGCACCCCCCGCAAACCGCCCCCTCCAGCCCTCTTCATCGCCGAAGTGATGCAAAACATCGCGAGCTTTCAGATCTGCAAGAAGGATCAGCTTTCCCTTGCTTTGACCTGCCGTGCCATCTCTGGACCTTCAGTTGACGCGCTATGGGCAGAACTTCCCAGTCTCATTCCTCTGCTTCTCAATCTGCCGAGCGAGCCTGTTGAAGTAAAGGAGGTCAACAAAGGTCGAGACTTTTCAGACGAGGTATGAACCAAGTGTTGAAATCGGGCGCTCCATGTTGCTCATCCACAGCTACAGAGCGTCACCCTCAAGCACCCCTTCACAGAAACAGATCAACACGTCTTTCGCGAGCGCGCACGCAGGGTTGTGAGCCTTGTTCAGGATGATACTAGTTGGGTTACATATGCTAGCCACGATCTCTCTGAGCATGGGTACTCTCAGACCTTGTTCCACGAGCTATGCTCTTTCCCGTCCTCGCAAACGCCGCTTTTTCCGAAGCTGCAAGAGTTGGAGTGGGATAACGACGACGACCGTGCAATTCCTTTTCTGTTCATGACATTGGGACCGTCCGTATTGTCAGTCGACATGGATCGCGGCCTGCTTGACGACTCTCAATTCTCAACCTTCATGCGAAAATGTCCTCGACTGAGGATTTTCAAAGACACTGCGTGGTTATACAGACGCGGCGACCCTGGGCAGGAAAGCCCCGGTCCGATCGACTCCCTTTCCCAGCTCGTTCGTTCCTGGGATTACGTCGAGCGTCTTGACTGGGGATTTCTCGACCTACCTCCACTATCTCACCTATCTCGTCTGAAGAATCTGAAGAAACTACAAGCAAACATTAGCTCTTCCGTGTCTTCCTTTCCGGCTTCACCGTCCCTGTTCCCCGCTCTCGAAACCCTTGATTTATCCGCCCCCCCGGGGCCAAAGTCTTGAATTCTTCGCCGAGGCCTTCAGCATCGTCAGCAGCCCCGTCGAAGACGTGCATGTTACAGCCGACACGATCTCAGACTTGGCGCTCTCGAACTTGATCGCGTCCCTTCCTCAGCCCGCGCGAAACGAAAAGCTGCTATACGTGCAGATAGACGAAGGCGTCCGCGAACGACCCAACGCCGCCCGCAGCCAGTCCGCCGTCGACCCAGCCGTGCTGCAGCCCCTGCTCCGCTTCGGCAACCTCGTCACCGTCGAGATCGAGACGTGGCGCACGGTCGACCTCGCCAACGCCGACCTCGCGCAGATGGCGCACGCGTGGCCGCGCCTGCAGCTGCTCCACATCAACATGGAGAGCGGCTGGAAGCGCGCATCGCGCGTCACGTATCGGGGGCTCCGCGTGCTGCTCGCGCGCCTGCCGCACCTCGGCCACCTGCGCATCGCGATCGACGGGACGCACGTCGACGACGACGAGCGCAGCAGCGTGCGCGCGGACCGGCTCGTGTGGAAGCGCCGCGAGTTTCGGCTGGATCTGCTCGATTCGAGGATCGACGAGGACCAGATCGAGGACGTCGCGGAGTGCGTTGCGGATATCTTTTGGGAGAAGGATCTGCAGCACGACTGTTTGCCGCTGGCTTGGGACTTTGAGCGCACGCCGCCCGATCTGGAGGAGGAGTGTGCGCTGTATGCGCCTCGCTGGAGGAAGGTGCAGGATATTTTGCTTGATGCGGAGGAGGAGAGGACTGAAGGCTGCGTCGTTTGCTAACCTATATTCTCGTAACGCCACGCACGCGCCAATATATCCAGGCACGCGATTGGTGCTGGCTGCTCTCCCAAACTACGATGACTCAACCCACATCCTTCCCTTTGGCTGCTGAGGACGGATCTGATGATGATACTGCTTCGGAGCAACACCTTCAATCGTGCGCAAGGTCAAACCGGCTGCTACTGTTCACATCGATGTATCCAGGGTACAGGAGGTACAGGCCGCCTTGGTATACTAGCGATCAACCAGATTCACGCCGCTGCTTCCCGTAAACAGTCGGCCAACAATGCCTTGGCTACCCCCATGACCTCCATAGAAGCTTCCCCCCATGATGAACAGTTCACGGGCAAGAGCTACTCAAAATGGCAGACGGCGCAATGTTTGTGCTTCTCGTTTACACGAGTCGCACTTTCCCTACCCCGCCTCACGCATCATGCGTGTCGATTATATTTAGTTGCTTTGCGTCAGGTGTGCTCAATTTTCCGCAGCTTCGGTGGCTCGTCTCTGGCCTGGTTGTCTGAGTCAATTGAGACAACATTCGGCGCTAACTTGAGTCACTGTTGAAGCTCTCAACAAGGTTCACGGGAATATCTTTGTCAGACTCCGTTCGATAACTTTGGTGAGGCGTTGATCAGCATCCCAGGGATCGCCGTGATCCTCCCGAGCCTTTTCTCTCATGGTTTTGCTCCTACTGGGGTACCATGTTTGACGAAGACAACGGTGTCCTTTATCGCTCCCATTCTATATACTTTTAGGGTTTATGGATTCCTCGGGCTGTCCGAGATATACATACGCAGCGGCGGGTTGCTCCGATAGCCTTCAGTTAATGCTCAACGGTGATTTTTGCTGGCTGGCTTCCATTTCTCCTTTCAACGTGCTGAACGTTCTAAACGCCCTGCTGTTTCTACAATGTGCCGCTCGATGTCTTCTTCACGTTAGCAATTCAAAAGATCCTGCCATTTATGAATGTAAGCTTCCGCTGTGGAAACACCGTGCGAAAAGCGCATATTGCTGCCCGTTAGGTTATAAAACCAGGCAAGACCGCCGAGTGAAGAAAATCCGTCCTCTTCTTTAAATCGCCAACACCAAGGTCAACGCCCATGACTGATATTCAGACAGCCGGTGAGGTTTATGCGAGAAAGCGCGACAGATGAACTAGGACCGTCTAACCATTGCAGAGGAGAAAGAACTAATCGCCAAGTGGAATGCGGGCGACTATACTGCCGAAGGCTGGGTTAATAAGTGAGTAAGCTCGCTGATGCTGTCCAGATAATCTGAATCGTTGACTGCTCTCTCACCCCCATTACTTGTAGTACGGATGGTCTGACAGAAGAAGCGCTTAACGGCCTGGCGGAGTACAATACCAACAAATGTCAGTCCACGCCCTTCGTTGCTGGCATCTGCATCAATATCTAAAGCTTTACCACGCAGACTTTAACTCGGACAACCTCGACGAGGAGAGTCTTCTTAAAGTCTCCGACGTTGACACCCTTGCTCTGTTCGAGAGCTTCGCTGCCACCGCCGCCTCCAATGCAGCTATGTCCGTTACAACAGGAAGAGTCAATAATGTCCCCGCCGTCATCGCCGAGGTGTTCAATAGGTTCGCACCGGGATTCGGTCGCTTCCGGGCCGTCTTTGAACGTCAGGGATCTGCGGGAAACGCTCGCATTAATGGTAGAACAATGATTCTATTTGCTTCATGCTTGAAGGACGGAGTTGCTGATGAACCGTACGCTACAGGCCAGGTGAGATGGGAGACTGGCGGTGCCGTGTCGACTGCACTCGGTCTCGCGGTCCTTCAAAACGACCTTCCAGCCAAACCTCAGGTCGTGCTCAGCGCGACAACATCGGGCGTGCCGCCATCGCCCAGGCTGCAATTTACTGGTCCTTCCGGAAATCTCACGTTCAAGACGACGTTCAGGGGCAGTGGGCGCTACATGGCCTAGTACGATCTTTCCCTCTGAATTGCCCACGTTCCAAGGTCTGGCTGCTTCACAAGTAGTAGTCGGGTCGCCGATGATATATTGTTTTTACGAGCACAAATTTGTACTATAGGTATGATGCGCTATTGCGATAAATGTAGGATTGTCGGCAACCAGTTTGGTGGACCATGACATGTCATCATGATTGACCGTGTTGGGACCCTTGTTTTCTATCTTCATTCTGCTAGCTGAGCTACTTGCTTTACTACGATTTATCTGGGAAAGTGTCAAGAAGCTCATGCATTGCATGGAGGGAGCTAGGCTCAGGGTGGTCTTCTGGGCATTGCTCTCGGCGATCATATAAACCTGTTGAGGGCGAGTCATCGTCGCAGGCAGCAGCCAATTCCTTATGCAACGTCGACAGTTGCGGAAAAGTCCGCGATGTAACTTCAATAGAGTGATAACTCGGACGCGAGACTTCACAACAGTTGTTCGAGCACTCAACGCAAACGATACAATTGACACAAAACGCGACATAAGGGATACATAATGCTGGATTGAACTCCCGCCAATGAAGATCTAGGACTCCACGGAACAGTAACGTGCCCAAGGGCAATGGAAAGAAAGACGAAGTCCCTGCAGCCTCGAAAGACGAGGCAACCCAATAGACGCGAAGTCCGATGGGAAGACACACGAAGTCCCGACGACTGGCTGAGGCACGAGGCCTCAGAAGATAGAGACCGAAGTCTCAAGAAAGGGACCGAAGTCACCCTCGCGGTGCGAAAAATTTGGGGTAAATGTACCCAATGACAGAGGTGGCGCGTAAATCACCAAACCCCTCGCTTAGCAGAGGCGGGATGGTCGTCCTCGCCAATGCTGAAGCGTTCTCGGGCCTGTGAAGGCACCGAGGTCGTCGACGTGAAGCCAACGACTTGAAGAAGAGGAATCGCCGGAGTGGCGGCATGAAGTAGTCGTCTAGTAAGCAGCGCCGCTCGCGGGCTCTTGTACTGCTGGTCCTGGAGTGAAGCGTCAGATGGGTTGGCATGGACAGGTTGAATGATAAACTTACCAATACGGAATAGAATCCAAGACGTTAGCTAGAGCTACGCCATAGTGAGCCACACATAAAAACCGCATGCAGTACGACGTACCAAGTTTCCGTTGCGGGAGGCGGGGCCAGCTGAGTGGCGGTCGAGTCGCCAGAGGCAATGATAGCGGTCGCCAAGAGCATTGTCCGCGTCGATCGCAGCGTCGGTCAGCCCGCGGCCCAACAAGCCACACTATCCACGGTCTTGGAAACGTGGGCTTCATGCAACCCATCCAGCACTCACGAGCACTGTTCCGCACTCCAGTCAAAGCAAGCGGCAGGTGAGCCACGCCACTGCAGAGACCTGCCGACGACACGACGGGTTAAGAGAGAAGCTAAGCCATAGAGAGGGGCGTCGGAGAGGAGAGAGGAGAGGAGAGAAGCTGAGGGAGCTGAGGAAAATCGGCGGAGGATGGGCAGCCTTTTATCCTGTTCTGAGGGCTCGCCTGCGCTTGGTGATTTCAACTCCGAATCGTTCTCCAGTGGATATTTGCTTCTGTTTGTAGCATAATTTCCCAAATCAAGACCAGATCGGCAAGCCCAGAAGTGCGGACAACCGGCTCCGAGCTTTGACTGTTCCGTCTCTCCCGTCCAATGAAAATCGAATTCGCTCGCGGAATACGACGACCCTCAAGTCTGCAAGATTCATCCTGTCATGGGTGATGTCGGGTGGCCATCAGAACTCAAATGTGAACAAGAGACTGCTTGTTGGCGGCCGAACTGGGCCGCAGAAGTTTCCTTTTCCAAGCCGCGTCCAGATCCTTGGCATTCGGTTTATGGAGAACAATGCGGACCTCGCCAGCTCCTTCGCCTTCCAGCTGTCACCGCTTCGCCAATTCGAGATACAACTGTTTATCTCACAAATCGTCAGGAAAGTGTCCAGGTCCATACTCGTGACTATGCTGAATTCTTCGCCCGTTGATGTGAGGAAAGTAGAGAACATAACCCTCTAAACACGGGGTGAGCTCAAAGGCTCTGCATGCGGATCTAACCATGTCTATCCACGACACGAGGAGCAAGGGGAGCTCCACCAGACCCTCGGCGATAGTAATCGGAACAAGCCCCAAAGCGACGTCAGTTCCCTGGGGTCAAATAGGCGCAAATATAAATTAGAGCGATCCTCGCGGCCTCCCGCGTGACCTGCCTCTTCGTTATACGAATTTGCAGGAGCGACTGGGTCTACGAAACACGTTTTGTTCCATACTATTTCTGCAAGTTAGCTAGTCGCGAGCTCCTTCTCGAGGCTCAGCATTTTGCTAACGCTATTAAGCACCTAGCGGCAGATGTCGTTGGCCGCTCGGGCCCGGGCAGAATCGCGATGATACGTGCCACCGAATATTTTTCCTGCCGAGCTCTCAGGCTCGAGAAACTGGCTTTAAATCTGAGCCGGGAAGTAATCGTCCTTCCCACCTTGTTCGCCGAACTATCGTGTCGATAGTTCTTTCCAAACGCACGGGGGTTTCCTCCTTCTGGTCGGCGCGGGTTTTCCGGTGCGCCATCGACGCGCCTGGGTACCTCCGAGGCAACGCATTTGCGCGGAAGGGAAAGCAACCCCTGGGGTAAATTAGAGACTACGTCGTGAGCGGATCGCTCAGATGATGCTGACATGTGAAGTCTCTGTGCACTTGAACACTTGGCTGCGCTGCGCGGCCTTAGATTCTAGTTGCCTACTAATGTACCATCCGCGATGTTAAGCTGTGTACGATTATAACAATGTCATGATACACTAAGTCAAGTCCTTACTCATAGATCAACAAAAACTACCAACGTCCCAAAGCGAACATCGAAACCAGAGTCCACGTACAGTAATAGGAGATAACCAAGTAATAAAGGTATAAGAGTGTCAATTCAGCGTGAAACCACGAAAGTCCAAACCAAGTCCAGCGGAAAGCGTTTCGTCCCTTAACAAGTGGGGTGGTAGTTGCTGTCCGACGAGTACTGGAGCCAGTCTGCGAGGTTGTCGTACGGAACCTCGAGCGAGTCGCAGTTACCGGTCCACGCGGCGACCAACGTCCAGAAGTCCGTAACATAGTCGGACGACGTGGGGTACGGCCCGTTGTTGCCGGTCTGATACGGCGACTCGGCGCCAAAGGGTCCGCCCTCGCTGCCCCAGGTGTTAGTCTGAAACGAACAACGTCGTTGTCAGCCAAAGTGAGCCGGGAGTGATCGAAGAAACGAATCGCACCAAGGCACCGTAGTACGCGTCGATCGCGTTCTGCAGCGACATCGTGCTCGCGCCGCCCGTGATGTTGTTGAACACGTCGATGCTGAGGCGGTCGAGCGAGGCGGCGGTGGGGATGTCCGTGTTTCCGACGTAGGTCGGGTAGACCTCGCGGATCATGACGTCGGGTGTCGCGTCCGCGGCGCCGGAGCACAGCGCGGCGAGGGTGCAGTACTCGTTCTGCCACGCGCCCTGCGTGATCCAGAGCTCGCACTGGTTGAGGAGCTCCTTGCACGAGCCGTTATCCTCGGCGGGCTGCGCGCCGCAGGGGGTGTTGAGGGCGGCGTACGTGCTTCCGCAGGACGTGACGGCGGGGCAGACGCCGACGACCGAGGAGTACTCGAACCAGTCGGCGAGGTTGGTGTACGGGATGCTACCATCGCAGTTGTTGGTCCAAGCTGCGGCGATGAGGAACTGGTTCTGGAGTTCAGGGCCGTCGGACCTGATACAACGTTGAGTAACTTCGGTCACGCTCAGACGAAGAATGGCGGCTCACGCAGAATTGTACGTTCCGCCCGCAGCCGCGACTGCAGCCTGGTAAGTCGCACTCAAGCTATTGTATGTGAGCTGGTCGGAACCCTGTGACAAGCCGTTGAACGCGTCTTGCGTAAGACGCGGTTGGTCGGCAGGGGCGCCAAGCCAAGTGAGGATCTCGGCGGGTGTCCGTTCGTTCTGAGCGCACAGAGCGTACTGCGCGCACGCGGTGCTGTTCCAGACGTTGCTGAGATCCGTCGTGTTCGCGTTGCAGGCGATTGTGAGCCAACCGCAGCTCTGTGGGGAAAACTGGGCGAGCGCCGTGGCGAAGGCACTCGCCACAATGACAGCACGCAGGGTGGTGGACATTATGGTGAGGAAGGAAAGAGCACTAATGAGGGGTGGGAGGTAATGAGACTGGAGGTTTCATAGCATACCAAGTCTGCTTTATACAAGAGACGAGGGCGGCGAATCCAAGCCGTGCGGCGGGAGCAGTGAAACAACCTGTCAATGACTCAGGAACAAGCAGCGCTTTGGGAGTTTGTCAGGTCGCCTTGACAGAAGAGTAGGATGATCACAGATGATCACTGCCTTGAAGAATGCATGCATACTAATGGCCCACGATGCCCATTGTTAGCGGAACTCGGATGAAATACTGGCATGCATGCACAAACCTCACGGTTTCAACCTCTTCCAGATCACTGACCCATGTGGCTCATTGCCCAATTTGAACACATATTCTGACACATATTGTCTGAACTCGGATCTTCCATCCTTGCATGTCGTGGAGTTTCACGACTGGAAAAGGAAAGAGACACTGAGGTTACTGCAACCGGCCGGTGAACGACTTCAGCACCGACTCGACTCCGTTGCAGTAGAAGTGTGCATACCTCGAAGCTCAGCTGTGCGATGAGAGCCTCTGCGGTCCCGCTCGCGGTGATGCTCGGCGTTCCTATAGTACCATGCACTCCCCGACGTTGCACCGCACATGAACGATGCAGTTGAATGTTGATCTGAGCTTCGAAAGTTGAAAATGTGCTAAATATAATTCTTGTACCCACACGGCCTTTCCCTGCCGTCATCAAGTCATCTTAGCATGTCTGAATGCTGCGTTATGAGAATGCGTGGATCGAGAATGAACTGCTGAAGCCAGAGGTGGAGCCGTGATTCACGGAGACGGTGAAGGAGAGAAAGACAAACTCGGGCCGTGTTCTGGCAAGAGCACTGCCTCTCGTGTTAGGGGCTCGTACCAAATGCGGAAGGCGATTTTTGGCGTCGCGCATGTCATTTGCGAGTCGCGTCTCTTGTCCCCGACGCGCTCCTTCAACCTCGCGCCAGACCGGCATGTGTTGCTCTTTCCTATAGGATAATCGCTCTCTCTTCGCTAGTTTCTATGCGTCCCACATCCACTCGCCGCCTCCATGCCACCATCTTTCGCGCTAAGCAACCTCTGTTCGAGGAATGGGTGCGCCCACTCAACAAGAAGCAGCAGAAGGTTATGAACAAGGCAGCCGTTCACTACGGCCCGCAGTATCATGGCGCGATGAAGAGGGATGTTCGAAATGTCCTAGCAGTGCGTACTCTTCCTACAAACTTCTTCACTGGTGTATCGCTGACCTTGGCCTCACCTAGGTCTATGAAGCCTTACCATCAGAGCAAAGGCAGAAGGCCGAGCTCAAAGCACGGGTCGAAGACTTTCTCAACAAGCACGCGGGTGCACGCTATCAACTCGGTGACATTAGCCCCAGCACATATGGCTTGGACTTACATAGCATACCCTCCGAGTTCGTCATTGTCGTACGTGGTTTATTCGTTTCCTGCGTGGTAGAATCATGACCATGTTGACTGTGTGTTAGGACACACAATACCCCCATGGCATCCCTCCGAACAACGACATCCCCTCATGTATTGCATACGACATCGAGTGAGCGTCACTTCGCATAACCGCTAACAAAGGCTAAACAGTCACTGGTAGCCGCCTTACTAACGCATTGCGCGACGAGGGCTTTATGCTCGCGCCTCCCGTTAAACCAATCAGCAAGCGCATGGCAAATCCCCTGGGCTATCTCAACGCCCCGACCCTGCAGATCTTGGACCCCCAGCCTTTCACCCTCACACTCCCGAATCCTGCCGTTATGCGCACCGCGAAACTGCTCGCAGCGTATTTCGGCCTCAGCGAAGCCATTCACAACACGTTCCGATCGGCCTACGTCTGGGTGCGCTCGCATGGTCTCGACAAACATGTCACGCCCATGACGCTAGCACTGGCGGTTGTCGCGTTTTGCCAGGTTTGCCATTCCTACACCCAAAAAATGTTGCGTGTGTGCTCATAATCCAACTTTAGCTCGAGAAGAACCTCCCGAGTCTGTCAAAACCTCGCACGGCGCCCTTTTCATCTTGGAAGGATCACCCACTGATATGGGTACCACTTCGCGCGGAGATGCTGACGGGCCAAGGTCGGAGCCGAGGTGTCCGTACGATCGAGAAACGCGTAGCCGTCGACACATCCTTCGCGGCGAGGCCTGATAGTGCCGTTCGCGAGCGGCCTATAAGTGGCATGCTGGGAGGGTTCTTTGGGTGAGTATACTGCTTTTCGTGACCCGTTCTGGCGTCTAACCATTGAATGTCAGCTTTTGGGGAGACGGGCGGACTTGGTTCTCTGACCACATCGTCTCCCTTCACTCAGCGAGCCTGATACCCAGACGGTCCGCATATCTAGGGTCTTCGAAGCCGGATACGCTCAAGAGAGCGGACGGCCTTGGGCTTACCTCTCCGGATATTGGGGACGATTTCAGACTCGACGCAAACATTCAGCCCAAGATATGGGCTTACCAGCCGCTCGTCATAGCAGACCCTTTCCTGATTACCTACGTAAGCCTCGTGTTCACATCTAACTCCTTCTTGCTGCTCTGACGTACTTTCCCCCCTGGCGCCATTGTCGCCCGCAGAACCACGCAGCAAACTTGAGCCCCAATCGCTGGTCCAGCTTCTCGCGGGCCTGTCTGACCGCCCGCGAAACGATCATCACTTCCAACCCGTTCGTGAGGATCCTCGGAAATCACTACCCGTCTGCCCGCGATCTCCCTGGGAGACGCGAACTAGGCAGTCGAGCGCCGCCACGGCCTGCATCCGCACTGCCGTCTGGACCACCTGGGCCACCTGAACCCAGAACGACACCGCCCCCGCCGTACCAAAGTGCGGCCAAGGGAAAGCTACAACGCGAGCTCCTACCGCACCTAGCGGGGCCGGTCTCGCGGACAGGCGGATCACGAGCATACCACACTTCATCGCGCGACGAACCACCCCGCGACACACTGGAAGCGGAGCAGGCCATCGGACAGGCTGCTGATGCCCATGTCGACCCCGAGGACCCGCTCAACCTGGCCAGACACTATCCTATGCTAGTTCGCTTTTTCTTTGCCGTCGCATGGCCGCCGTGCTAACATTTCCCTTTTACTTTGCGGTTAGGTGAGCACCGTCGGCCCGGAAAGGCTGCGTCAGCGCGAGGAAGCGCTGCGCAGCGTTCGGGAGGCCGTGCGGGCGAAGTACGGACCGCGGTATGACGTCGAGGCGTTCGGGAGCACGCAGTATGGGGTCTCGTCTAATGCGAGCGATGTGGATATGGTCATCACGGTGAGTTGGTCTGTCGACTTAGACGAACTAGCGGCTGAATGGGCTCTATAGGATAGCGAGAATCCTCTTGGTTTCCCGCCTACGCTGAATATGAAGAAGTTGCCTGGTGAGAAATCGATTGGTTGTGTCCTGTAAAGATTCAAGGCGTTTAACATACTCTCCTTTGTGTTAGATGTTTACATGGTCAAGTAAGCATATATTCGGCTCCGTGTATCGCGGACCGACTTATAAACATAAACAGGAAGCTTGGCCGTGTCTTCGCTGGACGCAAGTTCAAAGACGTGAGCGCCATTCCCTACGCCAAGGTCCCCATAGGTGCGTAGTCGCCCCCATCGTATCAGCGCCACGCAAGACTAACCCCGCCTTCCGCACCCCCCGCGCTCTAGTGCGCCTCCGCCACCCAACAAGCCTGATCCAATGCGACATCAACGTGAACGACCAGCTCGGACTCATGAACACGCAGATGATCGCAGCCTACATGCGCCACGTCCCTCTCGCGGCGCCCATACTGCGCTTCGTCAAGCTCTGGGCGAAGCCCCTGAAGCTCAACATGCCGTCGACCACTCGCGGGGGGTTCATCTCGTTTAGCACGTACGCGTTCGCGCTGATGGTCGTCGGATTTCTCCAGGTGAGCGCTGTCGCTTCGCCTGGGACTTGTACATACGGGGTGTGGTGTTAACGGGAACGATGTCGTGTCGAATAGCACAAGGGGTATGCGCCGAACCTGCAGGCGGGCTTCGCGCGGCTGCCCAAGGACGCTACGACTCCGGGAGAGGTGTTTTGGTGCAAGGGAACTAAATCGCCTACGTCATCGAGGATCATGTGCGATACGCGGTGGAGGCATCCTGCGGAGGGATGGACGCCGGCGGCGGATTACCGCGGGAAGTCAATTGAGCAACACCTCGCGGAGTTCTTTCAGTGAGTTCTTCCAAGTTTCTTCTTTGTGACTAAACAGTGGCTCACGGCTATTCGAAAGGTATTGGGCGCGGGAGCACGACTATGCCAACGATGTTGTCGACATCAAGCTAGGCGGGATCATGAATGCGGACATGAGGCGATCAAAGCCCACCTCTTCGTCTCTGCAACCAGAGGCCGTCGACGAAGACCTCGCTGAGCAGATAGAAACGCACGAGAAGGAGATGGTCGCATCAGCGGGGGATGCCGATGTACCACAGGATGAAAACACGACTCCGGCATCGATCGACCCGGAGCCCAAGGCCACAGCGACCCCCAAGCCGCAACGGACAAAACTGCGCGCGAAGTTCCCCAGCTCGCCTCTGTGCGTCGTCGACCCCTTCATCCGAAACAAGGTGCGCCGCACCTTCAGCGTCCTCCACGACCACTCCTAGCCTACACGAAGCTAACTCTGATCTGATCATCATCAACAGAACGTGACCCAGAATATCGGCAAACGCGTCATCGACTCCTTCCGCGCGAACGCCAACTCCGTGGTCACCCATCTTCGGATGGGCATGCCCCTCTCGCAGATCACCAGCTCGCTGGGGAGGACCTTCCGGGCGCAGAGCAAGGGCCCTAGCCTGACCAAGAGTAAGAAGGCCACCAAGCCGCAGAAGAGCGCTAAGAGACTGAAGAAAATGGCAAAGAGGGCAGCGAAGAAGGCCACGGACAAAACAAAGGAGGGGACCGAGGAGAAGGAAGGGGGATCGAAGGTTGAAGCTTGAGCCGAGAGACGAAGTGGATACGCTAGTCTCCCAGTCCAAGCAGGAGACCAATATGTGGAGTACCATGGGTAGGAAGGTACATTGCTTGCGTCATTAGTTAAAGCATTACAGCATATATAGAAGCACCTAACGCATTAATTCAGGCAGTCCAGTCACCATCGTCATTCAACGAGGGGTCGTAATTTGATAACCAATCATTTGTCGTCAGATGGGCTAGGACTTAATGCAATGGAAAAAACCCGATCGTTTCTGAAGAATACAACAAACCACTACGATCTACACCAAGTGACATCACAAGCAAATGAACCACTCTGAACCACTCGTCTCGCCTCACAATCAGGCAGCAACCTTCGCCCCTCCCCACGCAACCTTCTTCCCGCCAGTAGCAGGAGCAGCCCCATCCTGAGCCTGCGCATCCTGCGGCTTGCCTCCCTTGACAGCAGCAGCAGCAGCCGCGGCTGCCTGGAGCTGCTGCGGCGTGCCGGGCAGGGGGCTCGCACGGAGTCCATCGAGCACACGCTGCGCGTGCTCCGTGTTCCGGATGAACCAGCCCGCGTACCGCCGACCGACCGTCGACTCAGCGATGTGCACCATGTTCTACAAAACCGCGATGCATCAGCGCATTGTTTAGGGGAGAACAGAGGACCAATAAAAAGAAACAGGTCGATAACTCACATCATCAATCGCAAAGCTCAAATCGCTCGTATTGATATACCCGCCCTCCAGCAAACTGAGGCTCGACGAGCCTTCCGTGCCCTCCGACGCACCTCCACCACCGAGCGCAGCGCGCGCAACGCTCCGGCTCGCCTGCTTGAGGACCATCATCTGCTGCACCATCTCCTCTTCGTCCGCATCGAGGAAGTTGGCGAGCTTCGCCGCATCCAGGCTCGTGTACAGCTTCAGGAAGCTGCGCAGTGTCGGCACGGGCACGTGTGCCCTGACATCCGACAGGAAGAGCGTGAGGTGCCGCTGCGCGGGCTCCGTCGGCGGGTCCTCGATGAGCGCCGCGAGCGCATCTGGGTCGTCATACGGCGGCGGGTTGGCAGAGATGAACTTGGGGCAGGCGTACAGGAAGAGCTCCTCAAACGCGGGGATGCCTTCCTCGCTGCATACTACTGTTAATGATGACCTTCGGTGCATAGAAACGGCGGGGACTAACCCTTTAGACATTTTAGTAACTTGTTCGCCGTACTTCTCCCTTACAATGTTCAGAATGTTGTCGTCCAGTCGACTTGGCGAGAGCGCGTGACAGATTGCAAAGAGCGCATACATCCTGTCGGCCGTTTTGTTGATCTGTGAAGAAAATCGTCAGTTACGCTTACACGAGCGAAAGGAAACACTGTGCTACTCACCTGGTCATACTGATAACTCCTCGTGTGGTACTGGCGCATACGCAGCACGAAGTTGAGAATTTGCACGAACGTCCGGATCGCATCTGGGTACCTCCGGAGCATGATATAGCAGAAACCAACGTGGTAGTACGTCGCGACATGGCACGCCGTCACACGCGTGACCGTGCTCTGCACCCATCCACTTCAGCAAAGACGCTACAGAAGTCCACCAAACCAGTGCACGACATACCTTTTGAGTAAGCTCAACGTTCTCCATCACCTTGAGCCCAAGGGTGAAGTCGCCGAGGAGGACATGGACACGGAGAAGACCGATGATACTGAAGTATCCGAGCATCCGATAGAGCGGACGGGCACCATAATCACCGACAATCTCTCTGCATCATAGGTCAGCACCCTGGACCCCGGCAGACTAGAAGGCTCACTCACCCGATCTCCTCATCACTCCGCCCCTCCCTCTTTGCCTTCAGCCACTCGTTGACCCTGCTCTTCTGGATCAAACTATACAGCACGTTCAGTACGCTATAGGAGCTCCAAGCTTGCGTGCCACCCTCGGAGAGCATCACGAGTTCGTCGTCCGACTTGGCCTTAAGCTTCGTGGGCGTTGCCGCGCGGTACGCACAGAAGGACTGGAACTGGTAGATGAATTCGTCGATGATGTCCCAGAGCCATTGTTCTGGCAGCTCGAGGGCGACAGGACCGTCGGAGTCTGTGAGACACGCATAAACAAGGTGAGCCGCGGATCGAGATATGGGGATGGGGAAGAAGGGAGGAGACGATACGCACTGAGAAGATAGTTGAACAGCTCGCAGCTGTTCTCGTACGAGTGGAAGCGGTCGTCGATGTTAGGCTGGAGGCGTGAGTAGACGTGGCGGTAGTAGAGTTCACGGTAGAGGATGAGGAAGATCTGGTCTGTCATGGCATCAGTACTCCAGTGGGGTGGCATGCATGGGGAATGTAGGCATGCATAGAGGATGTGATCGGTGGAAGTCGAAAAAGCGTTACGCACCATCGTTCACCAGTGGTGCAATGATCTCAGCCTCCGGCCACTCCGTCTTCGCGTAGTACTTTTCGGTGAGACGATTCCATCCGCTCTCATATGCTGCCGTGATCTCTGCGAGGTTGTTGTCGAGGACGGCTTGATGGAAGTGGACGATGAACTGCGGGGCAAAGGATGATGGTAATCCGAACGACATTGAAGTTGAAATGCAATAGGGCGAAGCAAGGCGCAAATGAGTAACAGGCGTCTGACAGATGATAAGACACATACACGCTTGACGACGTCGGGGATCTGGGCAAACGCGGCTTGCTGTGCCATGGCGAGGAGAGCCGACTCATCGAGCGAGGGTTGGTGTGCGGCTAGATTAGATATGCATGAGTACTGCGTTTGAACATAACCTCCGCAACACAGAGTGCAGCGAAACTGTGCTGGCCGTAACACACCTTCTTCATAGATAGCTGCACCCTGGTACGACGAGCCCATAGCGAGACTGATGTCGACATCATGGATATCCTCGTCGAGATCGGCTTCGGCCGCCCAGAGGGCCATGCGTTGCTGTGACATTTTTGTTGATTGCAAGAGTCGGCCTAAAGATTGGATGAGATGTTGCGCTCAATGAGCAGCAGAGGCAGAGTGGTCAAGTAAGGGGAGAGGAGACCGAACAACGCTCTTGCTAATCTTTTGCTTGCAATTGCAATAACTGGCTCATAGACCCAACCCCTTGTCGAAATTTTGGGTTCACGGCCAAAGCCGAGCTTACAGATCCCGGATTAGCCCCTATCTTTCAAATGCAAGCTTGGTGTCTGTCCACTCGACACCACAAAGTCAGAAGATGAATCTAGACTCCATCCGATATTATGACATCATCGTTATAGTTTTACATGAAGTAGACTAATACGCGAACTTCTCTCCAACAAGCTCCTCGCTCAACTTCCAAAGTCTATCAGCCTCTACTTTGTCCAATGCGTACGGCTTAACAGTGTCAACGTAAGGATCTGCTATATGACTGTCTTGCAGATAGCACCCATTGTGGTCTGCATGTGAAGAGTGAGCTCTTACATGCTAAATAGCAAACTCGTTCAAACTCACCTCGCAAACTCGGCTCGAAGGAAGCGTAGACGTGCGTCGCAACGCCATGCCCAGGGTCCTTGAAGGGGAAGCCGCTCCATAAGCCTTCCCTGTTCCCCAGCTCCTTATCGAGGGTGACTGCATATCGTATTCAGCCGACGTGATACATCAGAAAGAAACCGAAAACGCACTGAGTCCATCAAGATTCTCGTCCCACTGTATGTGGTTGCCTATGTTCGTGCCGATCGCCCCGGGATGCAACGACACGGCTGTCAAACCGCGCTTGCCCAATCTCTGGGCCAGTTCCACTGCCATCAACATGTTTGCCGTCTTTGACTGGCCGTACGCTCGCCATTTGTTGTAGCACTGACCGTCCTGCGGAAAGCATTAGCCAGAGCTCAATGACACTGGTTGTCAGTAGATAACCATAAGAACTCACCGAGAACCCGACATCAGGCCACCGCATAAAGCTCAGCCTATGGCCATCGCTGGAGACCATCACCACCCTCGGAGACTGCGCCTTGAGAAGCTTGTTCATGATCAGATTCGTGAACAGGAACGGCCCCAGATGGTTCGTCGCGAACTGGCGCTCGAAGCCGTCCTTCGTCTTGGCGTAGTCGCAGGCCATGATACCCGCATTGTTCACGAGCACGTCGATGTGGGGCACATCCTGCCACCCGTTGACCTCCGCCGCGGCCGAGCGTGCTCCTGCGAGCGACTCCAAATCGAGCTGCAGTATACGCGTCTGGACCCCAGCATCGATCGTCGTGACAGCGTCAGCTGTGGCCTGGCCTTTGGCGGCGTTGCGGCCAGCAAGGATGAGAAGCCTGGGCTTGGCCTTCGCGATGTGCTCGACGAAAACTGCGCCTAGGCCGCCGGGCGATACACCGGTGACGAGGACGACCTTGCCCTCGATGTAGGCGGCGAGGTCTTTCACGATGACCTCGGCGGAGGTGTTGACGTCATAGGGGCTTGTCATGTTGGGATGGGGAAGTTGTATGAGAAGTCTCAAGTTATGGCTCTTCGCACCAACATGTTACTGGTCTTATATATGCTGGAGAAGAGCAAGCGGGGGTGAAGGATAAACCCATGATCTTCAAGACAGACGACGCTCTGTCAGCGTTGTGTCAAGGAGTTGACGCTACCACCACCACTATTCCGCCGGCAGTGTCAACTTGAAACAAGGAAGACCGCACTGACTCAGCTGAGTGCTGACGTCGCTCGTCTTCAGCGGGTATGTGGTGGAAGGTATCAGTGAACGAGATGCCGACGCACTGACGCGTTCATTCTCGCCTCCCGGCACGGTCGGCATATGCCGACCTGCCCCTGTTGCGTTGCATTTTCCCAACACCCACCATTTGCAGAAGGATAAAGAACGAGCTTTGACCTGCAGCCAAGTCATGATCAAGACGTGTATTAATACATACAAAAGATATTGGATATAAGATTTAAAGAATAACAAGTTGGTTCAACACAACAAGAGATAGCTATAGCGTACTCAGATTAACCAGAAAACCCACTCGGAGGAATTATCAGTTCTCCCTCAGTAACAACTCGGACAGAGGATTTATCCCCCAAAGGAGAGTAGCTAGGATAGCACTGTGTTTCTCTAAGAGAGAGCAGCATGTTCGCGTTGCGCAAGCGAACCATCTCGTCGAGGAAGAAGTTGCAGCGTGCGGCAGACATTCCATCCATGATCTCGCGGTAGCCATCCAGCCACTGGGTAACTTTCATACCAGTGCCGCGCGTCTCGAAACGATCCTTACCGTCATCTGTTCGCAGCTCACAAAACGTATTCGACATACAGCCATTCGGGCAACAGATGTCGACACTGTCCCACCATTCATCGCCCTCGGTCAGTGATCTCGCTTGTTCATGTCCAGTGTACATCCAGAACTCTGGTTTTAGAGCCCCGAAGAGGCTTGAAACGTTCTTGACGTGCATCTTCGGGTATCATCGAGGATAAGTGCTCATCCGACAAAAACACTGCTTAACTCACTATGGCATTCGTGGCGTCGTCAGCTCCTGGTATGAGCGTGCTGCAGCCAAGGACGATGCCGCAAGGACGCATAGTCATCACTTTGCCCACCCCCTGCGCGCATTCAGTCAATGCGACCTGCGTCTTCCCTGAAAATTGCCATCGGTAAGAGAACGCGGGAAGGTTCGGTGGCCACTTACACCTGATGTGCTGGCCCTCGTTATTGTAGCCATCGTGGCAACACATACAACCAGTGCAACAATGACGAAGCTCTGGCTGACCAAACAGTTGGAAGCGTTCGTTCCTCTCTCGGAGTGCGTCAGCGAAGTCGGGCCAGCCTTCACCCGCGTGAGCTACAGCCAGCGGGCGATTGTGAGGGCGACGGTCACGAAGGAGGGCTAAGACGAGAATCGCGTTCCATACGTCGTCTGCCGTCAACATCGTCCTGAACGGGATGCTGAACTTGGAGGCATCATTTTCCATCTCGTCCCGCTTTACCGCATACGTTTCATGATAGAGGTCTGCGAGATTAGTTGCTGAAGTCCTGCGGGGAGCTCGACTGAGACGCGTATAACTTCAATTACTGGGATGAACAACGTACTGAGACACCAGCATATCATTCGTCCATATCTCGGCAAGTCGTTTCTCAACATAGTGATTCTCGCCAACCTGAATATAATCAGGTACGCCTTTGTAGTAGGTCCGGGCCTTGGACCGGTCGTCTGCGTAAAAGTTTCTGCGGTAATTGCAGCGACATCCTGCAGTAAACGTAGAGTAAGATAGCATATAGATTATATCGCTGAAGAGTACGCACTTGGACAGGTGAGGTTCACCACCTTTGAGTACTGAACGCCGTCATCAATTGTGAACGTCACGGAATAACTGGCTGTGTGATCACGAAGCTCTAGCTCGTAATCGCACTCGGGGTTCGTGCAAAGCCACGAAGGTGGGTAGTGTGAGATGTATGCTCCATGGCCGAGGTTAGGATATCCGCCCAAAGTCGAAATAGTGATCACTCACTTATGCCCTTCTCCCATCCCGTCGTCTCAAACATGGCTACAGTCCGCCGATGGGACTGCCGCTGGGTCGGCATGCGCCATATCTCGTCCCTGAGCGCATCCCAGAGAGTGTCTATGTGGTGCGCGTCGACTTTATTAACCCGAGAGAGAACGGCGGCAAGACGTGGGAGAAGGCGTAAAGGCGCGGAGGTGTCGTCATGTCCAGACGCAGGGATGATGCCCTTGTCGCGAAGGTCGCGACAGTTCTTCATAAAAGACAAAGGATCAACCGCCCCCAGCTCAGGAAAACGTTTGCTGAGGTCGGCTACATCACCGAGGGTAAGGGAAGACATGACTGGAGAGGGTAGCTGACGCTTAGAAATAATGTGGGTGGGGCGCAACAATGCGAATGGGGGTGTGGGTGTGCTGCCACACCAACATCAATTGATATAAAAGCGCGACGCGCTACGTCACGTGGAGTTGACTTTCCGTCCTCTCCGAGGACATACCTTTTGATTGGCGTCAAGGAATGAGAATATTATCGGAAAGGCTGCCACTAACGATTGTCTCGGCAGGATGATGGCAGCTGCGCATGCAAGGCACTGGAGAAAACCACAATTTCCTTTGATTCACGGGAGAAGGAATCGCATCTTAGAACATGATCTTAGCGTACTTAGCTTAATACGCAAACTCTTGACCAACGAGTTTCTCGCTCAGCTTCCACAGTTTCTCTGCCCCCACTCTATCGCGCGCCCAAGGTTTGACGGTGTCGGCATAGGGATCGGCAATCCGACTATCCTGTAGGTAGCTTCCGTTGTGTTCTGCGTTCAAGGTATGTTGGTATACATATTCCTGTGAATATAGCAAGGCCAAGTCAGACTCACCTCGTAAACCAGGTTCAAAAGCACCGTAGACATGAGTCGCAACGCCTTGTGCCAAGTCCTTGAGCTTGAGACCGCCAGCCCTCCAACCCTCTTCGTTTCCCATAGTCTTGTCGAGCAACGCTGTTTACACACTGGCAACTTAGCACTACAGATGAGAGTGAGAGATTTGTGTACGCACCGATTTCACCAACGATTACGTTTCACTCTAAATGGTTGGCGAGCTGTGTCTTAATGCCACCAGGATGCAGCGATACAGCCGTCAGGCCCCGCTTGCCCAGCCGCTCAGCCAGAGCCGCGGCCAAGAGAATGTTCGCGGTCTTGGACTGCCCATACGCTCTCCACCTATCATAGAACTCGCCATCCTAGAAGTGCATTAGCAATTGCACAGCAATCCTCAGCCATGCAAATCAAGGAAAGTGCTCACCGAGAACCCAACGTCGGCAAACCGCACAAACCCGAACCTATGCCCAGCACTCGAGACTATCACAATCCTCGGCGCCTGTGACTTGAGGATCTTGTCCATGAAGATTCGTGAACAGGAACGGCACGAGATGGTTCGTCGCGAACTGGCGCTCGAATCCGTCCTCCGTCTTCGCATAGTCAACTGCCATGATGCCCGCATTGTTCACGAGCACGTCGATGTTCGGAACGTCTTCCCACCCGTTGACCTCCGCTGCGGCCGCGCGCGCTCCAGCAAGCGACTCGAGGTCGAGCTTCAGCACACGCGTCTGCACGCTGGCGTCGATCTTTGAAACGGCGTCCGCGGTGACCTGGCCTTTCGCGATGTTGCGCCCAGCAAGGATGATGAGTTTAGGGTGGGCCTTTGCGATCTGCTCGACAAACTCAGAGCCGAGCGTGTCGGGGGAAACTCCAGTGACAAGGATAGTTTTGCCGGAGATGTGGCTGCCGAGATCCTTGACGACTTCGACAGCGGAGGTTTCTGCGTTGTACGGGCTTGTCATGATTCAGGCTGGCGAAGAGTGCTGAGGTTTCTGTCGTAGAGCCATAACGTCTGCCTTATATATTGTCATGGACAGAGCATGTCGTTACTGTTAGCCAGTTTGGGGTGATGCCGCATTGCCGTGGGGCGACGTCACTGGCGTCCTGTGTGTACCGTCATCCTCGTACATCAGGAAAAATCGTGGGTGCAACTGAGACCTATGGAGTCTCAGTGCGAGTGGTAAGTACGGGTGTACCCCCAGTTTTTCATATGTTCAAGTAGAGGTTGTACTAATGTCTCACATGTCTGTAGTCTCTGTAGACAGTGCAGGCCAAAAGTAGACTCCATATTCAACGTTTACGTAGACCTCAGAAGGATACATAGACTAGTACCATAGGATATGCTACCACCTCTACATCAGCTACCTGATACTCGGATGTATACATATCTTAAAGCGACAGACCAATCAATCACACGGAATGATAAAGTCGAAACCAATCTATTACTGCCTACAAATTTGGTCTATGCGGACGTCTAGTAATGCGAACTGTACAAGATATTCTATTGATTAAGCTTCCGATGATGACGAAACTCCCTCCGGTGACGGAGCTGTTCCCAACGTTGACGCTCCTTCCGGCACAGCAGCTCCACCTGATGATGAACCTCCCTCCAGCATGGGAGCCCCATCCGATGATGAAGCACCCTCCGGCAGTGAAGCACCGCCCGATGATGAAGCTTCCCCCGATGACAATGACTGCTTATAATACTCACGCATCAGGGTTCGTTCAGCCTCCTTCTCCGAGTCCAGGAGCCCAGCTGGCTGGCTCCCATCGTCAAACTTCTCGTGTTGGGTCATAAAACTAGACTCGTAGTTATAATTAGTAATAACTCATGGCAATAGCGTTGAAAGGAACATGACTTACTAGGCCTGGTCAAAGATATTGGTGCGGATCATACGCGAGATGTTGGGATCGAGCTGATCCCACTGATGAAGACGTTCGAGCTTATCCTCATAAACAGTCTTGTTATTAGTGTCATCCACCGAAAACTTCTTGGCCTGCGACAGCCAGCCGTCACCATCACGATACTCCCTGAGACAAAAGTGAATCTAGACATAATGCCAATTCAGTTAGCCCCGAAAAGAAATCTGAACGTATGATTCTAACTTACCACTGTAAACATGAGGGCAATGGTCCGGAGACTGATGGGCCGGAAGTACTTCGTGCTAAGAAGAGCACCGGACGAGGTCTTGCGGAGCAAACCGTCAGCGACAATGTCAATAAGGATGGGATGCATTGCAAGCCCGACCCCCCGGTCCTGATGCTGGTAAAGTCAATAAGAGTGTGGGAGAGAAGACAAGACAAGTAAAGGTACTCACCAACAATGTGTAACGATTGTCAGTGAGGAGCCAGTCCACCCGGCGGAGATTTTTGGCCGCCTCGGACTTGTTGGCGGGTGACTTCTTGACCCCAAATTGATTAACAATGGCCATTCGTGTCGGATCAAGAAGATGCCCGCGTGCATGAGAGTGACGTATCTTGATCTAAGATATATGTTGAACTAGGCACGGAAGCATGATGATTAAACATGACAGAACGCACCACGTGAACCACACGGTCAGTAGCTTCATACGTTGGGACAGGGCGGCCGGCGTTGCGCTTTCGGTTCTCGCGGTTAGCAACACCTATGGCATCGATAGCCCACTGGTATTGGTCCTCGGCACTGGGGAAGGGGTTCTCTCCGAGCACGCGAGCTTCGTAGTCACGGATGCCACGGAGGATAACATCAGATGCAGGGGCCTTGTAGTCGGAGCACTTGCCTTTGGTGACACTGTCACCATTGACCCCCGGCTTCAACGGGGGAGGGATGGGGTCAGGGCTGATGTCGACTGCGTTGCCAGTTGGGCTACGGATGCGATCTGGCAGTTGTTGTTGACCTGCAGGGGTAGGGGTTGGGACAGTGCGAGTAGGGGCAGCCCGAGCATTGGTGTCCTCCTGCCGATTGATGGGGGCGGCTGCACCTCCTGCATCTGCCTGGCGGGCCTCGTCATAGCGACGGAGTCTCTTGTGGGGTGGACTTGGAGGGACTGACTCTGTACGCTGGCGAAAAGTCGCAAACTGAAACGTGCATTAGGTAGGGCATAGCAAGATGGAGGGAGAAAACATACGTTCGAAGAGAATGCTCCTCCATGTGGAGGTGGGTCCTCCTCCTCACTCTCAGGCCTGTTGAGGTCTAACCGAGGAGTTATGGGGGGAAAGATAGTGAAGTAAACTTGAAAGGGAGCTCACCATGCTCGGACTCTTCATCAGAATCATGCTCACGGCTGGTTTGCTGGAGCATGCGCTGAAGCTTTGCAATTTTCTCCTTCTGGGAATCGATTTCGTCCCGGTCTGTGAGAAAATAAGTGGTGTACAAGGGGGAGCTAAAGGAAAAACACTTACACTGCTGTTCCTTCTTGTTGGAAGCTTTCCGGTTTGTACGTGTGCGGCCCTCAACAACAGAGCTGGCGTCAATGCCTTCATTTCGCTCTCGAGTGACTCGAGAGGAAGGCTGGGAATGGGATGGGCGCGCCATGGTGGTTGCAGACAGAAAATTTCTGCATACGCGTGCGCATTTTTGACTGCGCTGGTGGAGTTGAGATGAATAAGGGAGGAGCACATAACCGACTGAACTGAGGTGGAGTTGAGGTGAGTAAGCGGTGGCGAGCAAGACACAACCATTGCTCTCACCTTACCCACGCTGGTTTCAACGCGCACTGTCTCTCATGGGACCTCCAAAACACAAGATTGTTCACAAAGCACCATGCCCTATCTGCGGGCGCCTGCTCAGCACAAATAAGCAGCAGACTTTGACCAATCACCTCTCAAATTCATCATGCGGTCAACAGCTCACGGACCGCCTTTGTAGGAAAGGCTGTGATGAACCGAGTTTACCGACAGACATTTATCGCTCACCTCCCGAAATGCCGGCCAATGATCCTCCTGACACCTCCAACGACTTCACCTTCCTTGAACCCAACCTTTCACCCCCCTCCTCTGATCCATCGCCCACTGGCAGTCCTCCACCTAAACGCGCTAGATCAGCTTATGTTGAGGATGTTGAGGATGACGAAGATAATGAGCCAAACACACCGGCATCCTCAAAACCACCTCCAGGGGGAGCCAGCTGTGGTCGCTTTGTGTATGACTGCCCAGAGCAGTACCGGGCTGGCGAGGCAATGGCATCAGCACTGACAGAGTTCGAGAAGCTGAAGGCTATTCAGGAGAAAGACCAGCTGCCGGAATGGGCACCATTTGAGAGTGAGGAGGAATGGGAGGTTGCCGAGTGGTTGATGAGCTCCGTAAACCAGGGGAATGCAGATCGGTTTTTGAAGATGAAGATGGTGAGTAGATATTCCTTGAGCCTGTATGAGGGTGAACACTCACGTTACCCAGGTCCGAGAGCGGCTCGGACTTTCCTTCAAAAACAAGCGGGACCTCTTGAGGAAAATTGACGCTCTTCCCCGCGGTCCTGCCTGGAACTGGGAACGTGTGGTGGCGACTGGGACCTTGAAGGACGATTGCGGTCGGTGCTTGATGGAAGAGCTGATTGTATGGAAACGAGACCCTGTGGAGTGTGTAAAGGAGTTAATAGGGAATCCAACGTTCCGCGAGATGATGCAATACGCACCAGAGAAGGTTTATGAGGATATGGAAGGGGAGTGCCGGATCTACGATGAGATGTGGACTGGGGACTGGTGGTGGAATTTGCAGGTAAGCCGCAGTCGAAGTCTGATGACCGTACTGATGGCTCACACGTCCACAACTAGAAAATGCTCCCGCCTGGGGCTACTGTTGCACCTGTCATACTCGCGTCAGACAAGACGCAGCTGACGTCGTTCAGCGGCGACAAGTCTGCATGGCCCGTTTATCTGTCAATTGGCAATATCCCCGGCAGCATCAGGCGTCGTCCATCGTCAAAGACAACAGTCTTAATTGGGTACATACCGACAACAAAACTTGACATCTTTCGCACCGACGAAGAGCGCTCACGAAATGGGCAGCAGCTGTTCCACCACTGCATGAGCCTACTCCTGAACCCTCTGGTGGAGGCTGGGAAGAACGGAGTGGATATGGTATGCGCAGATGGAAAAGTACGCACTGTTTTCCCCATCCTATCCGCCTATATCGCAGACTGGCCGGAGCAATGCCTGGTTGCATGTACAAAGGAGAGCCGCTGTCCGAAGTGTCTGGCAGGGACGAAAGAGCGGGGGGAGCCCGTTGACACGGTCTTGAGGGATCCGGAAAAGACGAAGAAACTTCTGAGGAGAGCAGGTGGAAATCCCCGAGATAAGAATCTCAAGGAGCATGGAATCCGTGCGGTTGACCCATTTTGGGCTGACCTACCTCACTGCAATATTTTCTCATGTCTTACGCCTGATCTCCTCCATCAACTCCACAAAGGCGTCTTCGGTGACCACGTGTGGAAGTGGTCGACAGAAGCCACAGCTGGTGGTGAAGAGGAGATTGACCGACGCTTCAAGTCAATGCCGTCGCATCCATCGGTCCGACACTTCAATAAAGGTATATCAGTTCTCTCACAGATGACCGGCACGGAGTACAAGAACATCGAGAAGGTTTACCTTGGTGCTCTCATTGGAGTTGTCGATCTCAGGGTCCATCGCGCGGTCCAGGCGATTCTTGATTTCATTGTGCTTGCTAGCTTCGAGAGCCATACTGATGATTCATTGACACGAATTGACTCGGCCTGGTCAAGCTGGCATGAGAACAAGGGGATATTCCGCGAGCTAGGCATTCGGCGTCAGGACTTTGGCAGCATTCCGAAACTCCACATGTTAAGGTATTACATCACCAGCATCCGGTCTCGTGGCGCAGCAGCTTGGACAAATACCGAGCTTTCAGAACGGTACCACATCGAGTACGCTAAATCGGGTTATCGTGCATCAAACCGCCGCGATTTTCTTGAGCAGATGACCGTCTGGCTCAGGCGTCAGGAGGCTATCCATCGTCGGCGAACGTACCTTGACTGGCTCAGAAAGCGACACCCTGATGAGTCGGCTCAAGCAGAGGATGAGGGCGAGGCAGACGGAGGTGAGGAGGAGGAGGAGGGTCGAGAGAGCCAAGAGCAGCAAGAGCGTAGTGAGTTCTTCGTTAATACACCAGCGCTGCCAACCCCTGTCTCCCATCAAGTCCTTATGGCTCGTACACCCGCCTATCCCAACGCTTCGGTTCGTGAACTCGGTCTACAGTCAGGTCTTAACGACTTCCCCCCTGTGCTCCACTCGTTCCTACTGGACTCTGGCTACTCACGCTCTATTACATCCCTCGACTTCTCCCATCTACGAGTGCAGGGCTTCAAACGATTCACAATTCGCCTCCCTTCTCCATTTGACTCTGGCGGTCTTGGTCTCTCTGAGGTCAACAACGACTCTATTCGCGCAACATTCTGTCAAGCACCACGAACCCCACTCCGTTCACCATCCCCTGCACGCTTCGATACTGCTCTGGCCATCCAAGACCCCTCGTCCTGGCGTGTCTCAACTTCACGTAGCGATGGCTCACTATCCGGTATGATTTTCTCAACTGTGAAGAATTAGCGGTCTGAACTCGAGTGCTCTTTTCTAGGCCTCAAGGTATGCCGAGTGAGATTTATCTTCAAGCTTCAGCCCGAGGGACAGCCCCTTGCATATGTCGAGTGGTTCAATGCCCCCCTTTGGTCCTCTGATCTAGGTTTATTCTCAGTCTCAAAGGCCTATCGGCGTCGTCCACAACGGCAAACTTCCATCATTCCCACTTCCAGTATTCTATGTTCGTGCCATTTAATCCCAAAGTTTGGTACAAATATCGGTCCCAAACCGGACGCGGATGATGCTCTCGATACCTATACTACGTTCTATCTCAATCCTTATCTTCGTGCTCATGACTACCTCCTCCTTCGTTACCACAAGCTGTATGATATATGACTGAATTTTGTTATATCCATTCTGTTCCTTGGCGTCATTCATGGACTTAGTAGTGAGCAGAGGGTTTCGCGTGGCTGAATGTACATTTTAGACTGTCTTCCCCGGCGCTCGAGTTTTCGCATTGCGGATGGGATTTTAGCTGAGGCACAGTGCTTGCTATCGAAATCGATCATAGGCCCGCGCATATTCTCTTCGACAATACATTGAAATATGTATACTCCATAACATATATAGCACTAGTATGCATTAAGGCACATCCATACTATGGCAAGATGACCGTAGTGATTATGGAAGTGTATGAGATATGTTACAGTGCTACGGAGTAGATATATGGCCACCGAGACTGGGTCACCGGTCCTCACTTTACCCACACAGCATACACTCGGCAGGGACGTACATAGAAATTTAGTTTTCCTGATGTATGTATGGGTGCTTCTACTTACCTGAGGTCATTGGTCATTGAATATGAGGCACTTGAAGCTCTCGAGCGTTATAAGAAGCCATCGCCTGTCCCTAGGAGTTCTCGAGGAGGTAGCTCCCGAGCAGAAGGAGCGAGTATTGTCATATCTTTCTCGAAAGACTTGTCCGAGCGTTAGAGGCACTGGTGTGAAGAGTCTCGGGCTAAAGCGAAGAACCATAGTTGAAACTTAAGGCGCGAACCTTGGGCTTGGTTTTACCGATGATATGGGAAATAGCATAGCGTTGGTAAGGCTTCTGCTGACAAAGTTGAGCGTTGGATGACGAGGATGGCCTGACGAGATACGGAGAACAAGAAGAGACGTGTGCGCGGGAGTGGAATAAGTTGAAACGCGGGGACAGGCAGGGACCGACAAATTCATCGTGCGGGGGCAAACCGCGCCTTCCCAATCAGTAGCAAGCCCCTTTCTCCCCACAAAGCCTTCAAGCTTCAAGCTTCAATGTTTCGACGCTGGCGCGATGAGCTTCAAAGTGTTCTATCCATACATGTGAATTGAATTAGCTAGTATGATCATATGTGTACAAAGATAAACTGAAAGAATAATCAATCGCTAACTAAGGTAATTTTCAAGTCTTTCGCCCTCGTTTCGTCGGGCCGTCGAGTCATGGCTGTCCACTCGCACTAGAGCTCGGCCTGTCCGAGGTTGACTCGGTGATGAACACGATGTTGTCAAGAGCTTCCATCTCCGCGTTGATGAAGTCCGTGTAGGTACAGTCAGCCATGGTGCGTTTCTCGCTTGCAGCCCAGAGGCTGCGGTGCATCCGGGTAGCAAGCACGACATTCAGAACGAATTGTGGGCTGGTTTCGGCGTAATTAGCTACTCCGGCCGTAGTCGCACATGGTGAAAGCGTAAGAACTCACTCTTCCAAGAGACCGCTGTAGGCGTCTGGAAGTACGACACATGTGACCAAGTTGGCGATGGTCAAACCTAACGAGGAGATTAATAATGCCGCTCGTATCTCGCGTTGAGTATAAGCGGCAACGCAAACTCACTCAGACTAACGAAGACGTAGAGTAAGTTTCGAGTAATTAGAAGGTCCTGCATGTTGTGCTTTGGTCCGCTCGACCCGAAAGGAATGGCTTTGACCAGGTCTTTAGATAAAGCTTCCTGTCGACGGTTAAGATATGCACGAAGAAGAGTCAGGACCATGATCTCTGTTATGGCCGTGGTACTTGTTAGAGGGGAAGGCAGTCAAGTGAAGCGTTAAGACTCACCGATCTCAAGGAGGATGAACGAGACAAACATGACGATGTAGTAGTTGCCTTGGGAGCCATAGAAGCATCCGGTAACAGGGTAGATCTTGATATCCAAGACTTTACGGACGACGTTAGCATTGCATGCTGCCACAAGAAACTATAGCGATCTACATGGCATGTTCGTCGAAGGCACAAAGCCAACAGCGTATGTCCCACCCACTGCAAGCTACAAAAACAAGAGTAAGTAGCAGCATTACTGTTGGATTCGGAAGACTTACGACGAAGCTGATGCTAAGGAATGCAAGGATCCATTTGTTGTTTCCCCACAGAGCGTATACTCTCAGTAAGAATAGAGCTGTGGTCGTTTAGCCTCGTGGGTTTTCGATGAGCTCGAGTAGACGTACCGTCTGACGCGAAGATGATGATGAGGCTGAAGACTGAACATCATATCCTCCGTTAGCTGTGGCACCAGCCGAATTGTGGCAAGTCACCCACCACTGGCAACGGTGTCTATAAGGAGGCAGTACTGGAATGACATAAGTCAAATGAGCCAATGAGATCTCCGGAGAGAATGCCTTACATCTGGTGTGTCTCCCTCATAAAAGTCGACTGCACGTATGCAGAATTAGCATCGGCTCAGAGTGGATTACCGCACACGAAACTTACAGTACACGTGCAGACCGAGCATCACGAACGGGCTGAGGCGGGTGAGCACATAGAGGATCTTGATTATTTGAGCCTTGGAGTTCCTCAGAAAAGCGATCTACGATATGGCATAAGTGAGTGCATCAAGCGAGTTCGAGGAAGCCTTACCTCTTCGTCGAGGGTGATGAGACAATCCCAGACCCAGAAGGTAGCCAGAGACACTGCGATCGAAGCACCATCACGGTCACGTTCTATCCGACGTCGATCCATCACGATTCGGCTCACCATAGACATACTGCAATGATAAGCATCGATGCCAAAGCAAAGAAAGAAAAGCAAGGCTCACGTTCAGAACCTGGTAGCTCTCAGCAAAGATGAGAAGGCTGTTGTCCATGGGTTTGCTACTCTGACATTCCCCTCCTTGGCCATGGTTTTATATTGCGACCACTGGCGTAACGACAGGCGTTCATAGCAGAGAAAGAAGCGGTGCAAAGGAGAAAAGCACAAAACATACCATAAAGAGATGTGAACGTGCCCGAGAGGCGGAGTCAACTTTCGCAGCGCATGAGATTCATTAAGGGCAAAAGGTCCGTAGGCAGGACTTCCTAGGACTTCCAGCGGTGCAAGGCGATGCACGAGCGTTATCTTGCCGGCACTTCCGTCATTGACCGACTTCCACCGAGGGCTTTAGATCGCTTCTCTATGTAGAAGAGGACGCGATCTCGACGCGATCTCCAAGCACTGTCCCAACGGTAGGCGAATAAGATTGGTTTTTCGCTATGAGGAGAGGAATCAGACGAGGATTGAAGATGTATTAACTTTTGAAACGCCCTATAGCGTACATGTAAGATAATCTTTTCTTAATTAAGGCACTTACTTTATTACAAGGTTCGCGGGAGGACGTAGCGTTCAGTGCTCAGGCTGATGTAGATGGCGGTGCCGAGATCTTCGGTGATTCCCAGCACCGCGGGGACAGGCGTCAGTGGCGTCCAATAGCGAGCGTCCTCATGCTGGCCTCGAGGCTTCAAAGTCCCCGATAAGAGCATGTGAGCAAGCGCGATTGGCGCGATGGCGCACTCGCCTGACGCTCAAGGCGGGACATTCCTCCTGCCGGCGAGGGACAGTCGGCCTTTGCATAACGCAGACCTAAGAAAATTTTATTTCGTCTGATGTTTCCTCGAAGAACTCGCACCAGAGCTGCGGATCACGCACTTACCATCGGCTGTGTGATCTTGCGATCAAAGCTTGCTGTATCGGCGCGCGCCTTTTTCTTCGCAAAGACGGGGAAAACCAACATAGGATGCGGTAGATGCCGCGTACGGAGCGATAACACCATCTAGCTGCACTGCAGTCTCTCAAAGACCTTCGAGCCCCTCTCAGTCCCAAAATATCAACCCTCGCCCTTCCGCCATCCTCCTTCCCCGTTCTTGATACCCTCGAGTTCTTTGCTCCCTTGGGCCGGAGTCTGCAGTTCTTCGTCGAGTGCCTTGACTTTTCAATGCTTACTCTCGTCTCGTTACGGCTCGGTGCGTGCGCCGCAGAGGACGCGACGTTCGAAGACTTGTTAGATGCTGTCAAAAACCTCAGGCAACCCGAAAAGCTGGAGTCGTTCGCCATAGAAGAATTCACGAATCGTCGCCCTGAATAGGAGATCAACTCTGGAGTACTGGAACCTCTGTTTTCCTTCACTAGCCTGCGCAAGGTCGTCTTCGAAACCGCTCGCGAGGTCCTATTATTCGATCTCGATATCCTTCTACTGATCGAGGCGTGGCCGCACCTAGAGGTCCTCTCCATCAATGAAAAATGTGGCTGGAAAATCCAGCCGAGCGTCACGCTCGAAGGTCTACGCTGCATCGTCAAGGGCCTACCGCATTTGAAGGAGTTGCATATAGCCATTGACGCGATAGACGTTGAGCCGGGGTGCGATATTGGACACGGTTACCCCGAATCCCGGTACCCAGAATTCCGACTTGACCTCCTTGACTCGAGCATTGGCGCGGAGATCGAGGACGTAGCAGCGTACATCGGTGACATCTTCCGCGAACGGGAACTGCAGCTGGACGCGTATCAGCTAGCCTGGGATTTTCACCCGCTCCCCCCGGATTTGTTGGTGGAGAACGCGCTGTACCAGCAAGGTTGGAGGGACGTGCATAAGCTGTTGTGCGAAGCTCAGGACACGTGGTCATCGGACGGCGAGGGCTCCGGACAGAGTTCGTGCTCTGCCTCGGACGTCGACGAAGGCGAGGGGTCGGGCGGAGAAGAGGTTTCGGACGAGTCCGCATCCTGTGCAAGCGCCGTAGCCCCGGCAGTCGATACTGCAGACAAATCGGGTTATTCAGTATCACTCTAGTGTCAATGCAGTACCCGCGTCTGGTTGGTTACTTTGTTCGTTTTGAGCCCAATGCTGCGACGACCATAAACGGCGGACTCGTCGAGGTATGGAGTGACCAGCCGCTTGACGTGGTGCCAGGATCGAACGATTCGCGAGCGGAGCGGGATCATCTCTTCCCAGTCCGGGCCCGTTTGTAGGCTATATCGAGCGTTTTCCCGGAAAGCAAGGTATCCCAAGCGCGGGCAGATAGCCTCGAGTGACATCAGGAAATCTGGGTATTCCATAGGGAAGGGTTCGAGTTCGAGGGAGACTATGGATGGGCCTATGATCACGCGGGTGAAGGGCATCATGTGCGTTGCAGCGTTCGTCCACTTCAAGAGTCGCATCTTAGGGAAGGGATTATCCGAGGGGACTAAGCAGAGCTCACGAAACACGTCTGGCGAGATAAAGTCATATTCGTCATACGACGCCCGACCCTCGTACGAAGTATCTTGATCAAGTGAAATGACCCTGTGTGCGCGTTTGAGGAAGATTTCCCAGTCCGAGGTATCAAGCGGGTGGACCAGTGAAGCAACCTTCTGGAGCCGTGAGATGGCAGGCATGAGATAATGAGAAGAATCTCACCCTTTTGTTTTCCGTTACTCCATACTGGTTTACCGAAGTTGTCACTACAATTGGATTGCTCGGAAGGTGGAGGAGCAAAGGGAAGATCCCGGGAAGTTCAGCCCACACTGCGTCCAACGAAGCTTCGAAGAGGATATGGCATGTGAGAGCAAGGGCCGCCAGATCCGCTTTGTGCGTCACAAAGCTGGCGACATGATGGGCAATTTCAGGTATGAACAGGGCGGGGTGGGGATGCCCCATCCTCTGCGCTCCGATCGGGGTGTCGTCGGTGTTTGAAAACATTGTAGCAAGGTAACCGAGCTCTCGCGTTGATAACGTCCGAGGAGAGAATTAATGAAGGTCAAGAGCGTGAATCGTCGAAGGTACCCAGTGGGTTAGGATGTCACTCGACGCGTGACGCGTCGCGTTTCGTCACGGATAACGCGCAGCAATCAAAGTCGACGTCACGACTCTTACTCGTGTCCGTAATTCTAACCGAGCACAAGCGTGCGCAAGAAAACTCATTTTGTTCGCGAAATGCTCATTCAGTACTTCTGCTCCATCCTGAGAAAGCACATACGCTGGAGTTTGTGCATACAGGCATTCGTTGAAGGCTGATCCAAGCTAGAAGGCTCTGAAATTCTAGCACCATGATGAAAGAAACATAGTTATCACATTATGCACTAGCATCGTGAAGTCTAGGGATATACATTATAAACAATTAGTATTTTACAAACCAGCCTCCTAAGCAAAGGGCCAGTCGGTATACCCTTCCGGCGTCAGATTGCCCATCAAGTAGAATTTCGAGCGATCAGGTGCCGTCAGGAGAATGTTATCCCTCAAGCGACGGGGAAGATCAGGCTACAATGACGACGATCAGTCCGCTAGACCAGTAATTTCGACAGTGGTCAACTCACATTGGAGATAAACAACCGCCCGAATGCGAACAGCCCGCCCTTCTCCTCGGCTTCCTGTAGCGCGATATCGCGAGTGTTCCCGCCGGCAGTAATGTACGCACGGTCGCCCCAGATCTTGCGGATGAAGTCGTTCAACCCGGCAGAAGGATTCAGCTCGTCCGCGCGGGGCTCAATGACGTGGATGTATGCGATGTTGCGCTCCGCAAGCTCGGTAGTGAGGTAGGTGTAGGTTGGTACTGGGTCCTCCATGCCCATGGCTAGCAAAATTGTAAGTAACCGTGGAGAAAAAGACAATGACTAAGTGAACGCACCTTGGAACTTGCCCCACGGGCTCAACCGGATTGCCGTGCGCGATGCGCCAATGGCCTTGACGATAGCATCAACAACCTCCAACGCGAACCGCGCCCTGTTCTCGACGCTACCGCCATACTCGTCCGTGCGAGTGTTGGACACGTCTTGCAGGAACTGATCGACGAGGTACCCGTTCGCGCCGTGCACCTCGACTCCGTCGAACCCTGCGGCAATTGCGTTCTCGGCGGCTTTGGCGTGCAACTGGACGTATTCCTGGACCTCAGACACCGCGAGCGGGCGAGGCGTGCTCGTTGTCCCGTACAGATCGGTGTAGGGGATGGCGGAGGCGGAGACAAGTTCGTGTCCATCAGCCTTGAGCGCCTGAGCGCTACCAGCGCGGCCCATAGCCCAGAGTTGGAGGTAGATATACGAGCCCTTGGCGTGTACGGCTTCGGTTATCTGAGTTAGTGAGAAGATATGAGCGCCCGGAAACGATGAACAAGAGAGCACGAATATATAGCTCACCTCCTTCCAGGCCGCAATCTGCGCGTCGGACCAGATACCAGGCGCGTGAGGGGTACCACCAGCTTGCGGAGCGATGACCGTAGCCTCAGAGATGAGCAATGTTCCGGGCATGCTTGAACGTTGACTGTAGTACGTTGCAGCTTGAGGACCAGGTACGTGGTCGGCATGGGCGCGAACGCGGGTGAGAGGGGCGAGAACAACACGGTGCTTAACCTCGATGTCGCCAACCCGGAGAGGCTGGAACAGAACGGGAGTTTGGGAAACGGTCATTGTGAGTTTGAGATGAAGATGCGAGAGGTGATTAGAGGAGAAAGATGTGTAGATTGGATGGATTGGATTGTGCAATCTCCCCTCTCAACTGCATGTACTTATACTCCTCCAGCCCTTTTAGCCCTCGACTCTTGCTTACGAGCGCGAAGGGAACGCGCCGACGTCCGCGCGCACAACATGGACAATGCTGGAAAATGTTTCACATACCAACGTAAGCAGTTCTGCTAGCCACGCTGGGCGCCCGTCGCACTCGGGAGTGCATTACCAAGCATTGGCAAGCAAGCGCTGGGATTGAGTAAGCGCTGTATGAAACCATGCGGTCCTGTCAAGGAATGAAGTGTATTTGGAGTGAGGTACTTCAACCATGCTCGACCATGCGATAATGTCGTGGAGGGAGCTCAAGTAGACATTTGAACGAATGCAATGAATGTTGTTGAGAATGAGAATCAAAGACGAGAGTGACGAGCTCGGTGCACGCAACATTATCGCAACATCCATTTCTGGAATGTTCCGATATCCGATATCCCCCTATCTTAAAAAGCTGCCCTAAATGTTTGCGAGATAACAAATGAGATGTCACCGGGCTGCGATTTTTTTTTCAGATTAGCTTCGCACCGTCTTAGCCAAAATAATTATATATCAATGAATCCAATTCGCCATAGTACCAGTACTATACGGATAATAGATGTAAGAGTCCGAGCTCAACGAGACAACGCAAAAACAGTGATACGAAGAAGTGAAAAATGGCGGCGCGAACACGCGTATAAATAACGAGTCCATGAGAGGCTCAGAAATGCTGATAGAGATGAAAAGGGTTCGATGCAACGAGGAAGAAGAGCGGAAGATGAGTGATTAGAAAGCAGAAAGCGGTGAACAGGCACTACTCCCGGAGCAGCAGCGATGAGGAGAACCGAAGTCGCGTCGTACTGCCGAGACACATCCTTGTCAGTCATGGCCATCGCTAGACATATGCGCGCATACCTTCATCCTCTTCATCGAAAGCGTCCACCGCGAATGAGTGTACACGGAGCCGGTCCGTGCAGAAAGCGGTGAACAGGCACTCCAGGTGCAGCAATGAGGAGGAGGACCGAAGTCACGTCGTACTGCCAAGACGCGCCCTTGTCAGCCGTTGCCACCACTGGACATATGCTCGCACATACCTTCATCCTCTTCATCGCAAGCGGCCACTGCGGACGGATACACGGAGCCAGCCCGTGCATCGCCAGCAAGAAGCCCAGATGGGTATTGTGTCGCGTTCCGAGGGATATCGTCGAAAGCAGGGTGCCATGTGTACAATGTCAGAGAGATAGCAATCGAGAGCGTCTTGCCTTGCGTCAGATAGAGGAGTGGAGTCAGCATGAGGGAGCAGTGGTTGCCTTGGTATAGTGTCATGTCGCAGTCGATCAGTGGAGGTTAGTAATGACCCGGGATCGCGCGTTAGCGGGTGAGTAATTGTTGAGTGTTGAGTAGCCGTAAGGTGAGTACATAGGTGTCAAGTGAGCAGTTGTCGGATGAGTAATTGTCGAGCGAGTATTTGTTGAGCGAGTATTCGGGCGAGTAGGCATCGGGTGAGTAGGCATCAGGTGAGTAGGCGTCAAGTGAGTAGGCATCACGAGAGTAGGCGTCAAGTAAGCAGTTGTCGGGTGAGCAATGTCGGGTGAGTAGTCGTCAAGTGAGTAGCCGTCAAGTGAGTAGTCTTCGAGTGAGTAATAGCTGAGTGAGTAATCGTCGGGTGAGTAGGGGTCGGGTGAGTATCGTCAAGTGCTTAATGTCGGGATCGTGCATCAGCGAGTGAGTAATCGTCAGGTGAGTACAGGTCAAGGATCCAAGGAGCAGCTGAGGGATCCTCGTGTAGTCGCAGAAGTGCAGTGGTCAGCTAGATGTCATGTCGTGTCTCATGGGGACAATGCTAATAAAGGAGCGGTGGCCGGCGGATATCGTACTAGAGGTCCAGGAGAGGTTTTGCGCGTTCGCGTCTTCAAGGAATAGCAATTAAGGTGTTCTCGTATCGCGCTACGGAGGAGCAATTATGGTGAAAGGAGCGGTGATTGAGCAAAGATCGTGTCCTGGTATCGCTGTACCGTCATGCTAGAAATGAACGTGTCGCCAAAAGAGTGATAGCTGAGCAGATATCGTTGTCCTGTAGGGGTATCATACGGTCGGCGCTGATAGATATGGCGAAAACGAAGTGCGTCTTGTCTCGATTTCCGGGTATATGGTCGTGATGCAGGCGCTCGTGTGTGGCGCTAAAGGAGTGGTAGCCAAGTGGGTATCGTGCCGTCGTGCAGTGGTACAGTCGGAATGAGAGAATATATGCAGCGAGAGAAAGACCGGTGGTCGAAGGAGTCGACGGAAGTGGGAGTGCCTGCGTGGGCATAGAGATAGTAGTCGATGGGTATCGATGTCGTGCTGCGGGGTATCGTTGGGGTATCGAATTATCGTAAGGGGTATCGGATGGGGTATAAGCTGCAGTATCGTCGAGAAATAGTGTGTCACCGGTTTTGTCGTGTTTGTCGTGTTTTTGTCGTGTTTGGCGCATTTTCAGCTTTTTGTAAGCTTTTCCTCACCGTCATAGTGTTCGCAGAAGACGGAGTCGTCGGAATTGGAGCCCGTATCGGGCCTGGTTGAGAGCTAGAGCTCGGCTTTCATCCATGTGCCCTCCATGTTCCTCGTCGCCTTCTGTCTCCTCTTCCTCTATCATCATCCTCTTCTCTTCACCCTCCTCTCCGTCTCGTCTTCGCCTCCACGCCAGCTCTCCGCTTCCTCCCTCATCTCCCCTCCCTCATCCTCATGCTCGCTCTCACCTTCCCAGAATCCCATCCTCACGTCTTCCTTGCGTATTCAAACCTCCTCGTCGTCATATTGCCCACAACAGATTCGACATTGACGTTCTCCTTCGCCGCACGACAGGCCTTGAGATGTGCAACAGCTCGCTGAACGGTATGAGCAAGCCCTTTCAACGGCTTGACCAGTTCGCCAGAGCGAAGCATAGGGGGAACGTTCGCGAAGGCGTCAGAGAAAGGAACGACCGGCGGGCGAGGCAACGGCGTGGCGGATGGTAGTTTCCCACTCGCAGCACTCTGAGTCCCTTGTTGGACCCCGGAACTTGCGCTCGTAGTTGTGCACGGGCTCCGCCGAGCGTAACCGGGGAGGCGAAGTCGCGGATCTGTCGTCTTTTCTGAGCTTGCGAAAGGGCGGGAGGGTTTCCTCGGCAGATCACTGGCATCCATGGCGAAATCGACGTCGAGATGCTTCTTGTTAACGCCACCGTCGTTGCCCGATGCGTGATGAGCGGGACGAGGACCCTCGGCGATTTTCACGTCTTCGTGGCTGGCCTTCAGCTGGGTAAGGGCACCCTGAACACCATAGGAGTGCACGTGCATGCACTTTGCTGGCTCACCAGCGCAAAGGAACGCGGGGATGTTCTCGAAGGTGTCGGAGATTGCCACAGCCGGTGCATCCAATGGCTTAGAAATGGATGGTGCGGACGTCGATGCATGTGCGAGCTCGGATGCATCAACAATCGTGAGTCTGCCTAGCTGGGCTGTAAGCAGCGCGATGGACGAAGCGAGCGTCGGTGCATCCGAAGAAGGGGCGACTGAAGGGTTTGATAGAGAGGGCGCAGGAGCATTGATCGTAAAGGACTTGGTGGTAGGAAGCGAACCAAACGCCGAGTAGTGACGAGGAGCAACAGGAACGAGCTTCTGGATGCGCGGTCTGTCCATGCGAGTCCTGGGCTTTCTATCGCTACAGCTGATACGTCGGCGCTTTGAAGGAGTCCCTGTCTGAAAACAAAAGTCAGAACTCTGACGTAGGCAACGAAGATGGGAAAGAGGACGTACCACTTCGTCTTCAACGAGCCAGTAAGGACGCTTGATGCCGCGAGGCTGTATACGAACACGTGAGTATGGTGGTGTACAAGAAGTATACAGCTAGACACTTACAGGAACTACCTCTGTAGCGGATCCAAAGGCAAAGGACACGCATGGCTCATCGACGACCATGTCTTCAACTGATGAGCTAGAGACGACGCTTGGGGTGCCGGGGCCGTACTGGGCGAGATGAAGAGGAGCGGGGAACGCAGAATACTCTGCGTCCAAAGAGGAGACACTCAGGTTGGAGTAGTCGACGTGCCGGACAAGCGTGCTAGGAAGGATGTCGAAGTACTCGTCGACGTCAATATCCATATCCACGTCCGTGTCCACGATAGAACCCTTAAAACGTGTCAAACGACGCCGGCAGCTAAGATGACCACGGTGTACTCACCGAGATAACGTCCTTGACGTCCCCAGCGACTTGAGAATCGAAGACCTTGAAGTGCGCCTCCCTTGAGTCTCCCCCGCTGTCGTAAGCAACGAGGGTAGGAGAGTAGTGTCCAATCTCGCGAGTGGGGCTCGCTGGTGATGCACCCTTAGCGGTCTGGTACTCGTCCTGAGAGCAGTTGGCGGTGCTCAGACTGGGGAGCTCTTCAAAGTCCTCAAGGGAGTCCTCGGTAGAGATCTCGGACGTTCCGCGGGGCTGAACGGGGATGTCCGCGGGAATGAGGTATTGGGCGAGGTTGTCCAGAGTAGCGTCGGCTTCCTTGCCGTCGACGCCGTCTTCATTCTCAGTCTCGTTCTCGGGCTCGCCCTCGTCATCGAGCACCTGGATTGCAATAAAAACCAGGTGAAAGAAGGTGCGAGCGAGAATGAGAGACTGTCGACAACGAGGACGACACAGCGAGCAGTACATACCCCCGGTGTCTCCGCCGAAGGCTTTGTGTCCCCTTCGTCCTCGTCATCTTCATCGTCGTCCTCGTCGCCGAAGATAGCCTTCAGGAGCTCCTTCTTCGTCATGGACTGCACCTCCTTGTTGAGCAGGTAACGACGGAAGCGGACCCTCTGCATGTACGGCGAGGACCTCTTCAGCTGGACGGACTTGTGCTTGCCTCGACGAGAGCGAGCGCGGCACTGAGCTGTGTAGCGAGTGTGCTTGGTAACAGTTGACATTGTTGTATGTTGTAACGGTTTTGTATGCGCTGTATCGATGTTGATGGAGTAAAGAGAAGAGAGAGGAGGCAGCGAGGCCCTGCGAATATAACGGATTGAAATTCGGTCTGGATTTGAACATTAACGATCGAGGCGGGTGGCTGGTGGCGCGCCATCGTCACGTGTTATGTCTTTTGCGAAAGGCCGAGGACATACTGCTTTGCCACCCAGAGTGTCATAGCAAACAAGTAGGCCAAACAACGGAGAGGTCCTCGATAGAGCCGTAGCGCAAAAGCAGTAGTTGGTCTAAGTCGTGTAGCATGTATGCATAGATGGCATGCCAGTCGGCACCCCACAGTAGACGTACGTCTAGGTGGACACAGAGAGAGTCTAGAAAGTCACCACGAGCGGTGCGTTAAGTGAAAGCTCTTGAGTTGTGGACTTTGACGACATGGAGGGAGGAAGCAAAAAGTAGCTTGCCGCCGGGAAGCAGCTCGGGCGCAGTAACGCCAATACAAAACATCTTATCTGAGTTTCGTCCTGCAGTGAAGAAACCTCTCTTCCTGCACTCTTTCCGGATTCATGAAGCGGGATATGTCATAATTGACATAAAAATGACACGATCCCCTGAGTGAAATTGCTGAATTCAAGTTATGCTCCAGTCTATATGTATGCTGTGAGTCTATTGAGAAGATGGGAAGTAGAATGATTTCGCACGTTGCCGCGAACTGACAGAAAGGCGGATAGCCGAAGCCACTATGTAACCTTGATCTTGCTCTCCTCCCCCACCTGCCTACCCATCCTCGTTTTGACGGGTGATCTCTTGCTGCGATCGCCCTTCATCCGCCTCTCAACGGCACCACACTCATTATGAGCACGCCCAAGGAAGACTGGCGCACCCTCTGCTCCAGACGCAAGCAGAAGCAGAACGAGAACATACCCCCAGAATGGCGCATCCAAGTCCCATCGAAGGACGTACAGAATGTCATGGACGTCCCATATACCTGCGGCCTGCTAAGCCCTGAGGAACTTGCGCTCACCGATCGCGACCTGGACGACCTTGTAGCGGACCTGACGAGCGGGAAGCTGAAGAGTGAGGACGCGACGAGGGCATTCCTCAAGCGAGCGATTGTCGCGCATCAGGTGGTACGTCGATGGGCCCATCTTTCCTCCCTTCATCCACGTGCAAACTGATCCTGACGAAGGTGACTTCGCTGCGGTATGCAAATGTCTAGACCAACTGCCTGACGGAGATCTTCGTCGACCGGGCGCTGGACCGTGCACGCGAAGTGGACAAGTACATGGAGGAGCACGGAAAGCCAATGGGGCCTTTGCACGGGCTGCCGATTTCGTTGAAGGACCAGTTCACGATGAAGGGTCTAGAGACCATCATGGGTGAGTGATCGCCGCTGAGATTAGGAGCGTGCCAAATACTCAATTTCATGCGGTGCTTAGGATACGCTAGTAACATCGGGAAATTTGCTGATCACGACTGCGTCCTCGTCGAGATGCTCTACGAGCTCGGCGCTGTGCCGTTCGTGCGCACGAACGTCCCGCAGACGCTAATGGTACGTCTGTCCGCGTATCTCTGCAGTCCATAATGGGACAATCATTTACTAGTAACACTTTTCCAGTGGGGTGAAACACAGAACAACGTCTTCGGACGAACCACAAACCCCTATAACCACCATCTCACAGCAGGCGGCTCCTCCGGCGGCGAAGGCGCCCTCCTCGCGATGAACGGCAGCCCTCTCGGCGTCGGCACCGACATTGACGGGTTCGCCCTCCCACCTTACACTCACCGCACCATCATCTAACATCCCCACCCTCCACCCACCCAGCTCCCTCCGCATCCCCAGCGCCTTCTGCGGGCTCTACACCCTGCGCCCGTCCTACGAGCGCCTTCCCTACCACGGCGCGGCAAACGCGCTCACCGGTCAAGAGTCCATCTCCTCCGTCCTCGGGCCAATGTCGCACTCGCTCGGGTCCCTCAAGCTCTTCACCAAGGCGCTCGTAGACGCTCGGCCGTGGGAACGCGATCCGCTCGTCGTGCGCAAGCCGTGGAATGAGGACGAGTACAGGCTCGTGGACCACGATCGCGGGAAGAGGATGTGCTTTGGGATGCTATGGGATAATAAGGTTGTGAAGCCGCATCCTCCGCTCAAGAGGGCGATGGAGATGGTGAAGAGGGCGTTGGAGGAAGCGGGGCATGTCGGTGCGTGCTTCTCTCTGTCTGTTGCTCGTGGGATGCTCACTAATGCTTGATGTGAATGCAGTCATTGACTGGGAACCGCTCAACCACGTCGATATCTACCGTGTTGCTGTGAGTATTAATTCTCGCGTACATCACCTTTCCCTGAGCTGACTTTGATATTTTGCCCAGCAAACGATCCTAGTGGCGGACGGCGGAGAAGACTACCGCCGAGACTGCGAGGTCTCCGGCGAACCCCTCATCACCTCTATGAGCCCCGAGAAAGACGCACACCAAATCGACTTAGAGGTCTCACTCGTCAAGATGCTCACAGGGCCACCGCGCTCACGGAGCGCGTACGAGGCTCGTTCTTCCTTCTTTCCCGTACGCACGTAGCTGACCCATATCGTGCAGCTCTGGCAACTGCACACCGAAAAGCGAAACCTGCGCAAAGCCTATCTCGACCACTGGAACGCGACTGCCAAGCGCACGGGCACAGGCAGACCCGTTGACGCCATCATCTCGCCCGCCGTCGCGTACACCGCTGTTCCACACGGCCTAAACTAGTGCGTCGTTGCCTTCTCCCCTCCATATCACTTGTTTTGATGACTAACAACAACCTGATGCATCAGCGACTCGTTCTACACGACACTGGGAAACGCAATGGACTACGCATGCTCCGGCTTCCCGGTGACAGTCGTCGACCCCGAGCAGGACATGCCGCACGACCCGCACGACTTCCATAACCACGAAGACGCGGCGTTCTACAAGCTCTGTGCGTGCTCTCCCTCCTCCTTCTTCCTCCTTCTCTTCGGAGCTCCAAATCGACCAGCGTCGTCGGCGTGCTGACTTGCCAGATATAGACCACCATGAGCTCTTCGCGGGCTTGCCAGTCGGGCTGCAGCTCATCGGGCGCACGCTCGAGGAGGAGGCGGTTATTGGTATGACGGAGATTGTGGATGGTATTGTAAAGGATTATAAGAAGCGAAACAATCTCCAGTAAGTATGTGTATCATAGTATTGGCGAGCGGATGTTGGTGAAAGGGGGGTTATACCCAGAGAGCTGGGCGTCAAGCGTGCATCTAGGTTGTAATTTGTATCATGATCCTGTACTTACGTGCATGTACCCAGCCACTATGTAGGCAAACGCTCTAGGAAACGATTACTCTGGGCTTCAATAGGGCGCAATCGCACGCTTTGGTGGGAAACTCTGGAAGTGGTTCGCGACTTCAACTGGTATCTATAAAGCAGACAACAAAGGCATCGTGCAAGCGCAGCAGTCGTTGACGATAACTGTCGTAGCAATTTTACCGAAAGTTCAGCTAGCAGCAAAGTTTCTGTGCATCCTTATTTTCTTCGGGTCTTGACTTTCCGTCAAGTGACCATCATCATAAATCTGAAGGCGTGTCTCCAGTGTGGAAATGTCAAGGGGACGTCCTTCCCAAGGGACCGAACTTATACATTAATCTATGGATTTGCAATCCTTTCAGTATGCGAAGGTGAGTAACCACACCTACAGTCGGTAAATTGCGGCTTGTTGAAGTTGTATCGGCTTCGTCTTCTGACAATAATCTTCTGAGTGTTTGGTCGCCAGTGGGGAACGAACGATGGATCGTGGGAAGTTCGGATTTGTTGGTGTTTGCGTCGGCGAGCTGACTCACCTTGGAACTCGACAACCACCATGACACCCGAACTTATTCTCAGGGCCTCTATCCTTCTCACTGGGGTCACAGAAAGCCGCTTTCTGTAGAGGCGTCGCAGACTACAGTGGTGCAACAGCTACAAGAATCTCCCGAATGGAGGACTACAATTACTTCCTAAGGTTGGTGGCGACCTTCAACCCTCCGCATATCCTCGGGGTTAGTCTCTAGCTGCCAATAGTCAGCAAGGAGCTCGACGACTAGCGCGGAAAGGTGGAGCGTAAAGGTATTGTGCAGATCAAGTTGAAAAAGCTACACCAGAGCACTCTCAACGCTGATAATTCGTCACTGTCACCGCCACCGGCGTGTCACCTTTGTCATTGATATCGCAGGCTTCAGCCTCCGAGACCTGCTCGCTCGGTCTTGCTGCTCGGTTCTTTTTTGCGAGGGTATACGCTTCTTGGACAACGCTCTGCCTCCGCTATTGCGCTGGCAAAACGAGGGGTTATGGATGCGTAGCTACAACTCGTCGCATTCCACACACGGGCAATTTTTGCCATCTCCTCGAACCCGGGGATCACCCGCCGTCTCTTTACTCGCCCTTCATACCCGTCGTTTGTGGAGAGGATTCTTGCGCTCGCCCTGGATGGGTACTTAAATGCAGCAGCTTATTGTGGGTGAGACACATAAACACACTCGCTCTCCCCTCAATACTTGTCTCTCACTCAAATATCAAACCACCATGAACACGAAGCTTTTCATTGCATTAGCCTTCGCTGCCTCTGTCACAGCTGTCCCCGTGGATCTCGACGGTGCGATTTTCTTTTCTCCGCGTAGAAATGGACAGCAATTTTATGCTCATGCAACCCGTGTTGTGTCTTTGGTACACGATACAGGTCTTCTCCAGGGTCTCTCCGCAACTGCCACACGGACCGGCTCCGCCACGCCCACGCTCATCACTTCCGCCTTGGGAGACATCCCCACCACCACTGTGACCGTCGGCTCCGCCACACCCACGCTCATCACTTCCGCCTTGGGAGACTACCCCACCACCACTGTGACCGTCAACCCTACCACGGTAACGCTCATCACCTCCGCCTTGGGAGACGTCCCCACCATCACGGCCAGCCCTACCCCATACATGTACATTACTTCTGCCTCGACGATCGCCCCCACTATCACTACTGCCGCGTGAGCATATCAACTCTGCGACGGTGTCGTAATGTGTTCCGGAGGAGCTTGGTACAACTCTGTCGAATGCAACGGGCTTGGACGTATAGATACCTTCGGAGGCGCATAATAATTATGAGTTCTGACTGCGTACGATGTGACAAAATGCCGACGCATAAGTTTTCAAGTGTCCCTCGAAGGGCGGTGGCATGATTGGCGCCATGACTGTTCTGCCGGAATATCATGAAGCCTAGCAACCTATGATCAAACTTGTTAGCTACGCAACAAACAAAAAAGAAACGTTCTGAGTGCTAGTGCTCAAAGCTATGCTTCTCTTCGATAATCCTATGAAGGACGACTCAGCACCAGCGGAAGGACGGCAACGTCGAGGGTCAGAAGATGGTCGGCTGAGTACCCAAACCCATTTGAAGCCACATGCAATACATCCTAGCGCTATGTATATTGTCAGACCGCATGCACGACATACCATAATGTACATTAATACAACAAACGCAGTTAACTTCAACCACACCATGATCTGGGCTGTGGCAGCTCCCACTTCAACCATCTACTCAGTGTCAAATACCAAGGCCCTAATCTCGATGGACTGCCTGTGAGGAGCATCGGCAGGGCTGGTAGAGTCCTTAAAGGCGGAGTGGGGAGTCAAGCGCGCCCTGCTATAGTCGGAGTCGAAGCACTTGATCAGTACAACCTCTTCTGGGGACTGATCCGCGAGGTAGTGCCACTTGTGCGCAGGGTTGTACTTCACACCAAAAGTATATCCAACCTTGTTAGGATAGATCAGGCGCGACGAGACGAGATCTTTGTCGTAGTCAATGGAGTAGAAATCCGCCAGCGCGAGGGGGCTGTGAGCGACGATGTTCTCGATAGGCCTGTGTGTGCATTAGGACGCTCCTTAAATAACGTCTTCAGAATAAACGCTCTCACCTCCACACGTTAATGATGCGGAAGCGTCCCTTCAGGAGACGTTCGGCGTCCGCGCCCAGGTGGTCGCGAACACGGTTGAAGGCGGCCACATCCGTCTGGTCGACATGAGCTATGTACTATCGACGGTGTGGTCATTAGTGCATTGCTACTGAGCGTGTTATTCTTACTGACCCCAGGCCCCCTCTGTCCTTTCGGCTGTTCAAAGCTATCTTGCGTCGGGGACCGCCTATCCGAGTCCATCCAGTGAGTGGACGCTTTATATATCCGAAGCTACAGCAACAGACCATACCTAATGGTGTGATCGAAGATAAACACCCGTTTAGCACCCGCGTGCGTCTTCAAAAGCTCTTCGACTTCCTTGTAGTACTCAGTCTTGATCGCGTCCTCGTCTGTGAACAGCTTCTCCTTGCTGACGTGACGGACGTATTGAAAGCCAGTCTTGTCGAGACCGATCGTATCCTCCTTCCCACGTACATCGTGAATCACTACGTCGTGCGGCTCAGTGGCGATGTTGGTCCTAGGTACACCTTCCGGAGGCTCTTCGCGGTATCGGTAGGGACCTTCACCGCCCGGGAGGGTGACATGATAGTTCAACGTAGTAGGGACATCACGAGGAGAGAGTGTTTCGATAGCCATAGCGTGGGTGGATGATAAAGGTGCTGGGTTGGGATGAAGGAGGAAAAGCCCAGAGACGGCAGCCTTTATATGTCTCTTTGCAATGGTGTGTCATTTCCCGATCCCCAGGTACTCTAGGAGCGCAGCGCCGAAGCATTCGAAGGTTTCCTGAGAACTGCCCGGTGGGTAATACCAACTCCTGAGCTGACAGCGTTGAGCCACTTTGCTTTGTGAGCCCGAGGCCCGGGGTGGGTCCAAGTTTAGAACAGCTTGGGCGCAATACAGTATTCGCAATGTTCAAGGACGTCTTCAGGATGATACACAAGAGCACATCATTCGCGGTTCGCGTTGCGCATTCGGTTCCGCCCCACGTGATGATGGTGTACGCTTGACACTATCCAAGGCGCTTTAACTGTGCCAGTCAAACTTTAGTTTGGCTGCGAGACTGCGGCCATAGGCTTATTGCGTTCAGTTCGTCATGGAGCACGCTAGGCTTCGACCAAGGCGGTCTGGACCATATCTCGATACGATACGAGTATGCTATATAGGCGCCATTATGGAAGCGAACTACTTCACTCTCCTATGACCATATCTAGGCAATATGGACATTGAAGAGTGAAGCAGTTCGCTACTCTGACCGATACATCATGTAGTTTATGCCAAATCTACACCGATGATACGACAGACTCGATCGCGATGAGCCTGTGGATAAGTATGCGCGTGGTATATATCCATGAAGCCCAACTCCCCTGATAGAAACCGGAGGAAGAAAAAAAAAGAATATAAAGCAGTATACATCCATCCTTTTGAGATCCACAAAGTCCCCATTGAAAACATACATGGCCAAGTCGCCCGCCGCCGCCCTCACTTACAACTTCAGTCATCTCACCTTCGCACTCTTAAACACCCTACAGCATCTCGCGCTCCCTCGCCCTTTCCCTCGCCTTCCTCCTCCTCCTCACCTCGCCCACAACACCCTCCCCATGCCTCCCCGCCATCTCGATCCCCACCGTCTTCTGATGCTCGCGCCGTATCCGCCTGACCAGCACGAACTGATAGAACCCAAACAAGGCCGCGCATATGCCCGCGACGGCGCCCGTGACGATGATCGTCGACTTGGACGTCGCGGTGAACACGCCGTGCTGTGCGCCGAAGACAGACGTGAGCGTCGAGATGATGCCCGCGAGCGAGTTAAGTAGGCCGGGGCTGCAATGCATAGTGCAACGTGGTAAGTAGTGCAGTGGTAGAGAAGATAGGGGGTGAGTGCCGAGCATCGATGACACGGGTGCGGTGGAGTTATAAGAAGTTTAGGGCAAATGGGCAGGGGAGAGGGAGAGGGAAGGGAAGACGTACAGGAAGATCCGGTTACACAGCCAGATATAGTTGTTCTGCCACCTCCACCAGAGATAACACATCCCGACCGCCCCGATACCTGTGCAAATCCACGCGATGACGAACCTACAACCGCACACAGACGCATCAGCAATCCACCCGACTCAAGCTCAACTTCTCGTCCTCAACGCGGACGAGTATTTTGTTTTTGAAAATAGGAGGGAAAAACAAGGCTCACAACGGAATATCCGTAACAGCATTCACCAACAACGTCTCCGCGCTCCCGAGGCCCTGCTGGCTGCTCAGCGTGTCGAACGTGCCGGGAAACAACACGTATCCCGCGAGCAGGATCCACGTCGCGAAGCTCGCGCCCATGTTGAACAGCTCCGGGATGTCGTCCAGCGCGAGCAGCATGTTCACGTAGCGCGTCTGCGCCGCGAGCCCGCTTGACGATGTCGGCGGGAGCGGCGGGCGCTGTTGAGATGTTGTTCCTTTTTCTGCGTCGCTGCCATCGTTCCCGGCGAAGCTCGTATTCTTCCGGCGTTTCGTGGTCGCTGTTGTAGAAACTGTCTTGGACAACGGCGTCTTCCGCCCAGACACAGAGTGTTTGGGCTCGAGCGCGCCGTCGCCGGTGCCACCAGTAGCAGACGCACGTGCAGGTCCGTGCGCGTCGGGCTTTTCCAGATAATGCGGATTGGAATGCTCATGATACCCCGCTCCGAGCCCATAATCCCCGTTCTGACTCGTCCTCGGCAACGAGCTCGATCGCCCGCTTGACCCGCGTCTCCCGTTCACCTCGGGCCCAGGCCGCCCGCGCACCGAGCCATGGGCGGGCAACGGCGGTGGCGGTGGCGAGCCTGGTCCGCCGTGCGTTTGCATCCCGGGCCCACCGTCGCCGCCACCGGGACTAGCACCGAACGAGGAACTCCTTCCATGCGGCACAAGCGACGTCCCCGACCCGCCGAGCGTACCCGAGCTCTGCCCGCTGCGTCCATACACGGGCGGCTGCGGCGTGAGGCTCGCCGCGTACCGGTGCGACGCCGCGCTAGGCGGGCGCTCGTGCACGCGCTGCCGGCTCTGGAACGTCGCGTGTGCGCTGTTCGGCGATTGCGATTGGGAGTGGGGGCTCTGCAGCTGGGCGCCGGCGAACGGGTGTGGCGGTAACTGCAGCGGCTCGTTTTGCTCCTGTTGCTGTTGCTGTTGCTGATGCTGGGAGGGACGCGCCTGGAAAGACTGATGCGAAGTGGCGGACTGGAAGGAGTCGTGCCGGCTGTAGGTTTCGCGGTGCTGTACGTCTGAAGCGGGCGACGGTGGTTGGGAACGGTGAAGCTGATTAGGATGCATCTGCTGATGCGGCACAGGCATCGAGAGCTGAGCCTGGGGGAACGGCGGCGCGTCGCGCCGTGCAGGCTGGAGCGAGGCAGGGTGCGGAGCTTGGGCAAAGTTCCGTCCCTGATTGAGGTTGTATGCCCCATCGAACGAGCGTGGCGGCGGGCCGACGTCCGCGTTCACGGCGGTGCGTGAAGGCTGGGGCACGTCGCGGATGAGCGGGCCTCCAGAAATGCTGCCACCACCATTCTTGAAACTCGCACCGCTAACGCTCCCGCCACCACCTCCGAGCCCTGGCCCGGCGTATCCGTTATTGCTCCCGCGCGAGAAGCTCTGGTGAGACGGCGGCCGGTTGAAGTATCCTCCAGGGGACGGCGAGCGTGCGCTGGCAGGCGTCGATGCTGTTGACGCATACCGCGACTCGGGATCGCTGCTCATGCCCATGCCATTGGACTGCATCTGTGCAAGCAAAGAGCCTGGGGCCGGGACAAACGGATCGTTGCGTTCGACGGAGGAGCTCCGAGACGGGGCGCGCGAACTGTGTCCTGAAGGCATCTGGTTCATCATGTAGGCGGGATGGGATGGTGGGTCGGTCGTCCTCCGTGCAGGCGCTGGCCACGTATGCTTGTATGGTACAAAAATGGGAGGCTGCTGGCCAGGATCACTGCTCGTTCGCGAACGAGGACGGCCCGGGGTGCGATTGGCGTACATGACGAACGACTTGTCAGGACTGGTGATGCAGGGATAACGCTGCCAAAGTCATCAAAGGGAAGTGCTCGAGGGGAGGTCGAGAGGGAATCGTGCGGGGTCTGTGAGCGGAGACGGCTTATGAGATTTGTGACCATATGGATAGCTGTGTCTGCCGTTTCAGCCGTAGACTCTTCGGCGGCTGTAGTCTATGAGTACTTGGTCAGGCACACGTGTCACTCTTGATATACCCTCCAATCTCTCTCTGAGATGTTTTGGGACACACAGGTGGATCTGGTGGCGAACGCGGTCTTGCAGGCACAGAGGAACAAACTAAGGTATAGGGTGCCTCCATGAGAAATTCCTAATCAGATCGGAGCACGTTTGGTCCTGTTTTTCATCCAACGCATACTGCAACTTCACGACATACACTCTCATCAGTGCGTTATCCACTACTTCGAGAGCAGAGTGATAAAGCAAAAACCGAAACTCGATTCCTGTATCTCTCTCCACGTTCTTCGGGGCGCCTTTGATTAAGCCATCAAGTAGCGAGTTTTCGTCTCTCCTTTCTAGATTGGTCCCTTTTTCTGCCATGAACGCCATCTAAGAAGAGTGAAAGTACTCTGCTGTATAGTTCAGCAAGAAACCTGGATAAGTGGCCGGTACGTTCTAAGCCCAGTTGACGATCTTGAATATGAAATCCTATCCAGTCCGATAGGTCTTAGGTAGACAAATCAGAGACAGGTACACTCAGTCATGGGGCCCGAACTCGTCCATCCGAGTTTCTGAGGACGGAAGTGCTCCAGTGCTCCGGGCTCCCCGACGGTCCGTTGCTGACATTCAATCTGTTTATACAAGCATGACTCTCTCACCACTGCCTCGAGGACGAAATTGTTTCTGTTCTACACATAGACGTACAAAAATACTCTTCGCCATCCTATTCCCATACACTACCCCTGAAACTCAAATCAACATGACCCCGCCGTCCTACCATCCTAGAGCGTAGTGAGATCGAGACCCTGCGCGGTGATATTCGCAAAATACAACGACGTCTCGTCGAGGATCAGCAGCCCGCTCCGCGTGAAGATCATCTCCGCCGTCGTGCTGTTCAGATAAAACTTGCCGATCAGCGTCCCCTGCGAGTTCCACACGTGCGTGCCCTCGCCGTTGCCCGAGTACACGTTGCCGAGCGTGTCGAGCTGGATCCCGTCGGGCACGCCCGAGTCGCTGTACGCGAACACGCGTCGGTTCATGAACGAGCCCGTCGCCGGGTCGACGTCGTATTGGTATCTGCGGTGCGGACGCGAGGTGAGCATGCATAGGACCGCGCGCACGGGGAATTGAGCGTACATCGTGGCAGGGTATGTATCGTTCGATCCCAGGAATCCTCCGGATACACCCGTATCAGTCCTTTCGAGAGAAAAGAAGGAACATGGCGTCAGCACTAGCCGTGACCTCGGCCTCGAGGCCATCTAGAAATATCACTCGCACTCACACATATGCAGTTCGCCCGTCGGGCGTGAACGCGATGCCGTTGGGGTAGTAGAACTGGTCTGCGACCACCCGTACCTGGCCCGTGGACGGATCGAGCCTGTACACCTGGCAGGGAAGTTCCGGCTGGGGACGGAAGCCGTTTAGCCAGCCGTATCTGCATCGGATGTATACGTCAGTTGAAACCCTCATCTCATTTCCATGCAAGAAAAAAGAAGAGACGCACATCGGATCCGTAAAGTAGATGATGTCGGTGCCCGGCAGCACCTTGAGATCGTTGAGCGAGTTGAACTGCCGTCCGTAGAAGTTGTCCAGCAAGACCGTCGCATTGTACGGCGGATACGGGTTCACTGTCACGATCGACGACGGAAGATCTGCGCGACCGGACGTCGCAAGCAGCAGGTTGCCCTTGTACGGACCCGTCCCACCATTCACCATCTGCACCGAGTCCGAGAGGTTCAGCTGCCGCCATCGCTCCCGCGTCAGCGCCAACACCACCAGACCTTGCAAAGCGCAAAACGACACCACGCACCACATGTATAGGCACATCAATCTCCCCGCCCTGCGCCCACGCACTCTCGATATCACTAACATTCACATAGCTCACAACGCTATTATTGTACCACCCACTATACCCGCCCGGCCCACCGTCGTTGCTCGAGAAGAACACCACGTTCAGCTCAGGCACGTAGATCGGCGCCTCGTGTGCGATCGAGTAACCGGGCGTCGCGGCGACCTGCTTGATCTGCGCGTTCGGCCCAAGCGCGGAGAGGAACGCGGGGTCGAAGACCTGGATGAACGGCGGCGCGGTGTACGTCGGGTTGAAGCCCACGAGCGCGGACGCGTTTCGCGCACTGTACCAGGTGCTGGTTGGGCCGAGGACGTTGTAGTCTAGAGGGTTGATGTACTGTAGGATGGAGAGCGAGGAATGATAAGCACGTTACTCATTGATGAGTGAGCGGGGATGGATGCGAGCGCCACCGATGTCGATGAGCCCTTACTCGGATCCCGTGGCAGAGGAGTGATTAGAAGAAGAACATTGAGGATACGTACCACCGCACCCTCAGGAAGCCCAGGCAAGGTGCTGCTGTTACTACTCTGCGCAACACTGTACGACACAGCCGCAAGAGCGACCGCGCCCGCTATCACCGTCGACTTCGCCATCAGAGAACGTACGTTCGCTTGCTGCTCGTCCTTTTTGCGATCGGCGTTCGATTCACCTTGCTCTGCAGCGTTCCGAATTAACAGAGCGTAAGCACCAGCCCGAGTCCAGCGAACAAGGCAAAGAACAAGGAAAGAGAGGCGAACACGCACGGGTTGGCTTTTTATCCATCGCCAAAGGTCGACGTTTTCCGGGAGCGCGGGCAGCCGAAAATCAGGGTGATGGGATGGGATGGGACGAGGGCATGGCGTCGGCTGACTTTGATTCGCGCCCTTGTTCGCGCCCGGCGCGAGGGTCCCTGCTCTATAGACCCCAGGTGGTCCCATGACCGTCATAGGTGTTCGTGGGGGCGAGGGAGCGAGAGAAGCTGATGTGCGCGAACCCACGGGCTCCAAGTTTTCTCCAAGCCTGCATTGAATGACTTAATCAATACAGTACCAGCGGGTCAACCTTTACTCCAAGTCTGCGAGGCGCTTAGCGAGCTCTTGATGCTAGTGAGATATCGGCCAAATGCTAGGGAATGTCAGTCCCAGCATGGGCTTGCTTGAGGTACTCGACGTCGATGGCGAAGTACGTCATCCCGCAAGCGGGGTGTATGCAAAACCAGCAACAACTTGACGTCAGCTCGCGGCGCTGGAGTTTTCTCGTGGGTGTAGACCGGCTGATTTGTACCACATAAGGCCAAAAATAAAGATCATATCGATGAACAATTGAACGCACCCGTGACGGGTTCGCCGTGCCCTTGCTTTACGAGAGGGTGTGTCAAGTGATCATGGCGTGGAATCTCCTGGGTGACGTGAGGGAGAGTGTATGAGCGTAATCAGATAGAATGTAGGGTGGTTGAGGAGTGCGACATGTTGTGTTGCTTGATGGTTCTGAGTGCAAGATGAAATTTCCGAGTTTGCATGGAGGTTCATGGAAAGTTCGCCACTTTGGGAGGTCCGGGAGCCGATCCGTCTGTCCGTCTGCGCCACATAACGTTTGACTCTCGCTGCCATGATCAGGTACGTCAACCGTCAGCACCAAAGGTCCGCTATCTCAGCAAAATTATGTTATACGACAGTGGATACCCATTTGCTAGAATGAAGACTCGCCAAGAACGCATCCTTCAAAGTCCACTTCAAGTCCACCGTGGTCAGCAAAGCTTCATCTTCCTCTTGCAAGGCAAACTCTCTCTTTCATTAGCCAACAAGCACACAAGAAGACTCTAAATAAGGTATCATCCTGTTAATGGAACCGCCCTATACCAGCCCCTCACGGCACAGTAAGATTGACGCCCGTCGCAGTGATGTTCGCGTAGTATATAACCTCCTCATCAAGGATAAACAACCCGTGCGCCGTGAACAGCATCTCCGCCGTCGTGCTGTTCAGATAGAACTTGCCGATCAGTGTCCCATTTGAATTCCACACGTGCGTGCCCTCGCCGCAGCCCGAGTACACGTTGCCATTCGTGTCGAGCTGGATCCCGTCGGGTATGCCGGAGTCGGTGTATGCGAACACGCGCCGGTTCATAAACGAGCCTGTGGTGGGGTCGACGTCATACTGATAGCTATGCGTACATGAGCAAGGTGCCAGCCAAAGTGGGAGTGGGGGTGCATGTGTCAGACGACGCACATTGTAGCGGGGTATGTGTCATTGTTGCCCAGAAATCCACCGACTGAGCCAGTGTCGGTCCTGATGAAGAAGAAACAGGTGCATGATCAGCACCCGGAACGTGCGTCATGCAGCAGTCAATAATGAAGGGGGCCTCGACGCAACTCAGGCATTAATCGGATACTGGATACTCACACATAGGCGGTCTGCCCATCGCCCGTGAAGGCGATTCCGTTGGGGTTGACAAACTGGTCCGCAACGGCGCGCACCTGGCCCGTGGACGGGTCGAACCTGTACACCTGGCTCGGCAACTTTGGCTCTGGGCGGAAACCGTTCAAGTAGCCGTACCTACGTCAGGTCTCGAATCAGTATATGGAAGCACACGAGCCGCAATGGCGATGAAAACGCACGCAGGATCCGTGAAGTAGATTATTTCAGTTCCAGGAAGGAATTTAAGGTCATTGAGCGAGTTGAACTGTCGGCCGTAGAAGTTGTCCAGCATCACCGTTACGTTGTACGGCGAGAACGGGTTCACCGCCACGATCGACGGCGGGGACTCGGCGCGGCCAGACGTCGCAAAGAGGATGTTGCCCTTATACGTGCCTGTTCCCCCGTTGACCATCTGCACCAGGTCCGATAGGTTCGTCAACTACAGACACAAACATACCGCAGCCGTTCGATCAGCAAAGTCCGGCTAACAGCGCGTACACGACGCAAACTCACCGTATGAATAGGAACATTGATCTCAGTATCGTTCCACGACTGCTCTACCTCGCTGACATTGAGCCAGCTCACAACACTATTGTTATACCACCCATTATACCCCTCGGGCCCGCCGTCGTTGCTCGAGAAGAACAGCGCATGCAGCGCCGAGACGTGCACTGGCGCCTCGTGCGCGAGCGCATAGCCAGGCGAGGATGCGACCTTGCGGATCTGCGCACCCGGGCCGAGCACGTCCGTCACGAACGAAGGATCGAACACCTGGAAGAACGGCGGCGCGGTCTGTGTCGGATTGAACCCGATGAAATCGGACGTGTTCCGCTCGGTGTACCAGGTGCTGTTCGGGCCGAGGACGTTGTATTCGAGTGGGTTGATGTACTGGGGAACGGAGGGTCAATAATGAGGAATGCAGAGGAAATGGATGCAATTTTGGACACGGCACGGGCAGGGATGCCACCGAGTAATGCTCGGAGCCACGTTGCCTTGGAGCAGGAATGGAAAGAGTAAAATGAGAATAAAAGGACGTACCACTGCACCCTCCGGTAGCCCGGGGATAGTACTGTTGTTACTCTGCGCAGCGCCGTAAGACACGGCCGCAAGGACAACCGCGCCTGTCAGAATCATCGACTTTGTCATGGTCACAGAATGTCCCTTCGAGTATCTTCTCTACAAGCTATCGTCCCAGCTGTTCTAGGCTCACGGTGAGTGATGCGGAAGGGGAGAGGCACACCCGCACTCTTGTATTCCACCGGGCTTTTATCCATCGCCTACCACCGTTCACCGGATGCGCGGACGGCCGACGAGTACGAGGGCCATCTATCCATCTGTCGTCTGGTTCGCCCGGGACGCGAAACTTTCCATGTATGCGGGTCTGCTATGATCTTATGACAGTCAGCGGCCGAGCGAAGGCTAAGATGTAAGGACCCATTGCTACAGTTGAATCAATGGTAGTGGAGTGGGGAGAACCTTGTTTATGTCTTCTCCGTTCTGATGCGTGGGGCTATGAAGCGCGCGTACTGCAACGAGAGCAATATTAGATACAGCAGCAGCACAACGAGTCCGCGGCGGGGTGCACCAGCTGCTGCGCAAGAGCCTGACCTTAGCGGCGCACGAAGGTGTTTTGACGCTGTCTCGGTATTCCAGGAGCAAAGAGGATAGATGATAAGGCCATTTTTCTAGAAGTCCTTCGCCGTTAGGACGCGAGAGGACATATTTGCGCCTAAAATAAGGAACGATGAGCAATTGCATCACATCAACGCACGAGGTCGCATTCTTCGGGGCCATAGCTTTACGAGAGGGCGCGTCAAGTGACCGTGGCGTGGTAGGGCTCAGGTGACATAGATATGTTGGAATGGAACGACGAATGAGAATGTTCAAGTTGGTGATTGCTGCGTACTGCATCAAGGTGTAGGTCCTTGGTGGATATATGCGGTGGGTCCGCCGGCGGTGCTGGTGCCCCCGCGGGCGCCGGAATCTTCCGGTCCGCACGCGCCGGCTTCAAGCCCCTGTTCATGCATTCATGTCCGCCGTCGTCACCATTGCAAGAGTGGTGGTTAGTACCGTCATTACAGTCGCCCTAACAAAAAAGAGAGCCGAATGAGGTATTCACGTTATGCACCACTTACCTTAAGCAGTTATTTCTCGCCCTGAAATGAGTGCAACGGTGACCCGTGAGTATATGAGGAAAGCTGTTCCATACATCATTGCTGGCTACTACTGGCGGCATCCGAGCTGAGTTACATCACTAAATGGGCGGATCGAATATAAGTACATGAGCAGTAGTAGAATCCGTTATAACTGACACCGTACCTTAATGATATTTCGAATCTCCAGCACGAGTGGAGCGTAAAGTCCGTTTTTAACATATGGGAAATCCGACCAAAATTAGATGGTGAAATGGTCAGATCACGGATGATATTATAATATTGATGGCTGTCTTACCGCTGATGGTGCCTGCATGATAATTACATGATAAGATCGGCTGGTGTTTTATGCCGTATGATAAAAGCTCACACCATATGATGAGGACTCGCAATCTCGCCCATGATTCCAATGACAAGACATTCATTGTGAATATTATATAGTACATCATGTAGCATTATTCGAGGTTAAAACGATGAACGAGGTAAATACACGAGAGCAGCAAGGATGCATGAGAGCAGGGACATGAGAGCAGCAGCAGTAGACGAGCGCAGGAAGTACAAAGAACGAATTAAAGTGTATAGACCGTGAAGCGACAGTTGGAAGGGAGCAAGAAAATAAAAACATACGTTTGGGCGAACACAGGCCCGGGACAAACAATCTCTGGGAAGGGAGGGGACGTGAGCGAAATGAAGCAGTGATACACTGATATAACATACCTAGTTGCCAGTCCTCTTCGCCGGTGGTTTTCCCCCTGTACTGATCCTAGCACTCTTTGCCCTGGTTCGAGTGGCAGGCTTTGGCGCCGGCGCTGGATCTTCTTCAATTGAAGAGAGGTCGGACTCGATAGCGCTCGCTGGTGCCTTGCTACCGGAGGACGCGGGTATGTTCTTGGTGCGCTGAGTCGGCTGGGGCTTGTCGGCGACGTTGACCGCACCGCGCAGGATGGAGGACGAGGACACCAGAGCCGGAGGTAGAGTACGGGGCTCCGAGACGGATGAGGACTCGTCCTTGTCGGCGGGGCGAACATTTGAAGCAATGGCGGGCTCGTCTTCATCCTCGTCGGAGGTGAAGACGGTCTTCTTAGCCTTGCCTCTTGCTGACGCGGACGGCGGCTTGCTGGCTGTCGATGGAGGGCGCGAGGAGGGCGCAGATCCGTCGAGCGCCTCGTCGAAAGTCGGCTCAGGTGACGTTGAGACAAGCTCAGTGTCTCCGTCGAGCTCGACTTCGAGGTCGACAGTCTTCAACCGCGGCGTACGGCCATACGTGAGGCTGTCAGACGAGGCTGGGCTCGGGGGGAGACGTAGGAGACGGTCGAAATCGTTCTCCTCGTCGCCCGATGCGTCCGAGTCGTCGTTCCATCGCCCGGGCTTGTAGCCCTCTTCGTGACCATAGACAAACCTGTAGTATATTAGTGATAGTATAACTAGAAATGAATAAACTCACTTGTTGATCCGGGCTAGTATCGCGTCGACATGGGTTTGGACGCGCTCGTCGTTGAGCCATGCGACGAAATAACTATGGGCCCGTTTGAAACTGTAGTCGCCATCGTTCATGGGCCACTGGGACGCAGAACACATGACAAACCGAAGCTCAAGTAATATTAGATCGTGCATACAGCGAGTAACGAGAGAGACTTACAATGATCATGGCGTAGGCAACATGTTCGCGAGTGACCTTCGGCGACTCCATCAGCAAACAATTGCTGCGCGGCTTGACGAACGTAGAAGCGTTGGCGGCCAGGGACGCCTTCGGATTGATGAACAGCATCTTCAAAAACTAAGACAAGGTTAGTATTGAAAAAACAACGCGAAAAAAACGTACTCGAGCTAGTAAAAACCCGTCACAAAGACCCTTCCATGGACGATCTGGGTCGAATTGATCACCACAGAGATGCTTGCCTCTGTACATGAAGGAGGGGAGGAGACTCGAGCGCACGACGAATGGTGCGTTACCGTTCTTGATCTGAAGTCGAACGCTAGGCAATAAAAAAAAACGTTAGTACGCGCACAGTTGCAGCAGTGAGAATATACGTACGTTTCTTCGTCCTCCATAAATGTTTTGAAGTGGGCGACAGGGACAAGGAGGCGAGCGAGGTCCTTGTGCGAGAACCCGAGCTCTGCGCGCTGCGACAAGTGGGTGATCGGGGGATCGAGACCGGCGCTCGAGTTGACGGCGGCAATAGAACCGATGTGTTGCTTGCAGTTCTTGATGTCGTTACCGCGGTGCACGCCCATCTTTTCTGTGATCTGACATGATTTGTCAGTGGATATATGCGCATGAAAAAATAGTTTACTCACCTTGCCAATGCGGCCGCGCAGCTCTTTGAATTTTGAGGGCGAGCGGATGAGATCTTGCAGGTATGGACAGTGGTCTTCGATCCACTGCCATAATCTATCGCAAAAGATCACCTCGTGATCTTTCCTACAAAAGCGCATATAGTCAGTATATAGTAATGAGCGCAGGGAGAAAATATCAAGACTTACATTCCATCATAATCGTTAGACGCGGTCGTCGTGAGGCGGCGAAGCGCGGTGTCTTCGAGGTCTTCCAGGGCGCGATAGACGCCGATCTGGAGACAGCTGTCAAAATCCAGGAATAAACCGCCCGAGCGGACGGCGTAAAGCGCGAGGTGGAGGCACTGGTCGTCCTCGCTGTGGCAGATCGACATCAGAAAAATAATGACAGGTGATGGGACTTACCTTTGCTGTGTTGTCGGACCGGTCCGACGCCTTTTGTGGGGATGATGATCGGCGTCATCATTGTCGTCCTGATGGTGTTGGCCCCTCGAGCTAGAAGCTGTGCTGCGCACAGATCGACTAGAGCTCGGGGCGGGGGGCTTGGACTTCTCCTTGAGGATCCGATGGGTGTCGCCTTCAGGATTTTCGGCCTGATCGGAACCCAGGTGGACTCGCGGGTGCCGGATCTTCGTACCGGAGGCGGAGCTGTGGTTGGATCGCCCGGAAGCGGGGGCGGCGGCGCGGTATTTTTTGAGGGAGTGAGAGAGAGGAGCCGCGTCCTCCAAAGAGGACTCGCGCTCAGTCTCGCGGGAGCGTTTGGGCATGAGGGAGGGAGGGAGGAAAGAAAGAGAGGCAAAGGGAGGACCGACACACCAGTACTTTTGACAAAAAGGTGAGCTTCGAAACCATTTCTCACGCTCAAACCGAAGCTCGAGTCGCTTAATTAAGACAGCTTCGGTAACTCCGCTGTGGCTGAGAAATAGCCCGAGATGACCGATGCCTGTAGCCTGCCCCGAAACTGAGGAAGACATGATGTTGGAAGTTTTCGAATACACTGAGCGTGTTGTGAATATGATCATGTTGGAAGTTTTCGAATACACTGAGCGTGTTGTGAATATGATCACGCAAATAGCCCGAGATGGCCGTCCTCTCCCTATATTGAGCGCGGGATCGACCTGAACACAGCCACCGCGGAACCAGATCCCGCGCGTGGAAGATGCCCGAGTCGCCCGGTGGGCGATCGCGTCAATGCATACGCGGATCGAGCCAATGCTACGACGCGTCTTTCACACGTCGAACGAGTCATAATCCCCCACAAAGTATGCATTTATATTAATACACTATGTACCTATGTAAAATTGAAGCGGCAGCTGTGGCTGCCCCTGTGCTGGGAGAGGGATTGTAGGTGCTCCGGGGCAGAGAACGTGTCGACTGAGGGAGCCAGGCACGTCTGGACCCATCTGTTGCATTCGGGGCATTGAAGTTCTCGTCGTCTGGTGCCGGCCCTGTCGTTGAGGTGCCCGTTTTGATACAACCAGAGGAGCGCTTCAGCTGTGTTGACAGCGAGCATCCGCGCCGGGTCCGGTTCTTCCTCGCTGTCTGAGCCTGACTCGGGATCGGCGAGTACGTCGGCAACCCTATCGTTGCGGGAGTCGTTTGATGCCTCTGATTGGCTGTCGTCCGTGTCGAGGTTAGCGTCGAGATCGGGTCCAATATTGAACCAGGGCCGGTAGTCGGGGGGAACATCACTACATGGCGCATATAGCCGTAATCATAAGAGTCTCGTATGAAGAAGGATGTTCGTACCTTAGATACTCGTAACCACGCGTCGTCGGATGAAGCTGTCCGACATGAATCCAATCTTGCCAATTCACGATCGGAATGTCACTATGTATTTGCAATGAGAGCCGATCAATGAAAAGTCAGTGTTCATACCTCATGATGACCTTTGTGGGCTGTTTCAGAGCGTTTCGAGGGTGTAAAAGAAAGGTTAGTGGGTGGATGGATGAGCAAAGTTCTGGATGAAGGCCGTTGTTGAGGAGAAACGAGAAATCTGACGAAGATGGCCCCTATCTTTAGCTACGATCGCGCTTCCCGAAGCTCGATCCGCTTATTTAATATAGCTCCGGTAACTCCGCTGCGAGAAGCCAATAGCCCGAGATCGCCGTTGTGCGCGACGCGTCTTGGAGGGAAGACGTCTTTCTCCCCCTCCAGTCCCTCCCACTGCAATAAAAATCATCATGCCTCAATGCCCCGAGTGCGAGAAGGTGATACGTACCCAAACCGGCGTCAAGAAACATTTGGCGACTTGTCAAGCAGCTCAAGACGCTCGCAAGAGGGCCTATGGCGCTGCTGCAGATCTGGGGCCATCACTCAAGCGTCGCAAAAGGGATCCTCCACCGCCAGCGCTGCCTGTTGCAGGTCCATCACGCATACACAGGGCGGAGAGCATCGACGAAGGCCTTATCACCCGAGAACAGACCGAAGGCGTTGAGGAGGCGCACTCCGCGGCTGGGATCAATGATGAAGTTGAGTTGCACGGCGAAACAGAGATGTTGTCACAGTCGCAGCCTCTGGTGCGTATCCCACTTCTTTCCCTCTGGTATATTCAGCTTAAACATTTGAAATGTTATTAGGAATACCTATCAGCGCGTTCTGGGCGCCCAGTGCGAATGCCCCGACATTTTAGAGACCTGCTACCGAGCAGTTCATTGCACCTTGCGCATATGATGCCGTACACGCGCCAGCTACACCACCGAGCCCCCACAGCACCTCCTTCTCCTCGTTTAGCCTCCCCTTCCCCTTCTCCATCATTTCAGCCACCCAAGTACACTACTTCAGCTAATACATTCCAGCTCTACCGAATATATGAATGCTTACCAACTCAAATTCCTTCGGACACGCTTCAAGACGTCACAGATGCTCCCCTGCTACAGTCTTGTTCTTCTCATGAGGTAGCTGGATCACTGGGCTCTCTTGGCCCTCCCTCCCCCAGCGACTGGAACATCCATGAGGTCATGGCTGCCTTCAGGAACCCGACTTGTGGTATTATGCTTGCGCATCTTAATGCCGGCTCCACTCTCAAGTCGGAGATTGATGCGAAATGGCTTACCTGGCTCCTCAAGCACCCTTTATTCAAGCAACATGAGCTCGCCGAATACAATCCTCACACCCACAACATACGGCTCGACGCATATCTTCAAAAATCGGGCAAGGACAGCATTTTTCGAGAGGATAATGGCTGGTGCTTGTCATCGGTCAGTATTCCTATGCCATTCGAAGGCCTAAAACACCCCAAAGGCGAAGCTAGTGCGCCAAAGCTCGAGGTAGACGGCTTATATCATCGAAACATCGTTGATATTGCGCTTGCAGCCATTCAGGATCCCACCACATTCAGTGCACTGAATACCACGCCCTTCGAACAACGCTATGGGACCTCTGATGGCCGCGATATACGGATCTACTCGGAGGCTTACAACTCGGACGCTGCTCTGAGAGCGTATCGAGAAGTGAGCGCAGTACCACGACAAGCAAGAGATACTATGGAACGAATCGTTATTCTAGTCGACTTCTACTCGGACGGAACTCTTCTTGCTAACTTCGGCGAGGCTTCTCTTCATCCCATCTATATGTTTTTCGCCAATCAGTCGAAGTATACACGAAGTAAGCCCACATCAAAATCATGTCATCACCTCGCGTACATTCCTGATGTGAGTTTTCATATAATTTTATCTGATTCTTCATTTGCTAATGTCTGGACTTCAAAGCTGCCTTCCGGCTGGCAAAACACGTACACAGATAGATTCAAAAAGCCACCCACGAAGGACGTCCACACGCACATGCGACGCGAGCTCATGCAGGCTGTATGGCGACTTTTACTGAGTGACAAGCGTCTGCGCCGTGCCTATGACAAGGGACTCGTATCCATTTGTGGAGATGGCCTCACCCGCCGAGCATTCATTCGGTTCAACACATATGCAGGCGACTTTCTGGAAAAGCAAGTCCTTATTTGATTGTTCTACACGACTTGCTGATCCCAATGGGCGTATATAGGATTGCGTTGGTGACGCTCAAATATCTGGGCAAGTTTCCTTGTCCGCGCTGCCTTATTCCTAAGGATCAATTGGCCGACTTGGGAACACCACGCGACATGCGGATGCGGTCAAAGTTCCGAGAGGACTCTGAGCATCGACAGGGTCTAGTAGAGCAGGCGCGTAATAGGATCTTCAAGAAAGGTTATTCTGTCAATTCAACACGAGTGAAGTCTCTTCTCGAGGAAGGATCATTTACACCTACAACTGTGAGATCTTTTGTCTTAATCGATCTGATGTTACTGATATTATTGGCTCGATAGAACGCTTTCTCGGAGTTCTTGCTACCGAGAGGCGTGAACTTTTTTTCGCTATTCGCAGTTGATCTCCTGCATGAATTCGAGCTCGGCGTGTGGAAAACTGTCTTCACACACTTGATCCGAATTCTCCTCTCAATCGGAGGCACAGCAGTCCAGACTGTCAACAGCGGGTGCGTTTCATGTTTATTTGTATGTCACTCGGTCTCTAACAAAGTGGAAAGCTATCATAAATGTCCTTCTTTTGGGCGCTTCACTATTCGGAAATTTCGCAAGAACGTCTGCGCTATGAAGCGGCTAGCAGCTCGAGACTTTGAGGATATATTGCAGGTATGCCTGGTACTCCCTAGCGCCCATCAACTATGATTTATCTGCATTTCTAGTGCGCTTTACCTGTTTTCGAGTCTGTTCCATGGCCAGAACGAAGACACAGACAGGTTATCCTAGACATGCTCTTTGAACTCGCTAACTGGCATGCTCTAGCCAAGTTACGAGTTCATACTGACGATACGCTCCATTTCCTTGAAGCTGCCACGGTCAGTCTCGGTAATACGCTGCGAAAATTCCGGGCCGACGTCTGCCCACACTACGACACCCGTGAACTCCCACTCGAGACTGCTGCTCGTGGTCGACGAGCAGTCACTCGTCTGGTTACCCAAGCAGCCTCCTCCGGTGGTCAGACTTCCAGTGCCAATGTTCCATCGAAAAGTCTTCGCAAGGAGCTCAATCTAGTGATATACAAGTTTCATTCTCTCGGCGACTACGTCAAGACGATCAAGGAGCATGGAACTACCGATAATTTTACATCTCAAGGAGTGAGTGGCGCTTTATTCTCATTCTAGTCGCTGATATGATATTCTACATAACCAGGGAGAGCTCGCTCATCGTAGTCCCAAGTCGCACTATTTTAGGACTGGCAAGAAAGTCAACAGCGCAGTCGAATCTCTGACGCGTCTAGAGACGCGTGAACGTTTTTTTCACAAGTTTATTGACTATCTACAATCTACCACAGACGACGAAATGCCAGCCATGAAATCAGAGAAGGATCAGCAACCAGCACCGGCTAAGAACAGTCCTGAAGACCGATATTGGGTATCCTCAGACTCAAAGCGCGTGCTCTCCTTGTGGGATTTCAGAGATGTCTTGCATGACGCCTTCAACATTAATAAGTCGGCGAGTTCATTTCCTCCTTCTTGTCTGGACCTCTTTGCTTACAGTTTATATACTTAGGAATTTATGACATGCCTTAAGACGCATATCCTAGACCGCCTCATAGAGAGCAACGACGTGCCCGATGGCTGCGGTCTACCAGCGCATCCCTCAAGCGCTGATTATTCTCTCCAACAGCTTGATACGCTCACCATCTTCAAAGATCAGATCCACGAACACAAGACTCTCAGAGTCAACTATACAACATACGACTTACGACGCGAGCAGGACATTCTCAATCCTCGCTCACGGGCAGATCTCATGGTCTTGTCTGATGCATCAGCAGGCGATGATGCTCCTCACCCTTACTGGTTCGCGCGGCTGGTATACACTTTTCACGTTAACGTTTATTTCCGGGGCGAGGATCCTTCTGCATGTCGACAGGTCGTTGTGCTCCTTGTCCGGTGGTTCGAGCATGACTCGAGTTATGCTTCTGGCTTTGAGGCACGGCGGCTTCCCCGGGTGGCCTTCCATCCTCTTGGAACGTCTCAGTGCTGGGACTTCATTGACCCAGCTACCGTGATTAGAGGGGCTCATCTCATCCCAGGCTTCAAGCATGCACAGGTACCCGGTCCCTCTATTCCGCGACACATAGGTCGCATTCACTTTGGACCCAAAAACTCTGACAGTGTCAACGAGTGGACGTTTTATTATGTGAACATGTATGTCTTCGAAGTCTCTTCTATTCTAGAAACTAATTTGACATTACTGTAGTTTCGTTGATAGAGACATGTTCATGCGTTTCCGAGGCGGTGCGATCGGTCACGATTTGCCCCCATACTGGAACCGGAAACTTCTGGATGCCGCCGCCGCAATTCCCGAGGCCGAGGAATACGAGCTACCAACCGATTTGGATCAAGACAGCAACAATGAGGAGGGAGACAGTGATGAGGAAACGGACGGGAATGAGAGCGGTGATACCAGTGATGAAGAAGGAGACGCAGCAGAACTTGCTGAGGCAGAGACTGCAGCACGTACGGATGAAGGGCTTTTTTTGGGTGAAGACGAGGCTCTCACTAACGCGACCGGCTTCGCATCATTGTAAAGGTCAGCTAGTATTCGAATCTCTACCGTTTTTATTGTTCGTTAGTGTTCGTGTCTACCTCAAGCGGTGGCTGCCATATGCAGTTGAAGTTATCGCTTAATGATAATTTTGTTTCTGATATGGTCTCCGTATTTTATATTCGCCTAACAAATGTACGAGCAAGATCATCAATTTCGATCAATGGTAAAGTGTCCGCGACATGGTGTTCGGCCGAAATTCACTGCCACACCGTAACGATATGTTAACTCAATGGGAATGCGTCACCATCCGTGATCATACACAAATGTCTCGACGACGATATTATAACAGTGATCACTCGGTATAACGGTCAAACTTTTCCCACCCATTTAGTGATGTACCATATACAAGATACGACAGATTCGTTCATCCGAGAAGAATCGTAATACTTAAGTTAGAGTACGGAACAAGAGATTTAGACATCCACCAGTGGTTCATTCATTACTTCCGTTCCATGAGACTCGGAGAACTTGGAAACCTTTAAGTTGAACCGTACGCTATCGAGCTATCCAATGTCGTTCGTGGTCACAGGCTGTCAGGTTTAATGAAGCGTGTTAGGTTACCACACTAAGGAATGAAGGACCGCCAATATGGTCTTAGGGAATTGTAAGTACCGAGATCAGGTTTGGTCAGGTTTGTATGGTCTAGTAAGGACCTCACACATGACTCCGTGATGAGGCACATTATTCCAGTTCCGAGAGTAACCTCACTAAAGTAGTTAAGACAACGCTCGACGCCAACTCTACAGTTGCGACAAAACAAGAGCGACGGCTTACAAGATCTCGTCGTGAGCCAACTGTAAGACTTTTTGCTAGGGAAAGGTATGTGCAAAGTCGCATCTCTCGGGTCTCCCAAGAGCGTGTTTCCCGGAGCCCGGATCTAGAGAAAATCTAATACATTGAATGCGCCGTGGGTACTTACTTATCGTACTGTTTAACCTGAAACGCATGGAGCATCACCTAGGACAAAAAGCAAATTAAGCTTTAGGCTGTTGACAAAGTTTCAGCCTTCGTGAACCGTCCACGTGTGCGAGGTTATGGAGTCGATGCCTAGCCAATTCATCGTCACCATAATCCTCGCTGGGACTCAAAGCGGAGAGAGAAAAAACTTTCGGGTGTGCGATAAGAGCGCGAGTTGTGTCAGCGAAGGTTCCGGGAATGAGAACAAAGCAAGGTGGAACAGTGTGCTGAGATTGCCAGGGCCGCCGCCCTAATTGGGGCTGACGGATCCGTGCTCTTGTTTTGACAAGGAGCTCGCACAGAGTGTCGAGGCGAAATTAACGCCTGACCTGGTAATGAAGAGATACTGTACCTTGAGCAAGCATCTGCAAGCTGTTTCGATACGCCCTGCTCAACATCGGGTGGGTCCCCCGTTCTGATGACCGCAACCGGGATGGCCGTGCTCAATTAGTGACCATGTTTTGTTATTGTTGTCTGGATACGGAGAGCGTCGCCACTCCGCCGGCGAGAGTCCAGAAAATCTCGAGTCCAGGCGCTCCGCATTCGTTTACGTAGATGTTGAATAAGGAGAGATGCACACCCACGAGATGGAGAAGCACACTTGGACTGGAGCGGGACATGCGAGGCACAATGTCGGCAAACCAATGCCGGATGAGTGAATTAATGCCTCCGCGTGGCTTTTAGGGTCGGACGCACGTGGCAGATCAAGAGGGCCGGCCCGCTGTCTTCTGAGTATTTTGACGGTCCATTCAGGGGTTTGCGTGTTTGCCCGACGCCTTGCCGACGCCTGGTGACAATGTCAGGCGAATCAATCTTTTTTTTACCATTTGCATCTCCTTCTGGGTTCGCTGCGCTTCAAAACGGCGAGCACTTGATTACGTCCATGACTTATTCTCAGTGCTCTTCTTGTCTGAATCCGAGAGAAAAATGAATCCAAAACTCTCCGCTCGCCCGGCGTAGAGAGGTTCCCACTTTTCTTTGTTCGATAGCCCCCGCTGGGAAATATGAGGCTCAGACATTCCCTTCAGCGCCAAGTTCTTGTCTCATCGTGACAGATTCCGGGCCGAATCGCATGCAATGAACTCCGTGAACCTAGTCGTCTTGTCCAGATTCGCTATTGGCATCAATACGTGAGTGCAAATCCCCAAATCCCCAACCAGTCAGTTTCGCGTCATGCTTCTTGACTCAATGATTCCTCTCCAAAAACGCCTTCCAACTCCTTTTTCGGTTTCCTATCCGTCGCTCCGAACAATTCCCCCATATTTCAACCCGCATCAACCGTGAAGGCGGAATGTTCCCTCACTATCTTCATCACCAGCATATATATCTCTCGACCTGGTAACCACACCGCCGTCCACCTGCCGCCTCCGATCACGTCTGGCTCGTGCTAAATACTAGGGTGCCTGCACCTACACTCCATCCAACGTCTAAGGCCGCGGTCATGCTCGACTCTCCTGCCCTCCGTTCCCTCACCGCCGGCTTTCCCAAGACGAAAGGTGTCAAGTGGTTCAACCTCGGCGTTTTGGTTATCACCCCGGCACTGTCCATCTATGGCCTCCTCACCGTCCCGATCCTCACCACGACAGTCGTCGCGACTGCGTTGTACTACGTTTTTTCCATGATAGGTATGTCGCATCACCATATTGGACACCCTTCATCGTCTAACGCCACCGACAATTCACTCCCAATCAGGCATTACGGCAGGTGAGCTTTATTGAGGAACGACCTTTCCTTCTGCGCACTTCTGACATGCCTCTGCAGGTTATCACCGTCTATGGTCCCATAGGGCATACAACGCCTCATTCCCTCTCCAAGTCTTCCTCATGCTCGCAGGCGCCAGTGCGACTCAGGGCTCGTGCTATTGGTGGGCGCGCCGTCACCGCTCGCACCACCGACACACCGATACAGATCTTGATCCCTATAACTCGGAGCGCGGGCTGCTGTGGACCCACATTGGATGGATCATCTTCGACACGGACCTAAAACCCGGTTATGCCGACATCACCGACCTGCAGCGGGACCCACTCGTGCAATGGCAACACCGCTGGTACTACTATGTCACCATGGTCTGGGGGTACCTCGTCCCTATGCTCCTGCCAGGTCTTCTCTGGAACGACTGGAAAGGCGGCTTCTTTTTCGTCGGCGCGCTTCGGATGACCTTGTGTCATCATGTGAGTTTCTTCCTTCTCTGCTCTCGTATTATCATCATCTGATTGAGGCTGGGTTTCAGAGCACCTTCTGTATCAACTCCATTGCACACTATCTCGGTGATACGCCCTACGATGACCGCAACACCCCACGCGACCACCTTATCTCAGCTGTCCTGACCATGGGCGAAGGATACCATAACTTCCATCACCAGTTCCCTATGGACTACCGGCAAGTTCTATGCTTCATCCGTCACGGAAGCACGCCATGCTGACTCTGCCTCCAGGAACGCGTTCCGGTGGTACCAGTACGACCCTACCAAGTGGTTCATCGCCTTGTGCTACATGGCCGGTCTGGCTTCACACCTGCGCATCTTCCCGAGCAACGTGATCGAAAAAGGCGCGCTCACAATGAAGCTCAAGGCCCTAAAAGACGTCCAGGACTCGCTGCCCTGGCCCCCACCGGCGTCGCAGCTGCCCGTTGTGACCTGGGAAGAGTGTGCGTCCCTTCTCTCCTGCCTTCTCCCGCCAGCGTCCTGCGCGGCGTCGCCCACGCGCGATGCAGGAACGCCTGCGGGGAAGCTCGGATTCGCCACGTCATGCTGACCGGTCGGATTCTCGCATTAGTCCAGGAACAAAGCAAGACGCGCGCGCTGCTCCTTATCGCGGGCTTCATCCACGACGCGTCGCTCTTCGCGGAAAGCCATCCCGGCGGGGAGGCTCTCATCACGCAGAGCGCGGGCAAGGACGTGACGGCGTCCTTTTTCGGTGGCGTCTACAACCACTCCCACGCCGCGCACAACGTGCGTTCCCTTTTTTGCCTTCCATCTTCCATGCCCATCCGAGCCCTCCCCCCTCGCGTTCCCCATTGCGTCTCGTCGCACGCTCTGTCGTAATCTTTTCTCATATGACTCACTGGTCCTTATTGTATTGCAGTTCCTCGCGATGATGCGCGTGGGCATTCTCGCTGGTGGCGTGGAGAACGTTGGCGAACACAGCATCCCGCCCAGCCAGCGGCTCTACATCGGAACCAACATGCCAGAGGAGATACAGCCTGGCGAGCAGTGAACCGATTTACACTGCGGTGTTCGCATTGCGTGTTTATTGTCGGCGCTCTCTTCCGGGGAGGGCCTAGAGAAGGAAGGTACCTTGAAGTTTACGAAGTAGACAGCAATGATTTGGATCTTGACGTAATGGTTTTCTTGTGCCCGGTCACGTACCGCTCGCTCACTCACATATGCTTCTATATTCTATGCCTTGTATAATTAGAAAAGCCCTCGACGTAAACGGGAGCACATACTACTTTAGTCCACCAATCTTATTTCCGCACTGCTGATAGATAACAAAAGTTGATGCGGCTTCGAGCCTGGACTGCATGGGTAAGCACGCCCCGATCAGAGGTTCACGAACTCCCACTTCCAGGTGTTTGGGAACTTCTGGTAATCTTCTCATCCTTCGGTAAGTACATCCGGCGTATACCGGTACATGTGTTAGCGCTATGGCGAGACTCAACGGCTCATAACCGTATAAATTTAATACACACTCTCCGATCATTATCGATCAATGTTCGCATTCAGCCCATGGCTGTGATAACGGTCCCAAAGTATGAGTCTATCACTTATCTTCGGTCGCAGGATTTACAAGGTTCCTTCAGAATGGGGGATTATACAGCGACATGGGTATATATACAGTTCAATCCTACTAGCTAGGCTAGATCATTATCCAACGAGTTTCGTCGACTTCTCTTGCATACCATTCCAAGATCACTTGGACTCCTCCTCCGGACCGGTGGTGTAGTGCGCGTCACCCCAGACGCCGTCCTCGAGGGCGACGTCGATGGCGGCGTGCATCGTCGAGAGCAGCGGCTCCCGCCTCGTGTGCACGGGGTCCCAGCCAAGCTTGGTCGTGATCCTGTCGGGGTTTGTGAACTGGTTGCCGCCGAGGAGAGACCAGCCATCTGGGAAGAGAGGCAGAGAAACGCGAGCATTAGCATGTGGCAGGGCGATAAGAAGATAGAACCTCACAGTTGCCCAGGGGGTCGACGACCTCGGACGGCATGGGGCGGGATCCGCCTTCCTTGATGAGGCCCTTCTTGAAGAGGTACTATATCGTAAGCAGCGTCAGTAAAACCACATATTCGAGGAGGATTTGAATGTATCAAGCGAATTACTCACGTCGCCCATGACCACGTTCCAGTCGTGGTACGTGACCTTTGGCTCGAGGGATCCCACGAAGTCTATCAAAAAAGAAGCGTGATCGTATCACTTCCAAGACAGGTTGATTTTAGATGGGCTCACAAAGACCCTCGGGGCCTTCGTCTGCCCTGCCCTCCATGGCGGCCTTGAACACCCGGTGCATGGCGTCTGCGCAGTCGAGAACGTGTACGTTGTTCATCGAGTTTGCGCCGGAGCCCCATGTGCCCGCGCGGCCTAGCTTCTTGGCCATGTCCATGAAGATGCGGAGCCAGATGGTGGTACGCTGGATGCCAGTGCCGACACCATATATCTGTGCGGATGGTTAGAGGAGACGCGTTTTAGCCAAGCACAAAAGGAGACCATACCTGCGCGGGGTAGACGATGATCGTCCGGACGGGGTTCTCTTTCCTCGAGCCCAGCTCAACGATCTGGAGTGCGAATGAGTATGACTCCTCTCAAGAGAACACTAAGTGACGTACGGGAATATCAGAGTCAAGATGAGTGTTGGTAGGAGTGCATCTGCGGACTCTGGGTGAGCGATCGACCGGAAAGATGCTAATAGGGGGACTCACGATTTGAGGTCCAAGCCGATATCCGACCACTCCTTGACGTGATCCACAGGCTCGCCCCGCGCGTTGTCGCTGACAATACCACAGCCAGAAGTGTGGATGTACAGAGGAGGGCTGCCTCCCGTCTTCGAGCGCTTATCCAGGCCAGCGATGGTCGCTAACAAACCGAGGGCATCCCCGGTCAGCGGTGCGTCGAGGCAAAAGCGGAATCACAGACTCACCCTTGACGCTCGGCGCGTGGTCCGAGCTCGCGACGTTGATGACGATGTCGGCCTTCTCGACCTCGCCCTGGATGATATCGTCGTCCTCGAGCGCGCCAGACACAATCGTGATGTTCTTGTAGATGGCCCTCAGCTTGTTGGTCTTCTCCTCCGTCGGGTTGCGCACGAGCGCACGGAGGTTAAAGTCGGGGTAGTCCTTGGCCAGCAGCTTCAGGAACTCCGAACCGAGATATCCAGTCGAGCCGAGGAAGAAGAGGGTCTGAGTCATGGTTTTCGAGAGAGTTGCAGAAAGTGGTGGGTGGATGAGCGGGCGAAGAGAAGTGCAGTGGGCTGCTGACTTCCTACCCGCAACGGGTGCGTGGATTATATATGTCTCTGTCGTTGATATGACACAGACCGCGTTTGAAGGATGTCAGGGACATCTCTACACGTTGCATGGCGTCTCCACGCAAAGCGAACGTTAAAGTCCGGAAAGGCGCAAGTGTCAAACATGGAGAGACATGCATGGATACATCCCCCGATTATCGTGGTAGTTTGAGATGTTAACGGGTGCACGCAGCCGTTATGCACACCAATCTATGCCTTCTTCGGATGCCTGTCGTGGCTCTCCCATCGATAATGTCGGAGATCCTGGACGCTATGGAAGCTGGGGCGACGTTTGGTGCATGTGTGAGGGTTCTGAAGTACATTTTTTCAAAAGACCCTGAAGTACCAAAACAAGCTAAGTTAGCCATCCGGGATCAGTAGCAACTGTCATCGACGCCGCCGCCTGCGCGACGCGAGCATCTTCTCACCATCTTGCCTGTGAGCCATCTCAAGCTTGCTTAAGTTGGTGTTGTCATTATTCGCTACGCCTGCTGGACTTGAAACGTGTCGGGACCTCTTTAGTAATGAATACTTACCCTGCTCGGATTACCATCCGCGCAACGTCTACCATAGCTCCTAGTGGTTGGAAAATCGAAGATCATTGATGTAGAGCTCTTTAGAGGTGAAACGCTTGGGACTAGGCTTGTAAAAGCCAACGAAAACTGTATAAGAGCCACAAAAATGTTTAGTCGAATCCACTGTTCTAGACTCGATATCCTTAATCCAGGATAGACCGGATTTACTAATATGATAACCGTCTGATGTGAATTCTTCAATGCATGCATTCATCCTGCCACACCCGTGACCAGGACATCCGATGCGAGTCGACCGGCTGGTCGTTGTTGACAGCGGTGTGGCGTCTTGCCATGAAACTAGGTTAACACGCGGCTTACCCTGCAATTGGATGGTAAGGATTCGACGCTCTGATTGCATACTGCACAAATCGCGAAGGTCATCCTTAACTTCGAAGGAAGGCATAAGCGTACGCATGAGAGGAAATCTGCACTAACTTTGAAGACGCTTACAACGTACCTAGTTTTCAGATCCTGGTATTCATCGTCAGCTCAGGGTCGCAAGGAGTTGGTCAGCGAATATAGGCGATTCTCCCTGATCACACGCCCTCAACAAGAAGTGGGCTGGCAGTTATCCGCCCGGCACGACCGTTTACGCTGCACACATACACATCGTATCACAGTCAGCATTTGACCAGGGTCGAGCTAATCAGACATCGAGAAGAGAACAAGCGATCGTCACGCGGCCGATGACCATGCCTGATTGAAGCGGCGTAATATGACCGAAAGTGAGGAAACACACCGAAATTCTTTTTCCGAGAAAAACATATCAAATTATCAAGTCCTTGTAACTCCAGAATCCCATATGAAACCACACTGCCCTTTAAAACCAGTTCCAATAGAGACCTTGTTGTGCGGCGACGAAATTCTCGTCCCAGGAGGCGCCTACAGACATCGTTAGAAAAAAGCTCACTCTAATGAACGGGGCAGCATACCGTCATTGTGCTTCGTGAAGGAGCTGTTCGCACTGGCAGGGTCCTCGACCGTGACGTTAGAAGAGACCCAGTAAACTGTGGCACTCGTTGAGGTTGTGTTGAGCGAGCCGCCCTCCCAAGCTTATGTGCGAAAGCGATCAGCGAGATGATTCGGACAGTCGAGTGGGTATATGCGCTCACTAGTGCAGTTCTGGCAGCGGAAGACCCACTTCCAGTACGTCTCATTGACGTATGTTCCGACGAGGCTGGTGATGACCGGACCATCGTAGAGCCTAGCATGATGTGCCACGATGTTAATATCACATGAACAGCATGTAGAAATGAGCACTCACGTCGGCAGCGTATATGAAGTAGCATAGCGAGGGCTGTATACGACATTCTCGCCGTAGGGCCACGCCACCAAGAGAAGGTTATCCAGCATCGTTCCACCGAGAGCAATGCCAACCCATTGCTGGGTTACTGGGGCAATAATCTCGCCCAGGAACTCATTGTCAACATTGATGGGCGGCAAAGCGAAGCCGACCGTCACGTTCTGGTCGGTGTAGCCCTCGAACACGATACCGTTGTCCGGGTCAGTGTAGGTGCTCGAGGTCTGAGCGAGAGCTACTTGGATGCCATCAGTGAGCTCAGGGGGATGCAGGATCGATGGTATACGCACCAGAGCCGCAAAGAGCAACAAGACCAAGGGCAGCGGTGAGCATGACTGTGGAGCTGTTGTGGTGAATGAAAGGACGCGCTGGAGGTCCCGTATTTATACGAGTTCATCACGTTAGCGATGAAACACTTCGGCGCGAAGCTGGATTGTTCCGTAAGCATGCAACATGATTTCACGATTTGGTTCTTTCGCCGCTTTGAGAATATCGAGGACGATGATCGGGGAAATGACTGAAGCGGGGCTCACGAGTGAGCCTTGCCCGTTGAATTGATCGTCCTCGGGACGAGGGAGCTATACCGTACCATTGGCTATCGCTGTGCCTCACGAACCAATACGCGTGTGGCAAATGAGTGCTTCAAGCGCTATAATTCGGCGCCCGAGGTGATTCTGACTGACCGGAAGACGACGACCGTGCGCTGGCTTCGCCCGAAGCCACATGGACCGAGTAAGTAACAGGGGAAGGAAGCATCATGTCCAGGGCATGAAGTACTTGCACAACTCCGCTGAGCGAAGAAAGGCGTCGCATGCTTGATCACGAGCGATAGCACCGCGGTTCACGGGCAAGCTTGCACTGACAAACGCGTTCACAGCTGGGCAAAGACACGGCCGCCGACTCCAACACGGTTGTTGCATTGAGCTCGGCGTCGTCATGTGCGAGTTCCAAGGATAAAGACGGTGTGTCAACCATCAGAACATTGGAGCATGGAGCAAAGAACAAACGAATTGAGCTTAAACTTGGTGGGAATGAGGAAGAGTTGTTTGTTCCAATGTTCGCCGCCGGCCAATGGCAGCGACACCTTTTCAAACTCAGCGCCTTTGCCTTTCAGAACCCGATCAGAGAACGCGGCGTGACGCCACTTCTGATGAGCCTCGAGCTCGAGGCAAATTCTGGGGAAGAGGCAATACTAGTCTGAACTTATTCACATCATTGCACACGAAAACAGATGCCACCATCTTTCAGCACGAAGTACACATGATTATCCGCTTGTTTGTGTTGCAGCCGTTGCGTTGCTACCGTGCGCTGAATTCGAACTTCTCATTTGCATCGTGACTCTCAGGCCTTTGTCCGACGGAAAGACTCAACAACCCACGTTCTATCGTACAAAACTCAAAAACTACACGACCGTGCTCCGCCGGCATGAGGCAAACGCGCAGCGCTTCCCTTGTTCGGCCTACTCCAAATATCGGAAGCCTTTGGGCATCCCGCCCTTCTTCTCAGGCTCGAGCCCTTGTTCTTCCGCGATGATTGTCCGATTCTGTGCTTTGAGAGCCAGGTGCATGCAGTAGCACAGCGCTATATGCACACCCGCGGACGAGATGCAGATGGCGTACGAGAAGCGGTAGCTCGGCCCCCACGTCGATGGCCAGATGTACCTGCCAATGTTATTCAGTTGGCCCACGACGGCCTCAGCCGTTGGCGTCCGAGCAGGAACGGCACTCACGAGCCAGAGACGTTCCCGAGCTGCGAGAAGGCGTTGATCAGCGCCAAGGACACCGCGCGCTTTGCGGGTGGTCTCGGGACGCTGTTGCTCATCCACGTATAGAAGATGATCAAGGCGGCGTATGTCTGCGCCATGAGGAACCTAGTTCACACATCCTTCAATACAGGTGAAGGCTTTGTAAGGCTAGGAACAACCCACAGGGACACGTATCGGGCGCCTTTATTCATTGTAGACAATGCTATGACGAAGCCAATGATTCCCGCCAACTCCGACCACAGGATGTATACGAAGCGCTTCTTCTTCTTGTCGGAGTGCCTGTCAATTGAGCCGGCGTAAGTATAGGCGATACAAGCCAATCGTCGGAAAGGAGTGTACGTACCGTGAGTAAAAGAACGCAAACACCGTGGCAAACATCCATGGTGGCGCGCAGAGCACCAAGCTAATGGTCGTGTCGTATCCCATCGTCGCACTGAGAGTTGGGAAATACTGGAAGAAAGATTGTGCCAATAGCTGGGCCAGGGCCGCAAACGCAAGCAGCCACACATGCCAGTCTGTCACGGCCATGCGCAGCCCCTGGAATGGTGTCACAGTCAGGTCTTCGGCCGTGAGTCCGTCTTTGGCCAAGTCCTCGTCCAAGCGGGACACCATGATCTCGCGCTCCTCGGGGGTGAGCCACCGATCGTTGTGAGGGTAGTCTGGAATTATAAAAACGGCGCAGATGGAAACGAAGATTGTGATGCTCCCTTCGATGTAGAACAGCCATCTATAGATTAATAGTCAGTTCACTGATTTTTGAAAGCAGAACAGATGCCTGACCTCCAAGCAGGTTTTCCGAGCACGCCTTGCATCTTTGCCAGAATCCCCGAGGCTATGAGAGCGCCCCAGCCATTACTAATCAAGCTTCCGCAATAAACGATCGTCGTGCGGAAAGCAATCTCCTCTCGCTTATACCACCGCGATATGAGATAAAATGCCCCGCAAAGGTACGTGGCCTCGACGAAGCCGACGAAGAAGCGGCAGAGCACCGCACCGACGTAGCTAAGGCAGAATTATAAACATGAGAAGAACCGCAAAGTGAGAGTCGTAGCTTACTTCTGGGTAATACCTAAGTCGATACTTGTCAGTCAACGGTCAGATCACCCATAAGGTTACGAAACTGACCTGTCAAGACCGAGATCAAACCCCATACCATCATCGAGCAAGGTAAGTAGAGCGACGGCCGTGATATCCAGTGAAGAAGCATGTTCCTAAGGACAAACATCACTACAAGAACCTCACATGCGAAGGAAAGACACGCACGAAGGAACTTGCATCAAGATGTACCCTACGAACAGAACAGACAGAACTGTGGCATATTGCTGATCCGTGAGATGTAAATCTTGCTGGAAGCCTTGCAGACGTGCAGCGCTTCAAATGATGTGTTTAGTACTATCGAACACTACCTAACGACGTGACGCCCACGTACCTCGCATTGTTTCTGTCAATCTAACGAAGGAACGAAGCTCACAGGGTTAGTAGCGGGGAGAAACTAGATCCGACGGAACTCACATAGTTCAAGATATAGATGAGCGTCAACACTAGAATTCGCAGATCCATCTTCCTGAGGACCCGCTTTTCGATTCTGGAGCGCCTCTCCTGTTCAGACGCAGCCTCCAAGTCAACGCCATCCGCCGTACGCCTGACCTCGACCGCCTCGACCGAGCCGCCCAGTTTTGAGTCCTTTTCGAGCGAAGACATTGCGCAGACCTGAAGGGGACCAGGATGTCTGAGGAAGGAAGCAAAGCAAAGCAGAGGTGCCACCGTCAATCCTATAAAACATCAGCAGGATGTTCTGTAAATATCCCAGGCAATACAGAATCTGAAAAAGAGTGGCAAGCGAGGCATCGTCAGTTGACCTCACACCTTAGCGCAGAGTGACATGCCGGTTGGAGAGACCGCGGCCAACACCACTACCCCCCTCCCTTTTCGCGAACAAGCTTCACCGCTCCAGGAGCGCCTGCGACAAGAATAGAACACACCGCGCAAACTTTGGCCTTTGCCGAGCACATAACGTAACTCAAAGCCTGGCTTAATGTCTTGATATTGAAGTTCCCGCCGGACCTGGCACTGCACACGTGAGTGAACTCGAATCATGTTACTCGTACATTTTCCCTGGAAGATAACCTTCCCGAGCCACCCCCGCCCTGCGCTAGGGCTTACAACCCGGTGATCTAGAGTAAATACCGGAATCCTCTCGTCGTCTGACCTTTCTCTGCCTCTTCCCTGTCGAACCGCTCGTTCAGCGACTTGAGGTGCAGCTTGAAGAAGTAGCACATGACGATGCTCAGGCCAGAGCATGCAATGCAGATCCCGTACGAGTAGCGGTACGTTGGACCCCATGTTGATGGCCAGATGTACCTAGACGAAACAGTAAAAGAAAAAGAATTGAGTTCGCCGCGTTCGTTCGACAGAAATAACCGAGGTACGCGGATGAAGATCACGCGTGGGGTAGGGTGTGGGGAAAGTGGGGTACTCACGAGCCCGCGATGTTTCCCAGCTGCGAAAAGGCGTTGATGAACGCGATCGAGACGGCCCGCCGGGAAGAAGGCCAGTAGAACGAGTTGCTCATCCATGAATAGAAGAGGATGAGTCCGGCGTAGGCCTGCGCCATCAGGAAGCTGGAGTGCCGCGAGGTAAGCTCTCCGTGACACGTGTGGTGGACGAAAGAAGAAAGCACGTACAGGGAGAAGTACCGAGCGCCGAGGTTCATCGTACTCATAGCGATGATGAAACCTATGATGCCCACAATCTCTGAGGCAGCCATGAAGTTGAAACGTGACTCGAACTTGTCCGAGAGTCTAATACCGGCATCAGCAAAAGGGACACGATCGATATGGAAAATCCCTGCCTAGAATAGAAAAACGCGAAGATAGCCGTGAAAACAAATGGTGGCGCACAGAGCAGAAGTGAGATAGTAGAGTTGTACCCCATCGTCGCGCTCAACGTAGGGAAGAACATGTTAAAGCTCAGAGCCATAGTCTGCGCCAACATCGCAAACGCGAACCACCACATCTTCCAGTCCGAAAAGGCGAGTTTGAGTCCATAAGTCTCGCCCTTTGGCTCAGGCGCAGACGTGGCAGCATCTTCCTGCATACGCTTGATCGCCAGCCGGCGTTCCGCATCGGAGAGCCCACGTGTGTTGTGTGGAAAGTCCGGCAGAATGAAAAGGGCACATATCGCGAAGAAGATTGTGAGACTGCCCTCGATATAGAACAGCCATCTATACAACAACGTTAATCCTGGACCCAGAAGCCGGTGTAGGTTACGAAGAGATCAAATGCCCACCTCCAAGCAGCTTTTCCGAGTGTCCCTTCCATATTATCTAGGATTCCCGCAGCAATGAGTGAGCCAAAAGCATTGCTGGTGATGTTGCCACAGTAAAGTATCGCGACACGGAGGCCGACCTCGTTCCTCTTGTACCACTTCGATATCAAGAACAATGAGCCGGGGAAGAAGGCGGCCTCAACGAAGCCGAGGAAGAACCGAGTAAGCAAAGCGCCGACAAAGCTGCAGCATTGGTCAGCCAACGAGGTAAGACCATTACGAGCAAAGATCGCACTCTTTCGAGATGCCTATCGATAGCATTATTAGGTCAACGTGCGGACGAGCGCGTTCTCAAAGCAGTACGCACCAGTCAAGATCGAGATCATCCCCCAGATCATCATGAATATCGGAAGGACAAGTGCCGGTCGTCCCGTCTTGTTCACAAACATGTTTCTGGAAAGTGGGTGAGGAAGGAAAACATTGTAACGGTGAACGACTTACGATGGTACTTGCATGATGATATAACCCACGTAAAGGATGGACAATAGACTGGCAAACTGGGTGTCATTCAAGTGAAGGTCGGTCTGAAGGCCGCGTAACCGAGCGGCGCTGAAGTGAGGTCAGACGATGTTAAACCCCAGGCGGCTGCGAACTACACACCTGGCGTTGTTGCGGTCGATCTTGGAGCAAGTCAGCACGAAGCAGCGCGAAGGGAAGTCGCTGGAGCTCACATAGTTCAAGATATAGATGATGACCAGAATGAACATCCGCGCATCCAGCTTCAGGAGCAATCGCCTCTCCAGCTTCTTACGAGCCTCCTTCCCTCCAAACTCGGCGTCAGGGTCCTCCGCGCCAGCACTCAGGCTCGCGTCGACGCTCTCCTTATCCTCGAATGTCTTTGGGTCTTCCTCTTTTTCGATCGAGGACGGCATCGTAGCAAGGGTCGTGGAGAGGTGGAAAAGTAGGAAATCGTGAAGACGAGAAAGGACTCTCCCGTGCGGAAGAGCTGGCCCGGCTGAGTAAGTTATTATACTGAACGCATACGTGCCCCCTGCCACATCTCCACTTACACCGGGTGGAGCATGGCCCGGGTCTCCGCCCGCTGGCTGTTGGTCGGGCTAATGTTGGGCAAGGGCGTCTGAGGTGAACGTTTCGTGAGAAGGCACGCGTATGCGGGGGGTAATCGCCAGAGCCGCGTGATCACGAGGGGTCATGGGCTTCCATGGGCGTTCTGTTTTCGAACGAGAGCGTGAATGATCCCGCGGGGAGGAACAAGCTCGGATGCTCGGAACCACTGATTGACAAGACGCTTCCGCTAAACATGAAGACCGAGACAGAGTGAGACGTCAAACTGAATGGTCTTGGCGTCGATGGACAGCGGTGTCAATGGCGATCCCCCATTCGTACTTTGGGAGCGTCGAGATGACGGTGTGCGGCGGGTCAGGGATTTGCATTCAGAAGAAATCAATAGCCAGAAGACAAGAGGACGTTCCTGGGCAAGGAGGGAGTGCAAGTTTGAGACGGTCGCCAGTGATGGTGGTCATGAGACAAAGCAAGATAAGCGTGCGCGCATGTGACCGTGCGCGTGATGTACCGTCACGTCCGCGCGCAACTCCGCGTCTCTTACTCTCTTCCTCCGGTCGCAGTCTTGCGACTTTCTATCAGATACCTAAGTGCTTGTCTCTTGTTCTGTTCGTTTTGAAGGAGCCATCATGCTCGACATAAAGACACCACTCCCCTTTTAAAGTCATATCTCAAAGTCCCATGCCCACTCCGGGACACTAACAATATCATGTACGATCTCCTGAGCTAGGTCCTGCCCTTCCAAGCCGCGCTTCCATCTTGCAAGACACATGCGAGTCACGGTACGCATATAGCGTACGAATCTGCGCTAATACCCCTGCTAATCTGCCTCCGTCCCTGCGTTCACCCTCAACTAGAAGACATCCACGCGCTAGGTCAAAAACGTCAACGTTGAATTAGCGTATACTTAGCCCATCGTTCGTCCTACCACGAAACGATTGTGGGCACAAGCCATATTACCACCTCTACGTGTTCTATGAGATCACATCTTCGCGGAATGCAGGCTGCTGCGTGTGAATGGAGACCCTATCCGGAGGAAAGCAGCTCGAAGAGGCCAATCTTTTGTCGTGAGTAACACTCACTATTGGCATCTCGCGTCACGTCAACGTACACTAATACACAAGTACTTCCATTCCGCAGTGCAATGCACCAAAAAAACATTGAAGTTCTTGCTATATATACATTCATACATATCCCCGACTCCCAGACAAGACGAAACTCGATTCAAAGCCAAACTTAGTTGATGGCCAAGCTGTACTGCGTGCTGTCGCGAGAAGGTCAGCATCTCCCCCGGACACCCACAAACACTCGCAGGATACTCACGTGGTCAAAGTAGCATCGGAGCCGCTGGTCGGCTCGGTGCCCCCCTGCGCGGTGGTGAGGTACTGCGAGGAGCTGAGGCCCTCGTTGTCAATCAGGTACTGTCCCGCCGTCCGTCAGCCCCTCTATCATCCCATCCCGTATACGCGCGATACGAGGCTCACCTGGAAGAACGCGTACAGGTCGCCGCTGAAGCTCGTGATGTCGCCGCTCGTGGGGAGGAACGAATACACCGCGTTCGAGCCGTTCGAGCCCGAGTACAGGTTCCTGTTACATTCGCATTCGCGTTCGCGTTCATGCTCGCGTTCAGCCTCGACGCTCGCATGCGGGAGAAAAGGGCAACGCACCAGGTGTAGGAGCCGATGGTGATGTCGCTCGCGATGGGCGTCGGCGAGCCGTCCGAACCGTACGTGGCCGAGATCGGGCCGGCGTTGTAGTTGGCCATCCAAACCATGATCTCATACGCGGCGGAGCCGCCCGAAGTCGCGCTCGTGAACGTGTCGTACGCGACGTCGGCGACGATCGTGCCCGAGTAGGCGTACGACCAGTCCCAGGTTGTCTGTCTCGTCCAAAGCCAAACAAAACGCCCTCGTCAACCTCGCTCCGAGGAACGAACGCTAGAGTACGTACGGGCATGCTCGATATCGTGCTCAGCTGCACATTTATGCCCTCGTTGAGCTGGATGTTCGAGAAGCTCTTCACGCTGCTGCCGCCCGTCCACGTCCAAGTCGTCGTCCACGCAATGTCGCTCCCGCTCTGCGACGTGATCTGCGAGCACTGGCTGCCCGACGTCGCGTCTGACTCACCCCACAGATCCGTGAGCAGCTCGTAGTTGCCCGCGGTGACTGTGTCGTACTGCCCGCAAACCTGGCTCGTGTCAACGCGCTTGAGCAAGGCCGGGGAGGCGAGGGCGAAGGGCACGAGGGCGAGCACGCTGGAGAGAGACTTCATGGCTGCTGCTGGGGTTGCTAGGTCGCTGGTCGCTGGTGAGGTTGATTCGGGAACCTTGGCTGAGGTCTGGGGATAGCGGTTTGTCGTGCCCTTTATATACCTTCGGGTTGCTCTGTGACAGGCTTTTTGGCCAGGGTACATTGCAACCTCACTTCATTTACGGATTGAGTGTGTGTTGCCTTGCACCTGTGAATGGTCTCAATGTTCGGAGAAATGTGCCATAAGGTCGCTTCCTAAGTTTATCCTTGGGTTTTCCGACTGCTGAAGCTACTTTCTGCAGGCATAGAAGCTACAGTACGTCCTTCTTGATTTACACAGTAAACCGTGCCTGATAGAAAGCTAGCGCTGCCAGCAAGCCATCAGCTCGGCGCTAGGTATCCGCATTCGTGACATAGACCCAGGCGCCTTTTCTATGCGACAAGAGGCAGAGTCTACGGAAAGGCAGGAAAGGATGAACCAGCTGCGCGTCGGCTTGTTCTCAACATCACCCATGCGGTAGACATGGGGACCGGGCGGCCCGCCAACCCAAGAACCCGTGCTCCGACAACCGCACTTTCAAGTCAATTTACGTTCATGTTTTCCCCAGGCCAACACAAGGCCAGCGTTGCGACGACGCCAGGCGCAGACCGGGTCCCTTCAGCTGCCAGGCACACGAAGCAGTTTATTTCCCCATAGGTCCCCTCAGAACCTCTCAGAACTCAATACACCTTCTAGGTCCTCCAAGGTCGCGCGTCTCATGGGTCGGAAACAGCGCAACGTTAGGATACTTTTGATTAAAATCCCGCGTTTCATCGTGTCAACAGTCTAAAGACGAGAAATTCCCGCTCATCGCTCGCATCCTCAAAGAAACATGGGTCTTGGCGGCCCGAATGTTTCGCTAGGCGATCTAATCTTTCTATTAGGCGCGCGTCTACCGTGTCGCCGTCTTTTGACTCCCATTTCTACCTCTGACTTCTCTGTTTTCTTCTCCCCCTGCTCATCAGCATGGGTGGATGCAACCACATCTAAGTACGTATCATCCAGTCTTGAACCCACTCATTTACCTTCTCAACCCGTTTCAGGTGTATGACCGCTGTGTCTATACACCCCGGCGCGTTCGTTGCTCTTATAAGCCAACCCGCTTAGCCACTGCTACCTGTGGAGGGCGAAGCTCCAGGTCCGGTCGAGACCTATCCTCGTCAAATACTAACCGATACTTTCTCCAGTGATGATAGGTCCTCGATCGTGTCTCTCCCTCGCTTTGCCACGTACAACAGCAGCAGCCAAAATCGCCATGCCTTGTGCCCACCGTTTTCCCCTCCTTGCGGTAATTTATAGCCTTTGCCCTCTTCGTTCATAATCCCCCCCTACACTTGTACTTCTATAATCGCCGTATGATTCTTACCTCTGAGTCATGTTTAGCATATGGTAGCCATCCCTCCGTTACATACGGTCACCAGGCCACTATGTCCAATACCTCACACTTCTATCAAGTTCAGCCGTCCTCATCGGACACCGTTTTTCCTCTCTCTAGGGCTTCCGTCACATAACACACTGCAAGGTAGTATGGCCAGGATTGGGATTTGGGCAGGCGTAAGGTCCGTTCATGTCTTGGTGCTCTGTAAAGGTATCATTCTGTAGCCTGAGGGTAACTTTTGTGCTTAGACGTAATTAATCACCTAGCCAGTTTTGGTTCATCCCCGCCTACATTTCACCGCTCTAGACAGTGACTGGTGGCGTACTCTCAATCAGGAAACCGCTTCTCAGCTTTCGACCTTCACCCCGCCCCTATCTTTGTAAACGTGCTCCATGATGAAGTGAACGCAACACTTAGTACGCCTCTTGGTACGCCTATAACCGCAATCTCGCAGTCAAACTAAAGCTTGATTAGCACAGATTCTAAAGCGCCTTGGATAGTCCTTCCCTCGCGTATACCGATGATCGTCACGTGGGGCGGAACCAAATAATGCGCAACGCGAGCTACGAATGATGTGCTCTTGTGTATCATTCTGAGGGCGTCCTCGAGCATTTCGAATACTGTGTTGCGCCCAAGCTGTTCTAAACTTGGACTCACTCCGAGCCTCGGGCTCACAAAGCAAAGTGGCTCAACGATGTCAGCTCAAAAGTCGGTATTACCCACCGGGCTCGGAGCAGGAACTTGTTCTCACTGGGCGACCCTCGAACGCTTCGGTGCAGCGCTCCCAGATTCACCTGGGGACCGGGGAATGACACACCATTGCGGAAAGACATATAAAGGCTGCCGTCTCTGGGCCCTGAGTCCTCCTTCATCCTGATCCAGCACCTTTATAATCCACCCACACTATGGCTGTCGAAACCCTCTCCCCTCGTGATGTCCCTACTACGCTGAACTATCATGTCCCCCTCCCGGACGGCGAAGGTCCCTACCGATACGTCGACGAGCCCCCGGAAGGTGTACCCAGCTTCAACACCGCTACCGAGCCGCATGACGTGGTGATCCACGACGTACGTGGGAAGGAGGATACGATCGGTCTCGACAAGACCGGCTTTCAATACGTCCGTCACGTCAGCAAGGAGAAGCTGTTCACAGACGAGGACGCGATCAAGACGCAGTACTACAAGGAAGTTGAGGAGCTTTTGAAGACGCACGCGGGTGCCAAGAGGGTCTTTATCTTCGACCACACCATTAGGTATGAGCCGTTGTTGTAGCTTCGGATGTATCAAGCGTCCAGAACTCACTGGATGGATAGGCGGTCCCCGTCGCAAGACAGTCTTGAACCCTCGAAAGTACAAAGGGGACCTGCGGTCAGTAAGAACAGCACGCTCACTGGCAATGCACTAATTACCACACTGTCGATAGCACTTAGTCCATGTCGACCAGACGGATGTGGCCGCCTTCAACCGTGTACGCGATCACCTGGGCGCGGATGCCGAACGTCTCTTGAAGGGACGCTTCCGCATCATTAATGTTTGGAGGTGAGAGTCCTTACTCTGAACCTGATGATATCCCAGGAACGCCATGCTAACGCACAGTACACAGGCCTATCGAGAACAACGTCGCCCACAACCCCCTCGCGCTGGCGGACTTCTACTCTGTCGACTACGACAAGGACCTCGTCTCGTCGCGCTTGATCTATCCTAACAAGGTCGGATACACTTTCGTCGTGAAGCACAACCCTGCGCACAGGTGGCATTACCTCGCGGATCAGTCCCCCGAGGAGGTTGCACTGATCAAGTGCTTTGACTCCGACTACAGCAAGGCGCGCTTGACTCCCCACACTGCTTTCAAGGACTCTACCAGTCCTACCGACGCTCCTCACAGACAGTCCATCGAAGTCAGGGCTTTGGTGTTTGACACTGAGTAGGCGGCTGAGGTATGATCTTTTACAAGCCCAGATCGTAGTATGTTTAGAGAAGTTTTGAACTACACTTGCTGTACATTATGGTATGTCGTGCATGCGGTCTGATAATATACATAGCGCTGGGGTCACCTGGACCTCACAAAGGCCGAGCCTAATTAGGATGTAGAAAATGATCGGAGTTCCGGCTAGTTAGGCTAATGAATACATTATTCTCACTCACCTCAGGTACCTTCGGTTCTTTTGCCTTGAATGGAATATAGACTGTTTCTGGAAAGACTCGGCAATGCCAGGCACGGAGTCCAGGAGTTTGACTAAGTCCCTTCATCAGTCGGATCTCTCCGAATCCCTCCCACGCCCCGTTCCAGCGACAAAGCCCTTTGTTCGCCGTTGCCCGCCCCACTCCCGCCGCCGCCCTCCCGCCGTTCCCTCCGCCCTCGCTTAGTCATTGAATCCCGCCGCCTTTTCTTAGCAACGTCATCAATATCACGTATGTACGCTCGGTTATTATTGTAATTAGCCCGTTCCCCCGAATTTGATGACATGTCCTTCCTTTCCGGCTGTCCCCGATCCGATCCTTCCGGTTCCCTCTCGCTTCCGCTTCTTCCTTCCCTCCCCCCTCCTCCCCCCCCTCGTCGTCGTCCCCACCGTCTTCGCCGTCCTCGCCGTCCTCGCCGTCCCTGCCCTCCCCAGTCTCCTCGTCAACGGTCATCGCATGCCGCCCGGACCCCTCCACCGCTTTTCGCGCCTACCCTCGCAATGGAGCGCCCGCCTCAGCCCCAACATGGCCTCTAGGCTCCCAACCTCCATCCTCCCGCCTGTCTCTCCCTTCCCCCGTCCCTCGCCATCACCTCCACCTGTCTCTCGCACCCACGTCCTCCTCGCGCGTGGCTCACCACTGTGTATCCCCTCCTTCAATGCCCGGGCAACCATTTTCACCTGACTTCGCGGACCACCGCCCTTCGGCCTGGCCTCTCCCTCCCTCCCTCGTCCTTCGCCACATCTATCTGCCTTCG